AATTGAGTGGAAAAAGACACTTTTAGACTTTGAAATTTATGAAAATCTTTAAAATGGTGATGAGAAATCCAGTGCATTGTACCGGAAATAGCAACGGTAACATTACCCTTTTACCTTGATTGATCTTTTCTCAGTCCTCTTCCAACTTCCTCCAATTCCTCAATTACTGTAAATCTTGCAGTTCCTTCAAAAATCAATTATTAGTACACGAAGGAGTGAAAGTATGGGACAGAGAGTGAAATGGCGGCAATTTCTATCGTCATTGTTATTTTGTCAGGGTCAAATTATCCACAAACAACCACATGACTATGGACAGGTAGGGGAAATGGAAGAAACATGTCGTTTAAAATATGCTGTCAGACAAAGGAAATTCAAAACATTAAACTGATTGTCCATAGAATTTTAAAATTCCTCACTGAAAGTGACTCAAATGTTCATCCTAGTACAAAAGGGCCTTCTTCGGTGCATTCAAAAGTAATGAAAAAAAAATACTGAAACAAGATAATGTTATGGATAAATAAAGCATATTTTTGTAAGATTTTTAAAAAATGTCGTAGAAATAAACTATATTAGTTGTTTCAGTATTCTGTCATCCTTGAAATAAGCAAGTCATGGACTTTTAAAATCCTGCATTTCAACTTTGGATTCTACGTATAATTATCTATTTGAGTCCAAGTTAAAGAGCATAAGGTTTTAAATTTGTTTGCTACTTTAAAAGAATGATTCTTTTGTGACGATATCATCAAATTTCCAATTACTTGCTAAGAAATTTGCGAAGACAAAAACTGCTTTATATTTTCCCGTAAGCAGGCCCCAGAATATTCAAAAAATGGAGCTTAAAAAAAAAAAGAAAATCTAGACAAAATAGTCGATTGGATCTGAAATGAACATTTTAAGAAAAAAGCCTATCACAATTACCATCGCGACATGAATCCAAAGCGTCACATCAGGGTACACTAGTCTCCATGAACTGTAAAAGCAAAACATTGATGTACAGAATATATATTTTGTTTAAGCGTCAAATATACGAGGATAGATCATTAATATAAAATGAGTGGTTTACAGTTTTTAGACACTATTTAATTTTTTAAATAAAAATCATATAAAAAAATCATTTGAAAGAAAAAACCATATAAGAAAAATGAATGTCTGATGACGAAGAAGAGACCTAGAGTCAATGTACTTTTTGTAAAGGTCAACTCACTGAACAGGAGCTACTATTATGTTATTTTTTGTAGCAAAAATTTTTTCCTAATTGTTGTTGGACGTTAGTTCATCTCTGAAAAAAACTAGAGAAGTGAAAAAAAAAAAAAAAAATTAGAAAGTAAGAAGAGCTAAATATTGGTACAATAGCAGCGGTGATAATAATGTTATAAAAGAACTGGTCAGGCTATCCTAATTTCATTATTAGCCTTTTTACATTTTTTAAATTGATCAGCTGGAAAAATATTGATTCACGAGGCATGCGGTTGTTTTTATTTACAATTCAAGGAGCAAACATATCTTTCATGACAGATGATTGGTTCAAGGGTAGATTAATATTTTAAATGGTACCTTACATAGTACATTGAAAATGATTAGAAAGTGATTGAAATTTATTTTTTCAGATGCTTAATTGGTTTATTGATCAGAGTAACATGAAGTTTAATCTCCGCTTAAAACCAAAATAATTTTTACTTCTTATAAGTGAATGAAAAAACTAAACTTCTTTCATCAACAAGATTTGTCAATTGTTTAATATTTGATCATACAAATACAGCTTTTCTTTTAGATGGCGTTACCCAATTCGGAAAATTTACCTTTAAATAAAGTAAATCAAATCGATAAATGTTTAATAGTTGGCATGCAAGCTGGCACTGATAAGTTTATTATGCAGATTTTAATTATCGGAGGATTTTCACGCCAATTCGTAATTACGCAACAGCGGTTCATGGCCACTTGTCTATTGGTAATTACAACCGAATGACCTTTTTTGGTTCGTATTTACAAAACGAATTTGAATTCCAGATCAGATTTAATTTAAATCAATTCTTCATCAAAATACCAGACTAAACTGCCATAAAACTTATCTACCTTTAAATACATAGATTACAAAAAGCTAAATAAGCTTCTAAATATTTCATTCGAAAAGTTCTTGTTCACACTACTTTCAGTTATGTGCTAAGAAAAAAGAGTGACAAATGACCAAGTGAAAAAGCCTAAAGAACTAGGATCAATGTTTAGTTTTTGAATGATAAGAAGTATTCCCTATGTATTTGAGATTTAACATTAATGCCTTCTTTGTGAGACGAATATTTTTATTTATTTTGTAATTTCATGACAGGTTCTATTTTGTTTTTTGGTTATTTCATTTATGTTTACTGCCATGAAAAAAAAAAAAAAAAAACGATGCATATGAGTTCAAGCAAATTTTGGTAAATTTTATTTTCAATTATTATTTGAAATATTCATTATTTTGAGCTCATTATCAACATCCAGCACAAAATGCGTGCGGTCGTGAAAATCCGTTTCACCGATTTTCTTCTTCGTCATTGCTTTTACATCTACTGGATCGTACTTTGGTTTACCTGGAAGAGGTCACTTGAGACTTAAATGGGAGAACATCGAAATTATCAGACACAACAGTAATTAATTGAACCTCTAGTTGCAATATTATTATAATACATTGAACGAACCATCATTATATGTCAGTTTGAATTCAAACTTGCAAATTTAAATACAACCCAAGTTTTTTTATATTTAAAAATATCTAGATTAACAATGAAAGCGCAAGCCTGCAACTATCGTTCGAATGTAAACACCAATGTTATTCGCACTACGATTTTTTGTCAATCTTTGAACCTGTACCATGGCACTGACCATATCGAAAACTGTACATGCCAAAGGAAATATTATCGGCTTTGTACTATTTTCCGACTGATAGACGGAACAGAAAAACACACATTCATCTTTGCCCTAAAGACTAAATAATTTAAATTAAATTAAAACATTTAGGTCTTTTCTAGTATTTAAATTAATTACTCATCTGTTTTATGAAGTTTTAGATGAACTGAATGAATAGTAAAGTTGAATTCAAGTTTCAAGTACTGAATTACGTTGCCTATAGTGATAATGAAAACGACTAAGTTCTTTAAAGTAATGAGGAAAGAAAAAGAAAATCACCGGTGGTTCCTCAGGAGAGTCATCAGGACTTGCTTCAATCAACCTGGCACAAACCTGACGCATATGTGGCGCGCGCTCAGATATTTTTGCAATTTCGTTTTTAGTGAGTCGATTCGCACATCGAAATATGGGACAGCATGGTAGCTCTTCTGCAACTATGCAACAAGGCATCAAGCTTTAGAATTAATCACTGTGGTGCAATTTAAAACTGAAAACAAAAAACCAACGAGCTGCAACGGCGACATTAATGCGCGATGTTAGACAATCGAAGCAGAGACGGTGACGACAATCCATCAACGTCATGCGTGCCGAATTCGCGCATGCAAATGCACCTTCACAAAGTGTTCAGTTAGAGGTCAGAAATATGTATCAGATTAATTCAGAGGTTATCTAGTGTAGCTTGACTCATTTAAGGTCATAGTGTCAAGTAAACTAAGCAGTTCTTGTTGATATGGATGAACTGTTTGATGAGTTCCACCAATAATTTTGCTAGATAAAATTCGGAAAAGAGAACCTTTTCTGCCATCACACCGTTGTCGCTCTTCGAGCTGTAGCATCGATGGTAATTTTTGCCCAAATGATATCTTTTGTATCTCCTCATCACCCTGAAAAAACATCACTTCCTTTCTGCATTATGCTATCGTGCCAGGAATTTTGTTAGGTGATCATGATTCTATTAAAATCTGTATTATTAGATTGAAATGGTAAGAAATGGTAAGTAAGTTCATTCTCAGGCTAATGCAGATAAATAAGGTGAATTTTTTAGAATTTATGGTAATATATTTCGTCAACAAAACCAATATTACTGATATTGGTTTTGTTTACTGATTACTGATACATTTAGCCAAGTAGGATCTGGATCCAAGTCATATATCTAGTTCAAGAGCTTATGAGATAATAGAGCAATAATGCCTATTTTCTGCACCGTATAGATTGAATTGCCTATTTTGCGTCTTGTCACCTTTCGCATTTATGATTTGAAGGTATTCATTGATTACTATTTGATACATTCATAGGTTATTACCTCATCTGCTTCATCGATGATGACGTTCACATGACGTATGTAAGTGCAGCAAGGAAGGGGACAAAGCTGTGACGCTGAACATTTCGATATGCAGCCTCTGCAGAACATATGTGAACAAGGTAGCTTTTGCATCTCATTCGGTTGCTTACACTGCAAACAAATTGAACACACAGTCATGTCGACGTGTTCTGTAAACGAATAAATGAAATGTGCAGGTCGGATACGCATAATAAATAGTTCGTAGTGTTAAATATTAGATATGTAAAGTTCACGTAAGTGAGGAGATATTAATGGAAATGCGTGATAATAAATACTGTTCGCGTTCTTGCCTTCCTTTCTCGTCGACCACAGAACTGCCAGTAACGGCGAACTTTCTGCTGTTATTGTAAATATGTAAAATCATTTCATAGTTTATTGTATATTGGTCAGACATTGCTATACAGTTGTTTCTTATCACTACCGCTTTAGAAGGAAGCAAAAGATGGATGACTCAATAGAACTGAATAACGAACTTCAGCGAACCTTCTATCATGGATTTCTCCCACACGCTGACATCGATCCATTACTTAAAGAGGAGGGCGATTTTGTCATTCGCAAAACAGACAAAGATGGTAATCATTTATCGAAAATTTATAATTGGAAAATAATTTTTCAGTCGGCGCAAAACAATTTCTTTTGTTCCTGCTACTTTTATTGCCTTCAGGATGTTAAATTCACATAACATATGTAAGTTCGAGTTGGACTTTATTTCAAAGTATGTAGTTATATTGAATTCACATAATGGATGACGACCTAAAAAAAAATCAGGGCAAAAATGTTTGTTAAAATTTCCGGTCAAATCATCCTCGCTTTATCAGTAAAATGGAACAAACAAATATTGCATTTTGTGGTCAATCAGGACGAGACGGGCTACTATTACTTCGAGACCCATAAAGTTTCTTTTCTTTCAATTTGCCTGTTGCTCCTGGAAGATTTCATGCTTTTAATGGATTAACTACTAGAATGTACAAACAACTAATAATTTAGGAGAAAACAATGCACGATTTAATTAACTGGCACAAAACAACAGGAACTCCAATATCTGCGGGTAGTCATGCAAAGCTTGTTAATGGAGTTGGCCGACAACCATGGCTTTTGGAACATGACGAGATTCAACTGCAAAGGAAGTTAGGTGAAGGAGCCTTTGGCGAGGTCGTTCATTTTGCTTGAAATTTGAAAGTCTTCTAGATTCAACATTGCTTTAAAAATGCATAATACCACTTGATTTTTATACTTAATATTTATTGACGCCATCATAAATGCTTTTTTTATTATCACAAATGATATAGAGTTCTCATCCTATTGCATAACTACTAGCGTAATGACAAATGACAGAGAAAGCATTTATGCTTAACTGTTAGCAACATCAAGGAAGTAAGTAAGTGTAATCTATGAAGCTTTCTTGGCAAACGACGTTCGTAATCTCATTTATACACGTTCCTTCGTGATTGATACTGCTCGCCTATTTTAAATTTCAAACAATACTTCCCTTTCATTGATAGCAATCTGCGAATGTTCCAGCGAAGTAACTTAGTCTAATTTAGCTTAAGATGTTATGAATTACTATAGGTATATCTAGCGCAATATGTACAAATGAACAAAATAACTGATGTGGCAGTAAAAACGATGCGAGAAGAGGCCTCTCGGCAGGCACGACTTAAATTTATGAAGGAAGCTCGAATAATGCGTAAATTCTCGCATCCCAATGTAGTAAAAATTATGGGTATTGTGGTATATGAAAATCCATTAATGATTGTCATGGAGCTATGTCCCGGTAAATATTGATATTTCTCAAATTTCATAAAACCTACTGCTTACCCAATCCGGGTGCGCTTCAATTGAAAATGTATATATTTCAGAAGGTTCAATGCTCAGTTACCTTAGGAAAAATGTACCTGTCAACTCAGATCTAAAACTACGTTTTGTTACAGAAGCTAGTGCCGGCCTTGCATATTTAGAATCAAAACACTGCATCCACAGGTTAGCCGTTGATTTCTAACTTCCTATCACTAAATATTCTCATACTAATCATCTGACTTGATTTCCTGTTCGTGATTCAATTAGCTTGATAACTAATAACGCGTTTTTCTCTCGCAATATACTTCTGTGTGCGTATTGCATATATGACGACATGCGTTAAACAACGCTTTCGCAAATATTTTGTCAAAATATAGTAAATTTCAGAGATATAGCGGCAAGAAATTGCTTGTTATCAGAACAACTGGAAGTAAAAATAAGTGACTTTGGTATGTCTGATGAACGAAGAATTATCCATGACGAAACGTTAGAAAAAGTATCTTTACACTAATCAAGACTTCGAGATTTATAGATACCAGAAGGCATTAATTTAATATAGCTTAAAATAAGACATATTTGTCAAGCAAATGTCAGGTTCCAATGAAATGGCTTGCCCCAGAGACCATGCAACAACGTATATTCTCGTCCAAAACTGATGTCTGGTCCTTTGGTGTGTTGGTAAGCTCATTTTCAAATCTATAACAGTGTGGATTCAAATTTCATTACGGGTGTACTTCTGTCAAATTCATCCAATTTTCTCGTAAAAATCATATATTATTAGGTTTGGGAAGTGTACGCGGACGGCAAGGAACCATATCCAGGCTTATCAAACATTCAGACACGAGCCAAAATTGTTGTTCAGAACTATCGAATGGAAATGCCGAAAGTGAGTTCGATCAAAGTCAATCATATTTATTATACAAATGTCTACTTTACGGGGTGAAAAAAAAAACTTTTCAAGCAGAACTTAGACTGTTTAAACAGAAAGACTTTTAACTTGTTTTGCGAACCATTTTTCAATAAGAATCTCATTAATAAAACCATTCTAACTCATTAATACCACAAAGTTTTCTGGTCTAATCACAAACTTTATGTTGTACTTCTACTTATTTCTAGACAGCGCCATTGGCTATATCAAAGCTTGTTTACCGATGCTGGAAAACGGAACCTAGCGAAAGACCATCATTCGCTGAAATTTACAACAAGCTAAAGGTGTTAAACAAAAAGTAAAATAAGGAAATCCTATTCTTCCATTACAAATATTCAACGTCTTCAGAGTTTAGAATGGTAAATCTGTTAAGACAAAAGTCGATATATTGAAGCGAAACTACTAACATTATCAGCACACCAATTTCATGTTCTCAACCCTTATATTATATTTACGAAAAACCGAAATTTTTGTAGCGAAAAATACCTATTCAGCACATTTTGCCTTTTCCCCATTTTCCATTATCATTCATAACAGAGCAATTTAATGACCAGAAATACAACAAAAACAATGGTGAATCATAAATTGTTTCTGTCCCGAAATATTGTTTGAAACGGTGCCTAGCTAAATCTAATTACAAAATTAATGTAATTATTATGCAATAAAACAAAGTGATGAGAAAAATATTAAAAATCGAATGACCAGTGTTAACAAAATACTACCAAATAGTGACCTCAGTTAAATGTTCATCAGATTTAATATTTCTTCAATGATTACAATTCATTTGCGGGTAAGCACTTTCGCGCAAAAATATTTGTAGAAGCTTCCTTTTCAATTATATTTGCTTTTAGACAACTTTCAAATTCAGAGTAAGGAAAAGAAACCATCCCACCACAAGTTGTACGATGTCTACAAAGAGCATTTATCGGTAATGAGGATCCAATAAAGCATAGATGAGGGACTGCTTTCACATGAATTGCTTGAGAATAAAATAATATTCTTGGATAATTTGTAATAATAAGCTGTTCACTTTCATACAACTCGGCGAACTTCAAAAAATCTTTTTAGGTAAAATATCTGTCCAACGGTCATCGAAGCAAGAACCACAGCTTCGAAAACAGCCCATAAAACCACTCTTGAATTTGTGTTTTCATTTACTGAAAAACAAATCTTATTGAAGCAAGTCAAGAAACACTTTTCTGTAGAACAGAAATGCTACAGAAAAGTAGCGGTAATGAAACACAACTGATTACTAAACACTTATGGAAGTATTTCATTTGAAGACGAGAACATGCAATAATCAACAAAGTAATGTCGGTATCTACAAATGGGAAGGGATAAAGCAGACATCTCGACCAAATTTAAGCTAAAATATACGCGCTGGTTGCTCCAAACTTATATAAAACTTTAATCTCTTCTCACTTTATTTACTTCAAAAAAAATCGAATCTAGAAAACCTAAAATCATTTTCCCAACATTATATTTGTCTCAAAAATCGGTCGAATCACCAGTCCAATTTTATGCGTTGGTTAGTTCAGATTTCCTGCAGTGATAAAATATGATGCTTCAAAAATTAAATAAACTGAAGTCCAGTGAAAATTCAAGAAAAAACTTACTTGACCTATGTACACGTTCCCGTACCTCCATATATTCCTGCTCATGCTTGACAGATGTCAATGCCGATGATAGTTCCCGTACCATTTCTTCTAGTTTAAGACTGTCCGCTAAAAAGTCAGTCTCTGTATAATCCTTAAGAAAAAGATAGCATTGTTAAATTGGATATCAGATAACAGATATAATATAAACACCTGACATGGAAGGGAATAATATTAAGGGAACCGAAAGCAATATTCTACCTGAAGAATCATTACCACTCCCCTTTCCTGCTTCAGATGGTATCGGTTGTCCAGGTTGTGCAATTTCCATTGAAAACATGACCACTTTTGGAGTCATAGTTGACATCTGATTTCCAAAACAATACGTATAGGGCCCATCCATATGTGCAGCAAAGGTATACTTACCAGAACTTTCACGTTCTCCCCTGTAGATTTCTTTGTTGTCAGGGCCAATAATCTAAAAAGAGAAGCACTCTTAAAATTCATTAAACACACACTGCATTTTGGCACTGGAAATTCTACACTGGTTGCCGATTCTACAGCAATTGTGCCAATACTATATGATACAAATGACTAATAATTATAAACAAAAATTCTGCATTTGTTGTATTATTCAGAGAATACAGGCAGCAATTGAGAAGTTGCTCCAGCCAATTTTGCAAGCAACCGAAACTGAAAAAGGGAACCTTCACATCAATATCCAAAAATCCGCCTTCAGCAACTTCAAATATCACACCCATCTTAGTGCCAGCCCTCACACGATCGAAAAAACATTGCTCCTCGTTCGCATCAATGTGTATGAAATAAGCAGCTGATTCCATCACATAACAAGCAGTCAACAAGAATCTGATCAACATCACGGCACCTTTAATAATATATTCATGACATCCACAACATATCCCACCTCTTGTATTTATCCCCCCTACCCCTTACCTACTTCACTCTCGACAACCACCAAATCCTTACACACTGGCAAAAATGCTTCCCCTATCACCACAAATCAAAAACAAATCCGCCACGTTGCCAAAAGTACAATTTAACGCAGTTCGCATATGTATGGCGTTAGATCTAGATGTATTGATTTGGATAAGTGTAGCTTCTGCAGTGGGATATACTGGGCTTTTTATAATAAACCGAATGAACGTTTGTGTTGTATTGTTTTGGAAGACAATGGTGAGTAATGTGTATTACTTGAAATGCCGCTAAGTTTAACTACCCAACTTTGAGCATCGAGTAGAAGACTCTAGGATTTATTTGTCCACGGAACATCGGAAATGAATTATCAAAACTTCTACTGATCCTGACAATGAAATTTTTCAAGATGTCCAAAAGCTGAGAGGAACAGTACGGTTGAATCATCAAACAGATTGGCGTTAATGATGTAAAACGATCCAGAAGTAATGAGCATGTACTGATTGTTCGCAAAAAATTAGTCTTGAAATGGCGTGAAGGATGGTGAGATGGATGGGATGATGGATTTTAGGATACTTCACCATTCACATATATTTTCAGCCTCATTCAAATTTAAATAAGTATTAAATTAAGAAGTATTAAAGATAAGCCTTAATCAAAAATAATGAGTCATCCATCGTCATTCTTCTTCATTGTAGGTTCATGGAACTTTCTGCTGTTTTCATGAGAGTTGTTAGACGCATGACCTTCTATAAGCTTGGTTTTTCACCAAAATTTAGCTTTTTGGAGTGAACTAAATTATTTTCGGAAACACGTCCTCTTTTCACAACATTTTTATTTCCGCTGCTTGGCCCATTCTTTGGGTGCGTTAATTCAGTTTAATATATTTAAGATTGATGTTGTATAATATATCTTAATTCAATATCAACTTTATCAAATTTAGCTAGTAGTTGAGAATAAAGAAGAGATATTAGTTAACCTCCAGATACTAATTTTCATTTCTAGCACTTTCATTTAAAGTTTCTTAGATGAATTAATGGACTTGTTCGCTCATAAGAGAAGTTAGAACCGCTTCCTTCTCTCTTTTTAGGATATTTGTTCTCTGCTTTGGGTATGAACTTATTCTCTTTTCCAATCGAAATTTTAGAAATACTTTTAGAAAATTACTGTAAGATTTTCTTACTTCACTGTTACATGTGGCAATTCTACCGAGAAATATTAGAAGCTGAGTAATTCGAAAGTATGGCCCCATACACTTTTGATAGCTCCAAGAAGGTTAATAACTGTAGAAATATTTAGAAGATAATAATCACATGGAGTTTTGCATGAAACAAGAAATCATTTGCAGGAAAAAAATGATACATCTTTGCCCTTCTGAATTGTTTCGCCTTCCTGATGTTTCTGGACTGTTGATGTCATTCCGAATGGTTCTGCCAAGTTTGTTAAACTGTTTGAATTATTTGACATTGTGCGCACTTGCAGCTGTCCATTCAGTGCACCTAAGTCAAACTTATTAGTAGGAAGTAGTTATCTAATCAAAAGTTACTGTGTTGATTTAAATTAGTTAGTTCCTGCTACGTTTAACAGTTTTCTTTGTGGTGTTCATTTCTCATTTGTTAGAAGCTAAGAAGACCATTTCGGGATTAGTAATTTTTAACTCACTATGAATGTCTCGGAATGACATAAGCCTTTAGCAAGGAATTCTAAAAGTTTTCGTAGCAGGAACTAACTAACTCGTTTCCTTTTTAAATGTCGCAACTTTTGTGTCCTTTTTCCACGATTTCGGCATCAGCTAACTGTAGGCTAGAAGGCCCTATCTTCTACATAAAATCGGAATATTTCTGATGTGAAGTTTATGTCAAAATTGATGCTGTGCTTAGCACAATATAAGAAGCCAAAACTAGGACTTAACATCAAAAAACAACTCACAAAGATATAAATCTTAATTTTTAGTCCTGATCCTGGTGATCGTTGTTTTTCGCAAAATAAAGAAGTACAATAAATAGTTTGAAATAATGTATATATCAGTCATTTTTATACTCAATGATTACTCATTTTATACTCACTGGAATAGTTGAACTAATTCGAAAGACGAATTATCTATTCAGGAAGTGTGTTTTTTCGATTTTCATTGCTGAATTGCTATGTCATTTATAGATAGCTTTCTTATTCGATGACAATATCTCGGAAACACGAACTCATTACTCACGCAATAATATTTGTTTGCTTATATTATTGCTTATGAGAAGTGAATCTAGAAATTTGTCTTCACGTATTAATGATATTGCTCACGTATACCAAAATATTTAATGTAAGATTGTTTGGAGTTTCTTTTATCTTTCAAAATATTAAATGAAATTTAAGACAAACCATATAAAATCCAATTTATAGCAGAATTAGTAAACGGAAGAGCATGGATGAAATACATGAAGTAGACGAAAATCGGCGGCACATCACTATTCTTGTCACCGGCATATTCCAAATACACTGCATAAACGGTTGCCAACCAAAACGGTGTCCAGCACAAAAAATAAAGACACGCGACAGCTAACGTATAGAGAGAGATTCGCATCAGCGGAATACGTGAAGACTGCAAAGCAGAATAATTTTTAAAACTAAATCTCATGACTGTTGCTTTTGAGATAACATTAGCACTTCTACTTTTGCTTTATAGTAAGTTTGATATTTGCAATAAAAACTTGAAATATTCTTAATTAAAATTAAACCAGTTAAAAAATAATGATAAGTATCTAATAATTTGTTTTGCTATACTACTGGTGAAAGTTTATAACTGAAGATGTTTTTCTCTAAAAAATCGCACTTTGACTTTTTTGTTTTATATATTATATCTACATCCCTTTATTGATATAAAAAGTACTGATTTCTATTAAATGTTAAATGAAGCTTGATATCTCAAACTGTGTTATTTCTGATCAGAAGTAGAAACGTAAAGCATTAAAGTTATTAGAGGAAAATTAGTAAGTTAATAAATAAACCGCAGCTCTCTTATCTGATGAGAAATTAAGAAGTTTTTTTTTAATTTAAGAATTTTTTTTTTTTTTTAAATAGAATTTAAGAAATTTTTTTTTTAATTTATAAATCTGAATGACTTAGAATGCTGAAGTAACATATGAGCATAGTGAAGTTTTCATATCTTTCAATCCAACAATTTTGTTGGATCCATTAGTGTTAGGTTTCAATTGGACTTAAAAGGGTCATTTTTTTAAACCAATATATACCATGCTTTTGCAGGCATTTTTGAAATTATGTGTGAAATAAATTGTTCTTATTCTGCAATTGTGAAAATAATCCACATCGCAAACGTCAACTGAAGTTCAGAAATCCAACATACCTTAAATCGTCGTGCATGTTGCCGCAATCGCTTTAGTAGTTTGGCATAGAAAAAGGTGACTAATGACAGTGGGAAACAATAACAAAATATGAATAGATATATGGTGAAAAGAGTAAATATAAATGATGAAATATTGACCATCGTACATTTCTCTATTGTCATGCGCGTCAACTTCAAAGGTGCAGTTTCCTGCAATATTTTAATAAAATGAATAAACCTCTCGCTTGACCCACTGATTCTTTTCACTTGTTTTGAATTAAAAAGTCAATGGTCTCTCCTACACAAGTCAAAGAAACACAAATTTAATTTGATATCGAATTTTTTAAGTACTGGGAAATTTACCTTCTCAAATAGTACCAATTCTCGGGCTCTGAAACTCCACAAAAACGGACATAGAGTAATCATGGCATAAAATGCTAATCCTAAAATTTAATGGTAAAAATTTGAACCACTACCAACGATACAAAAATATTAAACTTGTAAGTACGATGACAGATAATATGTTAGTTTACGGATATAGAGAGTAAAATACAGTTGCCTATGAATTTTTTTTTTTTTTTGAATGATAGTGAGAACAGATAAACATCACAAACATGAGGTCACTCGTAATATTTTAGATAACTTCTAAGCAGCTTGAATCATTTAGCCTTCACTCGAAGCCTGAAACAAGCCTTAGGATGTCCAGCAGTGACTGCTACTGCAGTGACTGTTCTTAATAGCAATTATTTTATGCAAACCATTGTCATTGAAAAATTTCTCAGAAACTGAATAAATAACTAAAACAAAATGTATGATAGTACCAGTAAGTATGGTGATAGCTAAACGCCTGGATCTAAGCCATTTGCGTTGTGAATGACAAACGCTAACGTAGCGATCAATGGACATTACCGTGATAATTAGTGATGAAAGGATTTTACCGAAATTCTCCAGCACTGCATGCAATTTGCATATTACCGTGCCAAACATCCAAAATCCAAGAATCTGCAAAGAAGCGATGTGAATTACACAATTTCTTATTTTCGTTCATTTTCTAGCCTCTCTCATTAAATTTGTCAGTTGAAAATTTGTTCCTTTTTGTTCCCAAAACAGTGTATATAAGACTTACTTGGTCGATTACGGTAAAAGGCAATGAAACGCAAACACCAAAATCAACGCATGATAAAACAATTACATAGATGAGAGTATTATCCAGTGATCCTCGATTCGATCGTGCCTGGAATATCTTAGAAAATGGAACAAAAACAAAGTTAAATTAATTTTGACCTTACTATTTAACTAATACCTTGCAACAATTAGATATCGTTAGTGTAATGACAATATAATTTGCTTATAATTTTGAAATTATAATTAGTTCCCTTTCGAGAATTAGATATTTTAGATATTTTTAGAATCAATTAGATATTTTAGAAATTTAATTCTAAACAAACCACATGATAAATGGTAGTGAGAACTGCAACATTACCAGAGGTACCAAGAAGAAACAGTAGCATGTAAGTGCCTGCCATGACCAGAACCTGACGATTCTCGTGATTAGGTGGTGGTAGCACATCCGTTATTTCCATCTTGGCTCGATATTCCAGTCCCAGTTGCTGTAAAGAACACTACTGATAAATAGATTAGTTGAGTACATAATATAGTGTAAGTAACATTGAACAGTTGTCATACGGTAGATATACACTGCTTAGATGTTTTCACAAATGTTGAGAATTTAATTACTAGCATAGTTAATTGCTAAGCAGCAGACTGATTAGGTCAATTCAGTAATAAGTATAATAACCATGGCATACCCCTCTTTCATCCTCTGTATCATTGCGCCACAGTTCATGATGAAATTCCACCTGCTCCATGCATAAATAAGCTATTGTAATTGTTCAAGAAGAATGAAAGAATTGCTCCTCCATTTTATTTGATATTCGAACTGAACTAATACTTTTTGACCGGAAATGCGTAAATATACTTGCAAAATAATTTGAACTGAAACTTAGTTTTATGTCATTATCTATATTTAAGCTATACTGTGACATCTCTTATGAATTTTCATCTAGATACAATCAATGGCAAACTTTAAGAAACATCTTAAGAACTACTTTAATATCTGAAGCAGTATCATTATTATCCGGCAAGTATGAAAACGCAATTATTTCTAAATCGTAGAGATGTAAAGTTTGTTTTTGAGGCTTCAAGAATTTGTTATATATTCCGGAGAGGTTTTCATGAAGTTCCTATACTACTAAACGAACGATGAAAATTTGTTCAGCACAATATAATCTTTTTTTTTTTTTCATAATTCAAGATCTATAGCAAATCTATTACCTCTGAAATAGGCCTAAACAATCTCCTTACCATAGTAGGAGATAGTAGTGCTAAGGCATACTCGAGATCAAGAAAAGAAGATACTAGAGCATTATGAAGGATTAAAAATGTCAGAAATCAAATGATGGTTGAATAAAACGGTGTTAATTGACAGTACTTTGGAGAGATTCATGGGAAAGCAGTACAGTAGTGTTACCAGCAAAAAAACTTTTATTCTTTTATAAACATACAGTCATGCTGGTTTTACTAACAATAAATATCAGCAAAGCAATAGGTCAAAGGATACTATACAAACGTAGCTAATGATATGGACGTAAAGAACAAAAGATCGAAAAAGGAGAACTGGAAAGGACACCTAAAAGGCAAAATTTTTCTAACAAATTTCCGCTAAATAAAAGATAGTTTATACTGCCAAGCCTTATCTCATATTTCAATGTAATCTGACAAGCCTTTCAAGATATACGAACAATATTTTTATATTCATACTTCTATCATCTTCTTTTTCTCAAACTATCATTTTGAACCACTCATAGGAAAACAGAAAGAGAAATTTACAGACATTACAATTTACACTTTATATTTCTTTTCTTCACATTTTATAACCGGTTTTCCCTTCTTTTAGAAAATTTCCTAAAGCATATTCAAAAAGCATTACTTAATAAAGCATTACTAAAAAGCTACTTAAAATACTAGGAAAAAATGGATGGAATTATATTCTGCTGAATACTAGCAATCTTTAAGTCTTGTTTTTCACTTTGCTCTAAATGAAATTAAGCTAAACATATGCTAAGAATGAAAAATACTAAATTTCTTCCCATTTTCGGAAGAAAATTGATATATGTAGGTAAATGCAAAGCTTTTTACACTTGATATTGTGTTTTGTCCAGTTACTTTAAAAAAGTTCGCAATTAACAATGGCTAACAAAAATAACTAAATAAACAAAATATCATAGAAGTGATTAAATATATATTAAAAAAACAAAAAGAGGCAATTTTCAATAATTTTGTGGGCGTTTTTATTCTATAAAGGCACAATTATATTTAAAACTTGCTTATTTGCAAGATAAATTAACTACGAAATTTAAAAATAGTCACGATGTTTTAAAGAAATGCTTCACGATAAAAAAAATTGTTAATGTAACAAAATTTTCAACCACAATTGGAGGTTGCATTTAATAATTTATAAAATGAAATGCAATAAAAGGGAAATGTAACAGGAGGGAAAAAGAAATGCAAAGAGTATTAAGAAAAATGGATATAAAAGTCATTTTATACTGATTGTATATTTACATCATTTCACTCCCTTCCCGTTTTATCATCTTTCATTTCAGAGATATTTGCCGAAGTCACACTTCACATAATTAAATGCGGCAAAAAAGAGCGACGAAATGAAAGAAAAAGGCTGAAAGATTATGTTCTTTACTTTTCACTTACTTGAAATATTTAATCTTATAGCTTTCTTTAATTGAAATAATAACAACTCTTTTTATCAGCAGTTCTTCATATGGGTTTCTTCACAATAAATGCTTCATGATCATTGATTGCATCGACAGTTGTAAATAATGAAAACAGCCGAATGCATTCCGCTAGCTACAGCTACTAATGAAGAAAGTAAAGTATTGCTTTAGAGATAGACACATCAATAGCTCATTTAAAAAAAAAAAAAAAACAAGTCATATTTACCAGTTTCACATCTTCATGACAATGTATTATCTGAAGAAGTTCATTGTTAAAGAATCATCAGAAAGATAATTTGAGATCAATCAGTGCAAAACAATGAATTTGAAGCAGACGAAGGGAAAGCCTGTGACAATTTACTCAGCAAGCTTTCTTAGCATCAAGAAAGAAGCAATAAAATAAGCTGAATTTAGTCAACTAATTAAAAACAAGCTTAGGTTTAGGATAATCAAAAAATTATTTTATGTCGGTCCATTTATTTGATGAGGAAAATGGTAATACACCAGGATTCACTAGGATATCTCGAATAACTCAGTTGCTAAATGAATATTATCAGAATATTCCTTGGACCAAGTTTATTTTTCTAGATGCATTGCTTGTGACGATTCACTTGACAGTTCCATCAGTTGCAGTAATTTAAGTCATTCGATCAGCAAAATTTTATAGACACCAGTAAAATATTCATACGGAGATTTATGGGAGATATAGTAAATATGCACTAAAAATTATTAACTGAGAGAACATAGTCCTTTAACCAATGAAAATTCGTTCCTACTCGTTGACTAATCACTGACTTTACCATTTTTAATCTAAATAAAAAACTAAGTGAAAGAAATATAGAACAGGATTTTAGATGAATCTAACTTCTACCTACATGAATTTTTGGCTAATAAACGACCGTGTGGAATAAGAATCATTTTCCATAAATCCACTTCAATGATATGCAGATAGTAAAGCTCAGAGGAGGATTTCGATTTTAGCTTACGTATTCATTATCGCGTGCTTATTCACATTTAATCTTAGAATATATTTCGTTTAGACCACTTCTTGTATTCATCGAGTTATCTAGCTGTAGCGGGAAATCACCATTTATCATGAAAATACCTCAAGTAGAATTAAAATGTATTCGAGGTGGAAAGTTTATGCTGAGTGCTTTATCAAAATGTGGGATCAGACAATTCATCGATGGATGTTTGAAAAAAAGGAGAATTTAAAGACTTTCTGATGTGTGTTATTTGGTTATTATCGATCATATATGATCAGTTCATCTCGGTGATTTTAGCAGTAATGAGAGAAAGTGTGCATCGAACAAATAAAATGACCTTATAGATTGCAACTTAAATAGCAAAAAAATTTCAGTTTTCCTTTCTTAAACCTAAACCGCCATTTCTTAGGACAAGTACACATTGATTACATTTTTTAAATAAAAACTTCAGTATTACGTATTGGAAACCTAAGAAATTTGTCCAACTATTAAAAATAATTTGAAATAATAATTTTAATTTTTAAAAATAATAATTTTGTAATAAAAAGCTAAACTGAATCAAAACTTAATGAATTTCAAAATTCGAAAAAAGAATAACACTCTACAGGAGCAACGTCTTCCTGGATAATGTAATTATGTAGAGCTCTTCGTGACTATCACTTAACTTGTGATGAACAGAGCTTAAATTTAGCAATTTTTGCTTCTAAAAAATTTTAAATTGCATATGAGAATAAACAAAGAGAAGAAAAGAAACAGGAATATTTTTAGAGTGAAAATATTTAGATTTACATTTCGAATTAACACATAACAGGAAAGCTGAAAATGTACACTTATCACAATACCCAATAAATCGTTGTTCATGAAATTTCACTGATTGAAAATAACGTAAGGATTTAAAAGATGAAAAATGCAGTCAAATAGAATCTCATCAAAAATTAAAGCTGGAGCTAAGTTTTACGGGAAAAATCAAACATCAGAAAATAAAACTTAGCTCAGTGATCATTTATAGTCTTTTTATCATTTTAGAAAGAAGCAAAACCTAATTTAATCTATCAGTAAAACTCATGAACATTATATCAAATATTACAAGTGGTTCAAGACAATTTCCTCACTTGTCTTAGCTCTCAATGATAATGTATGGATATACGGTTTCTTACAAACTTTCAAAAAAAGAAGAAAATTTGTTCACACATAAAGTGAAAAAATGTCACCTGTTTGTTTTATGAAACTTAACATAAATGTGAAATGTCATAAGATGAATGTATAAATGAAGATATAAGATGATATTGAGGATACTCATTCGTTGCTAAAACATTGCTGATTCAATTTCATTCTTCACACTATCTTATAAAAGCTGTTGAAATAATTCCTCCTTGACTAAGTTGACAATTTTTTCCAGACAGTTTCACTAGTTTCATCTGAAAGTTAAGCTAGATTTTAAGAAACTACGACGACAAAGACAACAGAATTGTAACAGTGATGCCAAATTTCACTATCTAAAGGAATCATAAAGACCAAAACTTGAGAGATAGGAATTGAAAACTAAGAAAATCAACATTCGAAATCTTTGTAATTAATTTGCTTAATAGTTCCAATATTTCATAGTTTTGGAATGCAAATATCATCTTCGCATTTATGATGACAATTTAGCCTTGATATTCGGCATGAACTATTTGCCATTTGTATGAATTATATTCATTTAATGATGGCTCCTTTTGTAACTGACTGACTGAGCGCATCCTCTTATTGTTCTAGAAAAGACATTATTTTATGTTAAAATTGAAGGAAGAAAATATGGCTCGCCAAGTGAAGTAAATTGGAATCTTCAATTGTTAAGGTTAAAATGTTGTTCATCTAAAAATCCCCAGCAATAGTAAACTAGTATCCCAGCATTGATACAGCTAGAAGGATTTAATTACCGATTCTCAAGCAATCCCCTCTTTTCCAATTATTAGAACTTAACAGGCTATTCACCACTAAATTACATTGGATCATAATGATGATTCCCCCCCAATTTGAGTTCATATTTGGCAGACCATATTTCTCTTCCTTTTTTTGTGACCTTTCCTCTTATTTCTTTCTTTTGTTTGATTGGAAGCTGAAGGAAAAGAAGTCAAGCGTTCATAGTTTAAAAGACAAATCGCCTTTCAAACACGTGACCCTAATTTTTAAAGTACTACCTTAAGAAATAACTTTGAAGCACCATTAAAACAAAAACTGCTCTTAAATCTAAAAAAATGAACTAATCCCCAGGAATCTTCGATATTCCCACCAAAACCAATACCACATATCTCACCAACCTGTCACATTAGCCTATAGTTTCTGGTCGTTCTCCAACTTTTTCCACAACCTAATTAGATTTAAAACATTCGCAAGAAAAAGAGACTAAAAGAGAAGAAATAATGCACAACAATGTGAAAATGATGTCAGCTTAAAAAAGTCTATTATGGATCCTTATCAAAGCATATTTCTTATCCCACAAAAAGTCCAACTTAAATTAGAGCACTTACGCATAGTTCCCTTAAAATAACATTTAAATTACAAGAAGCACTTCCCGAGGAATTTGTACTAAAACTGGAGTTTGCAGTGAAGTAAATAAAGACCTAATTATATCGAGTGTTGATCACACGAGAATAAAATGTTTATCAAGTAAATGCAGTAAATAATCAAATCATGGAGAAGTATGAATAATCGATAATCTTGAAGCAGTAGAATAAATCACATATGATCACAACAGAAAAGTTTATATTTCTTTGCTGTGCTTTAGATTTTGTGTGCAAAAGTACATACATGAGTGAAAGGAAATTAATTTCTTATATAACTTGACACGTAATATGAGAGAAGTATTTAATGAGAAATACGAGTAGCTAGGAAGAAAACATTCGTCCCAACAGCTGCAGGAAGTCTTCACATTGTGTGAAAGATAAATTAGTGTTTGAACCTGTTAAAAGAGTAAAATTAGAAGGAACAAATAAGATGTGTGCCTTGAGAATGCCACGATGTTTCACTTTGTTTCCTAAAATTCATGGAAGACAAATCTGACTTGCTAAGAATCAGTATTAAAACTTCATACTCCATATATTATGCGAACACTTCGGACTAAATACTAAGCAAACATATTATTACAAAAAGTTTACAAAGAACATCACAGATCACTTTGTGTTCCAATTATGATTTGTCGCTCATTTTAATACAACTATTAATCTACTTTGATAAAAAAAATAAAACAGAAAGACTACAACTGAAAGAGAATATGTTATTGCTTATATCTGAGAAAAACATTTTTTAACAAAGTATCAAACAAAGAACCAGCTAAAATTATCGTTTTAAAGCATACAATTTACATTTTAAACACTACATGTCAATCAACTGCAGTAGCCAAACACATTTTGCGACATTTTTTTTCTAAATGGTGCAGTGTAACTAATATGCTGGAGTTTCTAGTATGTCCTTACTGTTGTAAATCAACAATAACTTTACAACATCGCACAATATCGCGTTTATGTAATAATAGGAAAGAAATGAACAAAATGAATATTAAATTGTACCGACAATCCACAAACGTTCGAAAACTGTCGTACTTTGCTGTCGTATCACCTTTTATTGAAAATGAATTGAGTATGAATGAGCGATGAGATGAACTGAATCGAAGCTTGAAATACTCAAAAACTGAGCCAAGCCAATGATTTTAACTGCTTATACAAGAATTGGCTTATAAAAAAGTGCATAATTAGTGTAAGTAAAAAGTTGTCTCTCTACGATGATCAGTACCCTTCGGTTTATGACATTAAAATTGGTAGTTCTTTGTTAACAGACTGTAACATTTTAGACGCTGAAATACAGTTGCAAAATAATCTTGAATAAATGATTTCTTAGTTGTGATGTAAATTTGAACAATTTTGTATATGTTTAAGAATTGTTGAGATAGACAATGTTTAGCCTACAAGTTTTTATCATATGGAATTAATCCAAAATTATCTGGACATATTATAAATTTAGTTTTGGCTTTCCCAACATGCAGTAACAGTTATATTACTTTGAAATATAATGTATCAAAAATTCTTAGCTTTTTAGTGTACTTCCCAATAGTATTTAAGCACTTAGATCGCCCACAAACTGTTCTTCCACTGATCGGCTTAAGCCACAAGGCCTTCGAAACTCTTGACCACGTTCATGTATCCATTTATTTGAAACCCACTTCGTACCGGTTAACACAGGACACGCAGCGTGACGTGTTCTCAAGTCACCCTCACCGCTGCGCAATAAATTATACCAAAATAATGCATCGTTCTGCAAAGAAAATTTCTTTTTATTCAAAAACTTGATTATTAGTCTAAAAGTCAGAAAAACTTCAAATTCGTAATTTAGTATCCGAAAAACTTCATCCAAAAGACTTTAAGCAGATATCAATCTTCAATTTTCCAATTCGACCACCACTTCCAATCAAAATGGCAAAGTTTAAATAGTAATATTGATCAAAACATGTAGAAATCACTAACTTTAGAAGGCATAACTGTTGTTTTAACCTCAGTAAATACAGTAGCACCTCCTGATTCAGGCTGTGTCATCTGTAAATTTTTTCGTTTTAAAAAATTTTCATTTAAAAGCAACTTTTTCAGCAATGGCTATGGACTGAATAAACTTAACGGTTAGAGAAAAGTAAACTAGGAGCAGAGAAAATTTGAAAAAGATGACGTTTAGAAATTTTATGTTTTCAAACAATTTTAATGCATCAAAGTTACAACAAGAGATTTTGGTGGTTTGAGCTTCACAGAAATTAGCGAGTATTAGCGAAAATTAGCGACCCTCCTTTTCTAATTTCTTTTATGCAGAATGAATTGAATACTCACATAAAATAGCAATGTTGCCAAACGATTCCCGGTGTTGAGCGACTGAAAAGCGTTAACTTCTTCTCTCTGAATGAATGCCACATCATTTATGTACAATAAAATACTCAGTACAATAATGAAAAAATAAATCAGAGTTAAAAAATTAAATAAAAATATTTTAATTAATCGAAAATAATGAAACTTACTCTTGCGAAGTCAAAATGAGGATCATAATGACCACCAATACCATAATTTCCAACCTAATATTTGCTTTAGCATGAAAAATACAAAATAGTAGAAACTATTGAATAAAAAAAGCATCGCACTACGATGACAGTAATACCAGCCAAAACAACTAAACAGTGTGAATCTTCAAAGTAATACTGTGAAATTAGGGAGTTAGAGACTTTTTTAAAGGCAAACTATTACTGAGAAACAAAATTTCCAAACAGTGATTTGTAGTAAAAATACAAATTATATATGTGAAATCTGGAATTAATTAAACTACAAATTAACTAGTAATAGAAAGCAGGTAAAGCAAGTAAGAAACATCAGCAATTTAATTTTAAAATTTGTACTTTGAATAAAAGCAACAAACCTGCAATTCTTCTGAAGTCTCTTGCTCCAAATTAGTCATCAGATCAATTCGTTTATTGATCCGATGTACAACTTCGTGTTCCTCATCTTTCAACCATGCACTATAAGTAAATGAACAAAGCATTCGCTTTTTTCCTTGCAATTTATTTCTTACCAGTGAATAAGGAAAAAAGAAATTGAAGTAATTTCATGAAATCCTGTGAAATAATAAAATTCAGAAATCTTATACTTTCTTTCAAACATCCAAAATAGTAGAAAGCAGGTATGGCAAGTACAAAACATCAGCAATTAAAATTTTTTTTACATCTATTTGAAATAGGATATATCACAATTCTCGAAATCTAAAAATTAATTTTTTTAAAAATAAAAAAAAGTGCTCATGTCTCCCTACAATTGACCATCATATATTCCGGAAACTTTCGCATCCAGCTAAAATGCTTCTTAAGCTAGCAAATCATGAATGTGAGCAAGTTTACAGCCAACCTTTTACTTGTTCGGTATGATGCTGTTTCAAGTTCACCAGTTATCGAGTTCTGCACAGTAGCTCTTCGCAGCTATGAAAACAATAAAAATAATAAAAAGTAAGGGGATAGAGAAGAAAAAAATTAAAAAAAAAAACCGACATTGAATTTCGCTTTCGAAAATCCTTACAATTAATTTGCAAAAGAATATCATTTAGAAATTAATTATAAGGGATAATATAATAAAGAAAACATAGGAAGGACAATATTAAGATGCTTATTAAAATAACGGATACTCTCGGTGTCGCCAACATTTGGATCATTGTAACTTCTTCGTCTGTAATAACATCACGGAACAATACGGCGAGTGGATTAAATCTTAAAATTTCAACTTTGAAAGGAGCCAAACGCAAAAATGGACGATCCATTTTGTAGTAGCAGTAAAGTTTTGACGTTACCTTAATGCTCTGAAAATTTTGACGTTTCAACTGAAAAAATGAAAGTGAAAAATTACGAGTGAATAAAGAAGCGCAGATGAGTTCAAAAAGTTTTCAAAATAACAAAATTTAGAAATTTCAGATTTTATTTTTTTGCCCAGAAATAGGAGGGAAACAAGACTAAAAGGCTTACAATTGCTTACTGAAACTTCTCATATCCATAAAAAAACGCCTTAGATAAACCGTTTGTCTCTCATATTAATTTTTGCCTCCTGAATAATTTTTTGTTTTTTATGAAGGTAGTTACGTAAAGCAAAATTCGAGTAACGGCTAATCATCGACTTCCCGAAACGAAATTATGCAAACAGTTTAATTATGTTTTTAATTTACCTCTTAATTGGCCTAACGGAAGTTAGTTAGCTTTTGACAACAGATTTTCTTATTTTAAAATTTTGTCAGTTTAACCAAAGCAGTTTTGTTCAAATGTGAGTAAGATACAGAAAAAACACCACGGGTATTTCGTTTCTACATAAGGCTTCGTAGATATCATGCTCCGCTGTTTCCAAACCAGTCGTAGGTCGAGGATTAGTTACCGGCGGAATATTTCGCCGATAATCAATTGGCTTCAGACCTTCCTCAGCCAATAGGTCTTCATACCACTTAATATTGTTTTTTGCGCGTGGATGATTTGGATCTGTGATGAAGAAGGACATTATTTAACCTCGGTTACGAAAAGTAACCTGATCTAAATTTGAATTCGCTATATTTAGCTTCTTATATATTGAACGTTTCTAAAATATACCATAATAATCTTTAATGGTAGCAACGTAGCAAAAATCTTAGATAGATTTGGGTGAACTTACACAGTTTCAAATTAAAATTCAAGTAACACTACAAGTAGTAAAAAACAACCAATTGTATGCAGCTGTTCAGTGAGCAGAAGGGCGCGTTTCAGATTGCCTTGTTTGAAGAGCGCAAAAGCTAAATATTCCAAAATTTCCTTTAATTGCACAGTTTCGTGCGGCGCTTCATCCCGCAACCGCTCCTGTGCCTCTTCCATCCATATTAAGGTATGGTAGTAGTCATTCACATTGTATGCTGCTCGACCAATATCAAAGCAATCCCTGGCTGAAAAAATATAAAATCATATTCCATACCAGAATTTTTAGAAATTGTTCTAAAAAAATACTAATTATGATAAAATATATATATGCCTGTATCTTTCTTTTTTATATCCGAAAGTTGAAACTTCTTCGGTAAACAGAAGAAAAAAATAGCAGCAAATACAGTTTCAAATAATTGCAAACTTTTTGTTCATCCATTTTATGCTGAACTTTAAAAGCAGGGCTTGACATTTGATCAAACTCCTAGACCCTAATTTAGCAGACAGTTAGAAATGTATGTACTAAAATAAAACATTCATTAAGGTGTTCAAAATATAAGGACTGGAAACGTCATTTTATAATGCATTTGCTTTCGAACCTGTAAACGGTTGAACACCAGAAGCATTCAGAATTTTCCCATCAGCTATCTCCTTAACATTTAGCCGATATGTATCTTGCAGCCGAAGTAAGGCTATTGCAGCTCCAACCAAATCTTCCTCAAAAATGTATTTTATTGAAGCAAGAGGTCATTTGCCCAATTTTATATGAAAAATTACTGAAAATCCATCCTATAAGTGTCCGTAAATCTTAAAAAAATTCATAATTATGATAATTTGAACCTTACTTTTCATGCAAATTATAGAAATGAGAAGTAATCTGCTAAGATCATAGAATAGGATAAGTTAGGGAGGGACTCATGAAAAAGTACCGTTGTAGGGTTTTTCACATAATTCATTGCTCGTAATTCTGAAATTTCCTTCAATAACTCTTCGCCAATATCACTTCCTGCCAACCGTTTTATATCATCCCATTCCTCAATCAGTCTTTTGATAAGCAGATAAGCACTGACTGGATTGCTTAGCAATCGTATATCATTTCCTAAACTGCGATTGCCAAGCTGTTTTTTGCCTACTGAAAGCCTGAAAAATAAAATTAGTGGGATCTGACACTTAAGATGAAAGAATCGAAATTGAAATCATATTCTTCCAGTAATTGATAACCATTTTTAGTACTTGAACATTATAATCCAACTGGCGCAATATTTTAAAGGCATCCAAAAATTTTAAACTTTCAACATAAATGGATAAAACAAACTGTCTAATTTGATCCAAACGTTGTTGGAACCTTTCGATGTACATATCGAGCAAATCAGGAATTCTCTTATCAGCTTCCAGAAGTAACTCCATTTCTGCGATTGATGTAAATAAATCAGCATGTGTAGTACTCCGCAGTGCCAAAATGAACACCACGGTAGCTATCATCACTGGCTCTGGAAAATAAGAAGTATCAAAATAACAAATAATGAAGATATGTTCTTTTACAACGAATACGTTGTAACAAAGAAACAGCGCAATTACTGTAAAACGTTATCATTTGATTTATTCAAGTCCATTATAATTCAGATGCTTCAATCCACTACCTTTGTTGTGCTACGGTAATAAAATTTAGGTTTTTTAAAAAACTCTCATTAAATGAAGGATTTAAATGATACCATATCATCTATGTTTACTGCTTTTCTATGAGCAAAATTAAAATATGGAAGTAACTTAAAATCGGACAACTACGACACTAAGGGCGCAAAAGTCGCCCTTAGTGTCGTAGTTGTCCTAATTTCAATCCTAAACTCTGCAAGATTAGGGGAGAGAAGTGATGACATTAATTTGAGCATTAACAGGTCACTATAAATTATAGATGAAACAAGGAGGGGAAATTTATTATTGGACAGACAAATAGCAACAAAATTGCGGACAGTCAAATAAAATCAATACGAACAGATCTAAGAGAAGAAGGAATTTGAAAGGAAGGGAAAGAGAGAAAAAGTGATGGATATGAGCCGAAAATGCTGAAAGGAAAGGCAGGCGAGAAGGCAATCTATCCTTCCTTCCTCTTCTTTTTCTCTCATGTACAATGCAAAAAGCGAAGAGTTACTGCAGTCAGCTGTAGTAATGGGATGGATGATGACATTTGCTAACCACAATGGCAGTAGTAGCCTTCTTCTAAGTGCACTGCCGGACGACTCATTACGGGAAAGGTTGCTTATTACTTCCATGTTTCCGGAAGACTGTCAACCACATGGCGACTATACTCTCGTACATTTTAATCTTTCGCGTTTTCATATAATCTGATTCTTCCTCCGTAATGGGTTTCAACCTCTTTTGAAATCCTACAACAGTGAAACAATTTTACTGTTGGAAAGGAGAGGAACTATCCAGGCACTTGACGATTGGAATAGAGAGAGGGAAATATATTCCAAGCTTCAGTCCTTTTTCATTTCTTCTAATCTTCAACAAACATTTACAATCCTAGAAAATTTGAAATTGAGATATTATAATTTGTCGTTTTTATAGATAGATGCCAAGAGAGAAGGAGAGATTTAAAAAAGTGACAGAGAAAATCAAATACAGAAATAGAAAAACAATGAAGGAGGAAAGGGGGCTAAGTCTTCGTCGTCCTGTACGTAGTGTGATCTAAATTTTTAGCACTACCACATCACATTAATTTTTCTTCGGGAATATATTTATTTCCCTTTCTCACTATATAACTTAAAATATGGAATGAATTTATTAAAAAAGGACTAGAAACATCACTTTACTCACCGTAAGTTAATGAATTCCTGCAGATTTGATCCCGAACAAGATAAATTTGTTAATATTACTATTAAATCCATTTGTGTCTTAAATATAAATTAATGAACAATTTGAGGCTTATTGAGCAGAAAGACGAGTACAGGAAAAATGTAGAACTTTAAGCTCTATTTGATCTCTAGTGGAAAAAGATTTTAGATTATTTAATGAAAATTTATTAAAATTGAAGTTTCAATTGGACTTACAATTCAAAGTGAGAAAACTGGTGCTACTAAAATAGAATTTCGCTTTCTTCTAGCCACCATCACAACATTAAACAATAACAAGTAAAATAAGTCTTTGAATCGGTGTAAAAAAAGTTTTCGCCTCTTACCATAGAATCTCGTTTTTGTTCAATTTTCATAAAGTCATCATATGTTTGCTACTTCCCATTAATCGTATAAATCTTTTTACTTGTCTTTCTTATTAATCGTCTTGTTATTGTCACAGGAACTGTCTTCAAATGTTTGCTGAATTTTAATATAATTGAGTGTAGCTAAGGTTTATTTAACACACCATTGAAATTTGTACTCAAGTGACGGGGACAATGAGTAGCAAAGCCATTTTGTATTCGTTGCACAACAATCTTTAGTATAATTCTATGTCATTTTTGGGACAAATTCATTGATAAATCAAACGATATGTTGAATCATATCAATTGCATATCACTTACTTATAGTACATGCTCCTTCATTATTTGTAGTTTTCTACATTAAAGCAATTTCTGGCCAATAAATTAGCGGCAGTAGGTAGCTAGAATAGTTAAAAGAGCCAAACCTTTTCCTACATGCAAGTCGCTCTAATACTTGTGCAATTGTCTCATTCAAAAAAATACAAGAAATTTTGTTATCCTCTACTTCCGTTGTACAAAATAACAACAAAAAATCTGATACTAACGAATAAAACCAAAATTTTAGTTTGAGTGTGTATTTCAGTGTATTTCTGAGTGTACATTTCTGAGAGAACTTTCTTTACTTAAGAAATATTTTTTTTTTTTTTAATATTATTTTGTAGCAGTATGTGTCACCACTAGAATACAAAAAAATATCTTAGTTGTTTCTGAAAGTCATTTTGTATGTCGCACCTGCTGATCCATTCTAAAGGCATCCGAATTTTAAATCGAAATTGCAGTTTGCAAAGAAATAATTAAATGAAAAAGAGAAAAGGATGGCTATTGCTGTTTGTTAAAAGTATTTGGTAATTTCAAATTTTTATTCCTGTTTTGTATAATGAAACCGAATGGTGGTGATAAAAAATTGCTCGTCGAAGAATCTCATGGAATGTTATCGGATGAAACGATTGTGGAAATATTCGAACAACTTGCGCCTAGAGAAAGGGCTCGATTCTCTGTTATTAATAAACGCTTGTATAATTTGTTACACCCAGTTTGTTGCTTTCTATTGATGCTAATCTAATAATGATCAAAGTGGATTTAAATAATTTGAGTCATGAAACATGTGTCGTCGTCGTCGTTCATATGGGCATTGTATCACTAGAACTTTTGCAGTGGAGTGATATTAATCGTATTACGGCACACAAAGTGGGCATTGTTCTCTCTTCTGATCGCTACATATTGGAAATACATAATAATAGTAGTACGGGAAATACGGTATGTTTTACAACACACGTCTTGCTGTCCATTTGATACAGCTTGTCGTCATTCATCTTTTCCAACTTGGTCATCATAATAGTTGTATTTTGAGCAAAAATGTCTAATATTATTAAAAAATGCTTAATATTACGGAAAAATATGACGAGCATACCGGAAAGCATCCAATTGAAATGGTCTTATTCAGGACGTTAATAAACTAGCGAAAGCACTTCGCAGTTCTCCGTTTATACAAAAGCTTGTGATTAGTAGCACGGACCATATTCGCACAATTCCTGCTACATCGTTCGACTGTTTATCAAACCTTCGAGAACTCACTCTACCTTGTGATATTTTTGATAAGTAAGACATTAACATCCTCTTGCTTTCCCTATAAATTGATTGAATCATCGTAAAATGCGTAGGATCATCCGCTACCTAAAATGAAATGAATTATCGATGTTGTGGACCTTTCACTGCACTATCTGATGCCATTAGAATTGAAGTCTGTGAAGAATCCCATAATGCTAACCAGTCCGCGGTCAATTGCAGCTTAGACTATATTAGTCTTGATCGATAAGACAAAAGAGTATCATCTGTTTCATTTTAGGTTTCTGCCATTTTTCTAGGCTTTGATATCACTGGGACCGCTGTCACTTTGTGTTATACAATCATAACTTCTTATTATAGAATAGAATTATATTTCCACCTTATTATGTAATTTAATTAACTAGTTTTACTCTTTAGAGAGTCGAATTTACATGAAAAAATCGAAGCAATATTTTCAATCAAGAGATTACTGGTTTTACGTATTTTAAAACGATTTGATACTCCACGTAAAGCAACAAATGTAATACTTGGGGAACACATAGAAAATTTGCGAGCAAATGCTATTAAAATGTTAAAATTACAGGTTACAAAATTTTATTTTTTTAAATTTCAAAAGACGTAGAATTTATTGAATAACAAAAATTATTTGAAATATGCATTAGTTCGGCTTACTACTTTGATAGATAAGACTGAAAGAGGCTTTAGATTTGATGTGATAACTGTACAGCTATAAAATTGAGGTTAAAAGCTTTGTGAGGAGAAATTACAACTACAATTACTGTCATTTTTCTAGGGTGTGTCATTGACCGCAGTGGCAATGGAAAAGATTTCCGACAAATACTCGAATTCGTTAAAATATCTATGTCTTATGGGCACCTTGGTACATACACCCGATGGTGCCATTTATCTGAAAGCGTTGTGTGAGTTGGAATTTAATAGTGAATGTCAATTATCAGTTATTTAATTAATGAGAAAGAAGGAGGGGAAAACCGTGTAACAAGTTTATCAGTTGCTATCATAGTTACAGTAAACTAGCTAACGTTTGCATTTTTTTTAAAAAAGTTATTGAAGAATTGCAGATAGTTAACAATCACGCACAAATAATTAACTACCGGAATTTTAATTTAAGGCAATTTGAGGTGCTTGTGTAAACTGACGTTACCGCCATCACTTCTATCATTGAGTAGTAAACCATTGTATCAAGAATGTCGAATGCTGCAACAACTCACTACCAAATATCTCTCCGTATATGTTTACGAATCAGAAATAGTTGAGACACGATATTTTATGAAGAAATTGCTACCGCTTACACTAAGAGAATTATGTTTGCATGACCCTACCCATATGGTAGCTAGAGATTTGAAAAATGATGACTTTCGAAAATTACATTTCAAGGTAAGTAATTTCTTCAACGTATTACTTTAGTCTCCTTGTTGTGCACGAATACAAACAATGAATCATAATTGCTAACACAAAAAGAATGAACATCTCATGAACAAGTCTATTTTCAACTCATTCAAAAAAAAAAAAGGGTTCAAAAACATACATCAATATATATGAAGGAGCGAAAGAAGATTTGGTGATCAAAAACGTACGCCCAAAAAAGTCAAAACTAGTTATAGTCATTCCATTTTACTGCAATGATCAACCAGAAAGTGAATTATTCATCTCACATCAGCAATTTATCATTCTATCTTTTGAGGAAAAGAAGTTTCTGGAAGATTCGCCTTCCTCTTTTTATTTTACGTAACGCACTCTCTTATAAACGTAACACTGTGTTTCTCCACTGTATTTTTTTGCTACTTCTACTGGATTAGGAGTAAGTTTTGAAAGTTATATATTGCAAGGTATTTTAAATTTGATGAGTTTTACTATGCATGATTGTGTTAGCATTAAACGTGGAAAAAAGACAGAGGAGAGGAAGTATTATTCATTTATCGAAAGATTCATTAGTCATTTCGCATTTACGCCTCATTGTAATCTGCCAATGTGAGAAGGATTTAAAAAAATCACTATGTTATGACTTTTACGTAAGTTTTACATTGAAATGAAGAACGGAATGCAAAAGTAAGAGTCAAATTGGGCTTTAAAGAAAGCAAAAGCGCTTACTTTTTCAAATAATCAAGTTTTTCTAACTCTTTTTCCACGTAAGCGTTAATCATTACCGGAATATCTCTCTCAGCTCCTATCAATGCTTTCAGAGAGGCAAGGGATGAGAAACTATCGGCAGAAACCGCGATCAATAACAATACATTAAGTATTATCTGGAACATCATTTTCCTGCAATGCATTATCCATAGCAGCATTACTTTCTGCACTTATGCAATTGCAAGCATATTGCAAGCAGTATGCTAAAGGGAATCGACTGAATATGTTGTAAAGAAATATGGTTGTATTGTACATGTTCTGCATGAAATGTAGGAAACGAGAAGTCAGTGTGAAATAGTAGAGGATGAAGTAAAGGTAAAGGTATGACGACGCATCACCACCACTTTGTTATCTACATATTAAGCATGTCAAACTGAAACTATCCTGTCATCCTTTTCCTTCGCTAGAACCCTAAGGCCGGCGAGCATCACAAATCTGCTAGTTCTAATTATAGAACATAAATAACATTGAAATTAAATAAAGAATCAAGTTTCAATTAATGTCAAATATGCGTAGTGTGCATTGAAATATCTGTATCTATATGGAAATGTGGTATTTATGAACATCACATTTCCCTCTTAAGCACTATAAAATACAGCAAAGAGCGAAAGAAGGCATGGTGATTGAAAGGTGTGCCACGTAAGAGTCAAAACTAGTTATAGTCATTCCATTTTACTGCAATGATCAACCAGAAAGTGAATTATTCATCTCACATCAGCAATTTATCATTCTATCTTTTGAGGAAAAGAAGTTTCTGGAAGATTCGCCTTCCTCTTTTTACGTACAACCGTAACGCTCTCCCTTATAACCGTAACACTATCACGACCGGTCGGGTATTTTGATGATAATCTTAGTTTTTTTAAGTTTATCAATCTAATATTCATCTGAAATTCATCTGTGTAGGAATGTTAGAATTAACGCTTCTATACCAATGATGAAAAGATCCAGGAAGAATATATGTGTGAGATTGAAACACCACTTGAAATGCCACTTGAGTGCTTAGCCAGAATCGATATCACAAAAGTGCTAATATTGTAATATTTCCCACTATATTACTTTTCAAATGTGTTTTCTGAATATTAGGCACGAAAATGATAGTACAATTATTATTTAAAGATGTGAATAAGAAGGATTACATGACAGGCGAGATTCTAAAGGAAAGTATAATGCAACTTCCGTTGTACATTGCAGTGGAACGAATAAAGCGCTCTTACATGTGATAGTCACTGAATGGTAAACAGCGCTCATTTAGACCCTCAAACTGAATTATCATCAATCTGGTATTGAACACATTAATCTAAATTCCACCATCTTTCCTTATGCAACAACAATTTTATGACGAAAGACGACGAGCAACATGACTTTTCTCTTCTTGCAGTGCCCAGAAAGCTCAATGGATTTAGAATGACGAGGTGATTGATATGTTTTGAGAGCAAATAATACAGAGAACGTCTGTGATATAACAGGGAATTGTCATTGATTTGCTTCAATTCAGAACATTAAACAAAACATTACGTCTGGCATATTCAGTTTCGATAGGGCTTTACGTAAGCAACAGTAATGTTTCTTAGCTTAGGTAAAATTTGGCCATGTGATCTGTAATACTTTAAAAGTATTCGCTGGTTAACACTTCTGTGCTCCAATCAGTCTGCTCTATTCGGTCTTCTGAGATAGTGCTGTATACCAATAAAAAAGTAGTGGTACTTTTGGTCGACAAACGAAAATCATAATTTTTCTAGAAGTGAATGGTTGGGGCAGAAAGATGGTTCAATGGTCGTAGAATTGTCCCTGTTGCGAATTTCAATACTGCGAAACTCTAATAAGATAATTTTATAAAAAAAGAATTCATTATTCGAATTATAAACAAATGTTAACAGTGTTATGAATCAATGTTATGAATCAATTTAACTAGTTCTATCCTCATATTTAACCAAATTCGCATTCCAATTTTTCGATTTGATGTTGTTGACATCCTTGAATCTTTACAATTCCTTCTGTATCGATATGAAGTCTATTAGCTACTCACTTGATTGGTATTTTTTACCTGAAAATCGTGCTATATCATTAAAGATTCAGTAATCTGATTGGGATTTCATAGATTAAGGTAACCCATAATTTGCTTTCATGATCAATAGGTAACACCATTGTTACATTGTCTTGGAATTTTATTAATTAAAATGCCGATTCTGCAATTGGTAAACTTTTTAAATTCCTGTTTGTTCCTGATGCTTGATAAAATATTCCAAGACAAAAAAAATCATTACAATATTTTATGTGGTCTAATAACATTACGATAAGCATCGAACCGGCAAAGGAAAGGTTAGCTAATCTTCTCAAAGAGATAAAATTAATACATTTTGTGTCTCCGGAGCCAAATACGATATTGGGGCAACAGGAAGAATTCTATATACTAAGGAAGAGAATACTTGAAGACAGAATACTCCAACGTTCATTCATTTTTGTTGACAATAAACTAAAGTCACCAAGTTTGAACAAAACAACGTTATACCCTGGAGAAACCTCAGCACTGTCAACAATATGAAGTAATCAAAAATTTTTATAAGCTACAATAAAGGAAAGGTCACCATGTATATTTTGCACATGCGACGTCTATTCTACCCTCAATACTCGTTGAGCTATTATAGAATCATATACCCAATAGATTTTATTTTATCTACTACTTCATTAAATATAGCGATCAATTATGATAGTGATGAAGACGAATATACTCTTTAAACATTAAAGACTAAAAACAAACTAGTCAAATACTGAATCAATATTCTTATCACAGATCTTTTTTGAAACTAGTGTCCCATAGATTGGTAGAAAAAAGAAATCTATATGTGAATGAAATAGTTTTAATAAATGAACCCGGAATGTCTCGTGGTATGTGGAAATTAGCAAAGATAATAAAAATTAACCGAGGATGGGATGGAAGAATGAAACAACAATACAAAGGCCCAAAAGCAAATAATTTGATCAGTTAACAAATATGTTCTATTCTATGGAAATAGATGTTTCCGAGAATATAGATCAAAAGAACTTATCGCATTTCGAACCAGAAGTGTCAAAAGGCTATAAACTTCAGCTCAATCAAAAGATAAGTCTGATCTTACGATGAAAAGTCTACTATTGATAAAATGGTATCATTAATATCAAGGCATGTGTAGCAACAAAACTGTAATTAAATTTTCGGAGTGTCATTTAATATTCCTGAAAAATGAAACTGTGAAGAATTAATCGAAAAGGCACACTACACAAGATGTGTGTACACACGCACTCACATAACAGTACCAACTATAAAATACAGCAACATTACACGAATGGTATATACCAAGACAATTACTATCCGTAGAATCACACCGATCAACTACTACAGCAATATCTTGACAATTCCGTCGATTTCTAAATGCTCAAAGACGAGTGAATGGAATTCGCATAATTCAACTTTCTCCTAATAGATGGAATACAAGTAATGCGAGTGGCTAGGAGTCAAATATCAATCGATAACAAACTTCGTATTAGTATTAGTTGATGGGAGAGGGTTAGTTTCCAATCTTGATAATATAAAAAATTGTATAATATGAGAAGGAAAGTGTATAATAAATACTATTATTGTTTTATGGAGCAATGCTGATACAATCAACCATTGTTTGTATCGAAAATTAGGAAGATTCGATGCTATGTAGTATGGAAATTACTTCGTCATAGATGAACTGTAAGTATCACTCATAATTAATGAAGAACACAATCACGACAAATTGTAGATTAACCAGTCCTAGCTAATGAAAGATATAGACACTAGAAATAATGAGAACTTTACCAAAGAATTTAAACGATAAAACAATTACTCATAATGGAAACTTCTCCAGATGAAACATTCGACCACTCGAGATGAAACAGTGTAAAGTTTTAATATGTTTTTGATTCGTTTAGACAAGAATTTTTCCAGCAACTTAAAGAAACATTTTTTTTTTCCATCAAAGAAGTCGCCAAAACAGAAATAATCTATTGTTATTGATTGAATGGTTGTTTATTAGCAATTGCATCCTCGCAAACAGAATGTTACTGCAAAGCAACGATGTGATGATGATACCTAAGAATGTTGATAGAATTGATTGATAGTGCCTGTAAAATTAAGGAAATTACAGCTGGAAATAATAAATTCAAAGGAAGTCTAATAAGTAAGTTCAAAGTTGAAACAATTGATGTACATTTGGAAATCTTAACTCACAACCAAGAAGTAGTTAATTCAATACCATATGAACATAGGGATGAATTTCTTATTTCAATTTGGAAAATTCAACCAAGTTACTAGATCGATACAAGAAAAACTTGAAAGCTTAGTAATACGTTGGAGATTAGTACCATTTGTGTAAGTACAATATAAATTGTATAATTGTTCTGTGAAATTTGGATTACTTCAATCCGCATTCTGTTCTAACAAAAGAAATTTAAATGAAAAAACTGTCACTGTTCTTCTTATGATATCATCCATGTCATAAAAATTTCTCAGTCGAAGTTTTACATTAAATTTCTCCTGTCTTCCCCTTTGAGAGTGTCGCGATACTTCAATATCTAAATAAAAGTATAAAATAAATTTATAAAAAAAGAATTAATCATTCAAATTGCAAATAAATAAATATTGCATGTTATCCTCATATTCATTTCTTATGCTTTTTTTTTGTTATCTTATTTTACCAAATCCGCACGCTAATTTTCCGATTTGATCTTGTTACAATCATTACGGTGTAATTGAATTTTTACGATTTCTTTATTAGATAACAATAGTGTTATATTGTGCATTAATTGAACTGCCTAAGCCTTTAAATTCCTGTTTGTTCCTGATCTTCAACGAAACCTTCCAAGACAAAAAAATTCACGACAGTCTCCCCAAGAGTAAATATAAATGGCGATGTTCTCAATTCACAAAGAGAAACAAAGACAGAACAAAAACTAAGCGAGTGGACCTTATCACAAAATAGTATCTTTAGCGAGAATTGGGACGTCTAACTTCTTGAATCAAATTGAGCTTTCACATGCTCGAGAACCCTCCTTGTTTGTAATTGTAGTTGGTACAGATGAATGCATTCATTGAAAGGTCTATTGCAACGATTTTATTCGCTAGCAACCACAATACAAATCTATACTGAGAATGTGCTTAAATATGTTTCTAGTATTTGCATTTAAAAGATTTAGATGTACTGAAGATAAAGGGTTTAAATCCTTATATAATGGACATTGACTTAATAATTACAGTAAGTAAAGAGTTATCAAATGATCTTTACTCTTTATATAACAAAAGATGGATTTTAATATTGTCAGTTTCTCATGAGAATGACTATTAGACTAGAAAAGCTTTACAGTATTTCGACATTGGAAGTGAAATTGACTTGGAACACAAGAGTGATTTTTAACATATTAAACAATGTTCCTTTGTTAACGATTGAAAAATTCTAGATATAATGGGAAGATGAGTATTGGATAGATAATTGCTTACATGAGATGCAATTTGAAACAGTAATATATTTCTTTAAAGACGGTCCAATTAAGATTAATTTTAGTATTATGCAATTTTGTTTGACATATTTGACTTAGACAAAAGAGTAATTTTTAAAATATTTCGAGTTTCGCAACAGTGTTCAAACTTGTGTCTTGCAGATAATTTCTTCGACTCCTTGTCAATTCCATAGCAGATTAAATCTATTGTGTGCCACCTGATCCGTTTCACTTCTAAGATGCAAAAGTGGCGAAATTCACAAATTTTTGAAAATGAAATCACGGCAATATCGAGTGAACTAAGTTGATTAGAAGCCTAACTACCTATTTCAACTTTAAGTAGTTGTTTCCACACTATAAACAAAATTATCAGTAGGAATGATAAGGAAAGAGAGATAATTAGATAAGTGGAAACAGAATAAGAGTAGAAAGAAATGAGCATAAAAAATGAGTGCATCTCATCATGTTTGTTTTTTGAATATGATCGGAACAACCTTGTTTTCTTATAATTGATGCCGCAAATTGGTGTCCGTCCTTGCTGAATATGCACTACATTGAACATCGCTACACAAAAATCCACATTAATTTTTCCTCGGGAATATATTTATTTCTCCTGCTCGGAACCATATATAATTCATTTTAATAAAAAATGTACAAGTTCATGAAGACACGGGGACATTACGTCACGCAAGTAAATTGATTTATGTAGATTTGTGTTATGGTTTTTTTCGGATACTCTAAATATAAATTAACGAATTGAGGCTCATTAAATCGAAAAGAATTTTAATTTATAAAAATTTTAGTTTCATTTTCTCCCTAAAGAAAAAGATTTTAGATTATGTAGATGAGGTATATCATACCGAAGATCCCAACCATACTATATTGAGGCGAAAGATTTCTGGGGTGGTATTAAGAAAGATAGATTCACATGCCGATTAGAAGTTGCCAACAAATCCACAAATGACGCATACAGAGATTATGATATGGAAAAGAAACTGAAATAATAGTTTGTGGGAGTGAGTTAAAAAAACAAAAAAAACAGAAGCCCAAATCCATTATATAACCCGATAACTTTTTAATTTAATTCAAACATAAAATAATTCTAATATTAATAATATTAGATGAATTGGCGAAAAATTATGAATTATGTAGATTGGTTGAAATATCGATGAAGGTGGAGAGACTCACGGGGAAACTAGACAGGATGAACGGACATTTCTTGATAGAAGAATCTTCTTAACACAGTTTCAACTATTTTCATCATAAATCTTAAAAAGAAACTAAAATATTTGTCTTTTCTTCAGACTCCACATCTTTAATTTTTGTTCAGAAACTTTGAATTCACAAATATTTTTAACGTTTTCTATTCATTTTCTAGCTTTCTCTGATCTGATATTTAAGTGACGCTTCGGCTCGGGAGCTCCTAAATCACCCACGTATCGTTCCTGATCCAGTTGATTTAAACCACATGGTCGACGCCATTCCTGCCCACTTTCATGAAACCATTTGTTCGCTGTCCACTTTGTTCCAGTCAATACCGGACATGCAGCATGGTAAGAACGCATGTCTACTGCACCGCTACGCATTAAATTATACCAAAACAGTGCTGCATTCTGCAAAAAGCACAATAATATATTAATTGGTATATTGAATTTCAAGAATGACAAAAGCGTTTTAAAACTGTGACAATTTTTGCAGTACTTTTAATAAACCTAAAAAGTTTCGGACCAGACAATAAAGACGTACTTCGATTGATTCTATCTATTTGCTGCTAAATTTTTTTTTTTTATAGGTCTGCTATAGGAAAACATTGCAATAATAATAAAGTTGAAACTAATAAATTAAATATAAACTTTAAAAGCTATCACAAAAGCATAAGAGCATCTATCTGACTGGCGGTACTTAATATCTAACAACTTACCTTGGTACATGATACAGAAGTTTTCAAATCGATGAATACTGTCCCACCTCCGATTTCCGGTTCAGTCATCTGTAAAATCATTGTTTTTGCATTACTATTGTTTGCACAACTATTTTCAAAGCAATAAAAAAAAAAAAAAAAAAAAAAAAACAATTCATAAATGAAATAGAAGTAGGTAAAACAAATGAAAACAATTTTCTCCACAACTATTCTCAAAGTAACAATGAAATAGAAATAAATGAATACATAAATCAAAATTGTGGCTATTCGATTTCCATTTTTTGTTTTTTCGAAGACATTTTCTCTCTGAAATTATCACACTGTCATTAGCATGTGAATTAATTAAGAATACCAGTTTAATACTGCGCGCAATAACAATTAAAAGTATTTGTTTTCGTGCATTGTATCATTTCCGCTAATCTAATTTCTAAACTTTCTTATTCGAATTGTATTTCGAATGAGGAACTCAGAAAAACGGCATCAATACATAACAATGTAATAATGATAGAACAGTTAGAAAAGATAGAAGTTACCCTTGAACAATCATAATGTGGTTCGTAATGTCCACCGATTCCATAATTTTGAACCTAAAATTTTCCAAATGTTCAAATAAGCTAAAATTTATAGAATGCATAGTCTGCTGCTGATAAAAATTTAGGTAGTGATATCAATAACCCTTTTAAAAATATCCGTTTGAAACAATAAATAGCAGGAAGTGATAATTTTCATGACTCTACCTTGAAATTTAGGAATCTAAAGGAATGACCTGAAGTTCTTCAGCGGTTTCTGTCTCGAGATTTGTTGCCAAATCAAGACGTTTATTGATGCGTTTAACTACTTCATGTTCTGTCGATCCCAACCAGGAACTAAGTTTGAACTTATTTACCCAGTGAAAATTTATTTAGACAAATGATGAAATAAATTTTCTCACTTATTTGAATCAGTTTCAACCAGTCTCACTTATAAACATGATTAAAAAGGAGAAAAAAGAATTGTCATCAAAAATATTAAAAAAGTCATCATTAATTAATCAAAAGTGGGACAAAAACGATACGAAACACCTTTCTTTATCTTTGCAGTCTTCTCACAAATTGTAGGAACATATTACTGAAGCATTATTGAAGTATGTCAAAATTTATAAAATAGGAATTTTTAAACTCAAGACTGTCTTTGAATATTCCTTATACAAATATAAAACTGTTTCAAATTTACATCACAACTAAGAAATCATTTATTCAAGATTATTTTGCAACTGTATTTCAGCGTCTAAAATGTTACAGTCTGTTAACAAAGAACTACCAATTTTAATGTCATAAACCGAAGGGTACTGATCATCGTAGAGGGACAACTTTTTACTTACACTAATTATGCGCTTTTTTATAAGCCAATTCTTGTATAAGCAGTTAAAATCATTGGCTTGGCTCAGTTTTTGAGTATTTCAAGCTTCGATTCAGTTCATCTCATCGCTCATTCATACTCAATTCATTTTCAATAAAAGGTGATACAGCGACAACATATCTCTTTCCTAGCGCAATATTGTGAGACATCGTAAAAGAACAATAAAGCTACTGCTAAGTGTTATGGAGTAACAACTGTAGGAAAAAACCGAATTATAATAATATGTTGGGATAAACATGTATTAATCCATAAGATTAAAGATCATCTTAATTGAATATGTTTTAGATCAATATAAGACTGTTTCAAATTGTATCTTATGTAAGTAATCATTTATCAACACATCTTCCAGTTGTAGTTAAGCTTATCTGCATTGTTTAAAAATTTTCAATTGTTAACAAAGAGTATGTGTATTGCTTAATGTGTTGAAAATTACTCCTTTGTTCGGAACCAAATCTACTTGAATGTCAAAATATTGTGGAAGAGTTAAGAGTCATTCTTATCAGCAACCGACATAATGTTAAAATCTATTTCTTACTATATAAAGAATGAAGATCGTCTGATGTACGGCTCTTTGCTCACTATAACCATTACTTATAAAATTTTAACCTTTTATCTATCAGCTTTTTGCTAAAGCTAGTTACAATTCTGTTGCTCTCTCGCACCATTTAATTCGATATATTTAAAAATTCTTTGTTTAAATTTTCCATTAATTTATTTCTTCCTTTTCTTTTAACCTTCAAGTTCTAGCAAATTATCAGTATATTGTTGTCTTAGCGAATAAAAGTTATTACAACAAACTCTTTAACACATTCGTTTGAGTCAACTCCAAACCATAACCAAGAAAGCTTCTCTAAAAAGAACCTATGATTTCTTGACAACAGAATACATATTACTAAGAAATTTCCTGACACAAATTCTGTTTCATCATAAAACTGGGGTAAGCGAAATATTTGAATACTTACCTCTGGCTAGTACGGTAGAAAGCCGTCTCAATATTTCCGGTCACAACATTGTGAACTGTAGCTCGGGCCAACTGAAATCATATATTAGTAATTTTACCAAATACAAAATAACCTAGTCCAGTACATCCCATTCTTCCTTTTCTGATCATTGTGAATAAGCATACAGTTATAATATAGACAACTAAACGTGCCTTAGGTACTGCAAGCATTTCAATGATTCGCATCTCTTCATCCGACACAATGTCACGGAACAGAACAACCAATGGATTTTGATGGACAATTTCAACTTTGAATGGTGCTAGACGTAAATATGGGCGATCCATTTTATAATAGCAATACAACCGCGATTGTGCCTTAGTGTTCTGCATGAAATTCAGCCAAAATCAGGACCGCAATCCCGAACAGTTACTGAGCTAGCAGTTTAAAGTTAGCAGCCTTTTTTAACAAAACAAATTTAATCCAAATATGAACAGAAGTAAGCTATAGTATCTAGTGATTTCTGACACAAAATCAAGTTGAAAAAATTAAAAAATTAAGTAACAATTAGTGAACTCAAAAGAATTATTCCTTATATGAGAAAAATAAATAAACGATACGATGGGCACTTCTTGTCGACATAATGCTTCGTATGTGTCCTTCAAGTTACTTTTATCTCGTGGATTATTCATCGGTGGAACTTTTCGTCGCATATCAGCACGTCGAATTCCCTCATCTTCCAGCAAATCTTCATACCATCTCACGTTGCCTTTCGCTCGTGGATGATCCGGATCTGTAGTTGTTTTCTATAAGCACAATAAAACACTTCGTACTAAGCAGGAATTGAAAAATTAATTTATTACTAAATGACTTAACTAATATTGCATGTAAAAGTAGAAGTTGAAATCAGCAAAACTTCAGCTTGTCAATATTCAATAAATTGATGAATTTCATAAATTTTCGAAGAGTGAGACGAAATTCTGAGAAAGCCTTAAAATTTCTCTTCTGATCACTAGATCCCAGTACTGAAGCTAGAGATTTTTTGTGGTAAAAAAGAACTTAATAATAAATGACTTACTCATACGATACAATTCATCCGTAAGCAATAAAGCTCGTTTTAGATTACCCTGTTTATACAGTGAGAAGGCCAAGTGATCGAGAATGCTCTCTAGATTAGCCGTTGGCTTAGTTTCCTTCTGAATACGCTCTCGCGCTTCCTGCATCCAAAGAATGGCATGATAATAGTCATGTTCACTGTATGCTACACGACCAATTTCAAAACAATCTTCAGCTGCAACATTCGAAAATTTGATATCCGTGTATTTTCGCTTTTTAACATCTCTCTCTTTTTTCTCTGTTTCTCTCTTTTCTCTCTTTATTTCTAAGGAAGCAAAAAAGGGAAATATAATCTACCAGCACCTTCTTCGTTCAACATTTTGTTTCAAATCATTTTCGGCGGTCGAAACTAACCAGTCAAAGCAACTGTTCGCATTTTAGAATTCAGAATTTTTCCATCAGCAATATCTTTGGTATTCATTTCATATGTGTCTTGTAAACGTAATATACCAATTGCTGCACCTGATAGATCCACCTGTGCAATACTTCATAATTTTTTTTATCACAATAATAGCAGTCCAAAAATTGTTTTGTAAAATAAACAGTTCAGATCTTATTAAACATACATTAATAATAGCTACTTCGACAGCATGAAAGTTATTTAGGAGATTAATCCCATAAGCAAATAGACTCAAATCAGCTCATGTAACAGTTGAGAGAAGTTGAATAGTAAGAACTAATGCCCAAAACTTTTTGGCCATATTATTTAATTTTATAAATTAAATGCATTTCTGTCCTTCAATTGATATATGACATTTACGTTCAACAACAAGGAAGAAGTGCGATTTATTGACTTCAAACAAAATGAAACAAAATTCAAAACGATATTTTCCTTAATCAGCTCTTGTTGAGAAGAGTAAAGATTATAAAGAGAAGGAAAAACCTCCGTAGGATAGTTGATACGCTTAACAATCCGCTGGTAAGTTACGTTGCGAATGAAATCATCAGCGGAATTAGATCGCATAATTTTAATTACTTTGTTCCAGTCTGTTGTCATTCCCTTAATCAACAAGAAGGCATTGATCGGATGTGTTATCGCCTCCTCACCATCTCGTATAGCTTTATTGTTACTTTTTTGTATTTCTTGAGCAAACCTAAAATTATATCAATAACTTGTGGAGTGACAGCACTGAGTACTGACAGTGCGACAGAAACTACTACAGAGGCTTTCAGTTGTTTGCAAAAAGTGCCGTTAATTCAAAAATTGGTCATTAGATTTTCTCTGACAACCACTGAGTTAGTAAAAGGATTCTGGTGAGAATACAATGGAAACTGATACCAGCAGCCAATTAACATGCAGCTAAAGAAGTTCTTTTCAAGCATGGTGTTTGAAATTATAAAGACCTAGAAGATCAAACAGTTTCGACATGTGACCTAAAAGGAATAGAAGCAGTGGTTTTGGTTAGACTACCTTGGAACCAAGTCGAGTAGTTGGAAAGAAAAGCAAACAACAAAAAGACTGCAACAAGGTCTTTTTGCTCGAATAGTCTCTCTAAATATTTTTAGGAACGACTCTCTAAGTCATTTTTAATGCAGTAGGCACCGGTCTACTTTTCCTTCCCTCCACTGTATGTTTTTGCTACTTCACTGGATTAGGAGTAAGTTTTGAAAGTTATATATTGCAAGGTATTTTAAATTTGATGAGTTTTACTATGCATGATTGTGTTAGCATTAAACGTGGAAAAAAGACAGAGGAGAGGAAGTATTATTCATTTATCGAAAGATTCATTAGTCATTTCGCATTTACGCCTCATTGTAATCTGCCAATGTGAGAAGGATTTAAAAAAATCACTATGTTATGACTTTTACGTAAGTTTTACATTGAAATGAAGAACGGAATGCAAAAGTAAGAGTCAAATTGGGCTTTAAAGAAAGCAAAAGCGCTTACTTTTTCAAATAATCAAGTTTTTCTAACTCTTTTTCCACGTAAGCGTTAATCATTACCGGAATATCTCTCTCAGCTCCTATCAATGCTTTCAGAGAGGCAAGGGATGAGAAACTATCGGCAGAAACCGCGATCAATAACAATACATTAAGTATTATCTGGAACATCATTTTCCTGCAATGCATTATCCATAGCAGCATTACTTTCTGCACTTATGCAATTGCAAGCATATTGCAAGCAATCTTTAAATAATAATTGTTATTCACATCTTTAAATCTTGATTACCGGATGTGGATATTCAGTGTTAAAGAGTGCGTTACGTAAAATAAAAAAAAAAGTGCGTTACGTTAAGTACAATTATTATTTAAAGATGTGAATAAGAAGGATTACATGACAGGCGAGATTCTAAAGGAAAGTATAATGCAACTTCCGTTGTACATTGCAGTGGAACGAATAAAGCGCTCTTACATGTGATAGTCACTGAATGGTAAACAGCGCTCATTTAGACCCTCAAACTGAATTATCATCAATCTGGTATTGAACACATTAATCTAAATTCCACCATCTTTCCTTATGCAACAACAATTTTATGACGAAAGACGACGAGCAACATGACTTTTCTCTTCTTGCAGTGCCCAGAAAGCTCAATGGATTTAGAATGACGAGGTGATTGATATGTTTTGAGAGCAAATAATACAGAGAACGTCTGTGATATAACAGGGAATTGTCATTGATTTGCTTCAATTCAGAACATTAAACAAAACATTACGTCTGGCATATTCAGTTTCGATAGGGCTTTACGTAAGCAACAGTAATGTTTCTTAGCTTAGGTAAAATTTGGCCATGTGATCTGTAATACTTTAAAAGTATTCGCTGGTTAACACTTCTGTGCTCCAATCAGTCTGCTCTATTCGGTCTTCTGAGATAGTGCTGTATACCAATAAAAAAGTAGTGGTACTTTTGGTCGACAAACGAAAATCATAATTTTTCTAGAAGTGAATGGTTGGGGCAGAAAGATGGTTCAATGGTCGTAGAGTGAATAACCTGTTGTCCCTTTAGAAAGAGTAAATATAAATGGCCGTGTTGTTGTGCTAATTACCTGATAAAAATGCACTAAATATTCACAAAGAGAAAGAAAAGGAGGACAAATGTTAAATGAGTGGATCTTATCACAGAACTATATCCAAACTCTGAGAACTGACGTTTTGCTGATCATATCTTTAACTCCGGTCGTCCATTCCATAGCAGAGCAAATTTATATGTGACACCTGATTCATCTGATTTCAACGATGCAAAGTATCACGGGGCAATATCGAGTGAATTAAGTTGATCAGAAGCCTAACTACCTATTTCAACTTTAAGTAGTTGTTTCCACACTATAAACAAAATTATCAGTAGGAATGATAAGGAAAGAGAGATAATTAGATAAGTGGAAACAGAATAAGAGTAGAAAGAAATGAGCATAAAAAATGAGTGCATCTCATCATGTTTGTTTTTTGAATATGATCGGAACAACTTTGTTTTCTTATAATTGATGCCGCAAATTGGTGTCCATCCTCGCCGAACTATTTCTTCGGGAATATATTTATTTCCTTTTCTCACTATATAACTTAAAATATGGAATGAATTTATTAAAAAAGGACTAGAAACATCACTTTACTCACCGTAAGTTAATGAATTCCTGCAGATTTGATCCCGAACAAGATAAATTTGTTAATATTACTATTAAATCCATTTGTGTCTTAAATATAAATTAATGAACAATTTGAGGCTTATTGAGCAGAAAGACGAGTACAGGAAAAATGTAGAACTTTAAGCTCTATTTGATCTCTAGTGGAAAAAGATTTTAGATTATTTAATGAAAATTTATTAAAATTGAAGTTTCAATTGGACTTACAATTCAAAGTGAGAAAACTGGTGCTACTAAAATAGAATTTCGCTTTCTTCTAGCCACCATCACAACATTAAACAATAACAAGTAAAATAAGTCTTTGAATCGGTGTAAAAAAAGTTTTCGCCTCTTACCATAGAATCTCGTTTTTGTTCAATTTTCATAAAGTCATCATATGTTTGCTACTTCCCATTAATCGTATAAATCTTTTTACTTGTCTTTCTTATTAATCGTCTTGTTATTGTCACAGGAACTGTCTTCAAATGTTTGCTGAATTTTAATATAATTGAGTGTAGCTAAGGTTTATTTAACACACCATTGAAATTTGTACTCAAGTGACGGGGACAATGAGTAGCAAAGCCATTTTGTATTCGTTGCACAACAATCTTTAGTATAATTCTATGTCATTTTTGGGACAAATTCATTGATAAATCAAACGATATGTTGAATCATATCAATTGCATATCACTTACTTATAGTACATGCTCCTTCATTATTTGTAGTTTTCTACATTAAAGCAATTTCTGGCCAATAAATTAGCGGCAGTAGGTAGCTAGAATAGTTAAAAGAGCCAAACCTTTTCCTACATGCAAGTCGCTCTAATACTTGTGCAATTGTCTCATTCAAAAAAATACAAGAAATTTTGTTATCCTCTACTTCCGTTGTACAAAATAACAACAAAAAATCTGATACTAACGAATAAAACCAAAATTTTAGTTTGAGTGTGTATTTCAGTGTATTTCTGAGTGTACATTTCTGAGAGAACTTTCTTTACTTAAGAAATATTTTTTTTTTTTTTAATATTATTTTGTAGCAGTATGTGTCACCACTAGAATACAAAAAAATATCTTAGTTGTTTCTGAAAGTCATTTTGTATGTCGCACCTGCTGATCCATTCTAAAGGCATCCGAATTTTAAATCGAAATTGCAGTTTGCAAAGAAATAATTAAATGAAAAAGAGAAAAGGATGGCTATTGCTGTTTGTTAAAAGTATTTGGTAATTTCAAATTTTTATTCCTGTTTTGTATAATGAAACCGAATGGTGGTGATAAAAAATTGCTCGTCGAAGAATCTCATGGAATGTTATCGGATGAAACGATTGTGGAAATATTCGAACAACTTGCGCCTAGAGAAAGGGCTCGATTCTCTGTTATTAATAAACGCTTGTATAATTTGTTACACCCAGTTTGTTGCTTTCTATTGATGCTAATCTAATAATGATCAAAGTGGATTTAAATAATTTGAGTCATGAAACATGTGTCGTCGTCGTCGTTCATATGGGCATTGTATCACTAGAACTTTTGCAGTGGAGTGATATTAATCGTATTACGGCACACAAAGTGGGCATTGTTCTCTCTTCTGATCGCTACATATTGGAAATACATAATAATAGTAGTACGGGAAATACGGTATGTTTTACAACACACGTCTTGCTGTCCATTTGATACAGCTTGTCGTCATTCATCTTTTCCAACTTGGTCATCATAATAGTTGTATTTTGAGCAAAAATGTCTAATATTATTAAAAAATGCTTAATATTACGGAAAAATATGACGAGCATACCGGAAAGCATCCAATTGAAATGGTCTTATTCAGGACGTTAATAAACTAGCGAAAGCACTTCGCAGTTCTCCGTTTATACAAAAGCTTGTGATTAGTAGCACGGACCATATTCGCACAATTCCTGCTACATCGTTCGACTGTTTATCAAACCTTCGAGAACTCACTCTACCTTGTGATATTTTTGATAAGTAAGACATTAACATCCTCTTGCTTTCCCTATAAATTGATTGAATCATCGTAAAATGCGTAGGATCATCCGCTACCTAAAATGAAATGAATTATCGATGTTGTGGACCTTTCACTGCACTATCTGATGCCATTAGAATTGAAGTCTGTGAAGAATCCCATAATGCTAACCAGTCCGCGGTCAATTGCAGCTTAGACTATATTAGTCTTGATCGATAAGACAAAAGAGTATCATCTGTTTCATTTTAGGTTTCTGCCATTTTTCTAGGCTTTGATATCACTGGGACCGCTGTCACTTTGTGTTATACAATCATAACTTCTTATTATAGAATAGAATTATATTTCCACCTTATTATGTAATTTAATTAACTAGTTTTACTCTTTAGAGAGTCGAATTTACATGAAAAAATCGAAGCAATATTTTCAATCAAGAGATTACTGGTTTTACGTATTTTAAAACGATTTGATACTCCACGTAAAGCAACAAATGTAATACTTGGGGAACACATAGAAAATTTGCGAGCAAATGCTATTAAAATGTTAAAATTACAGGTTACAAAATTTTATTTTTTTAAATTTCAAAAGACGTAGAATTTATTGAATAACAAAAATTATTTGAAATATGCATTAGTTCGGCTTACTACTTTGATAGATAAGACTGAAAGAGGCTTTAGATTTGATGTGATAACTGTACAGCTATAAAATTGAGGTTAAAAGCTTTGTGAGGAGAAATTACAACTACAATTACTGTCATTTTTCTAGGGTGTGTCATTGACCGCAGTGGCAATGGAAAAGATTTCCGACAAATACTCGAATTCGTTAAAATATCTATGTCTTATGGGCACCTTGGTACATACACCCGATGGTGCCATTTATCTGAAAGCGTTGTGTGAGTTGGAATTTAATAGTGAATGTCAATTATCAGTTATTTAATTAATGAGAAAGAAGGAGGGGAAAACCGTGTAACAAGTTTATCAGTTGCTATCATAGTTACAGTAAACTAGCTAACGTTTGCATTTTTTTTAAAAAAGTTATTGAAGAATTGCAGATAGTTAACAATCACGCACAAATAATTAACTACCGGAATTTTAATTTAAGGCAATTTGAGGTGCTTGTGTAAACTGACGTTACCGCCATCACTTCTATCATTGAGTAGTAAACCATTGTATCAAGAATGTCGAATGCTGCAACAACTCACTACCAAATATCTCTCCGTATATGTTTACGAATCAGAAATAGTTGAGACACGATATTTTATGAAGAAATTGCTACCGCTTACACTAAGAGAATTATGTTTGCATGACCCTACCCATATGGTAGCTAGAGATTTGAAAAATGATGACTTTCGAAAATTACATTTCAAGGTAAGTAATTTCTTCAACGTATTACTTTAGTCTCCTTGTTGTGCACGAATACAAACAATGAATCATAATTGCTAACACAAAAAGAATGAACATCTCATGAACAAGTCTATTTTGTGTCAAAACTCATTCAGCTTTTGAAATTTCCATTGAGGTGACATTTTGCAAACGAGCAGACTCACTGTATCAGCAAGAATGGATGCATGGTCATTGTGAGTTGTTATCACATATGGTTTGGGTGCAACCATACAAACATTTTAACACTGAATATCCACATCCGGTAATCAAGAAATATTTTATTTCCGTGGTTTGTAATATAGATCAATGCGCCACAAGCAAATATTTGTTTGAAATCATTTTCTACAATAGTTTTGAACCGTAAAATTTAAAGTATGACAAATGACTGTAGTAAGATATGGAGGACATCAAACGATTTGAATTTTCATTAAAAAAGTTATAATTTGATTTTTTAAAAGAATGCAAAGGTTATGCTAGGTACCTGGTTGGTGGTTTTTTATGAGCGAAAACGTAGATACAGCTGAAGAAGCCACAGAAGTTACGGCAACCGAAGAATCTCCAATCCTCCAACCACATGCTGTTCCACAAATCCAAGTACCACCAAATGAGGATCCTGGGGAAATGATGATGGCTACTATTGCAAGTGAGCGGCATTAATGCAAATAAGAGAATGTGTAGGAAACATTATAAGAATTAGAATTTCGAAGAGTAAGAATTTGAAAAACTTTAACTTGAATTGAGAACCAGAACTACTTACAAAATCAAACATCAACTAAATAATCGAAGGAACAACAGGATTACGATCTAATGATAATCGGTTATTAGTCTCATCTTAAAATTAATTACAGCTTTCACATCAACCGATAAGCTATATATGATCTTTAAAAACTAATCGATAGCTTATTACCTATCGTATAACAATAAATTCTTTGATTTTTCTGCACAGGATTTTTTGAGCGAATGATTGATGATCAACTGAACGCTGAATTTGGTGGTAGAGCTCTTACGGATTTGGCAGTACTTGAAAATCCTAGCAACAATGTGGTGACACCTAATACTGCTAGTCAATTACCAGTACCACCTAACCAAATTGGTATTTTGCATAATAATTCTCAGAAATTTAGTTCGTAATCCTAGTAACTTTAAGTGGTATGAGCAACTCGTTTTTTATCATTATAAATTTTGGTCATAATTCCAGTTTTAGGTAGTCACTCAGAGCGTTCCACCGACCGATCGCGTCGAAGTTACGTGGTGATATCAAGAGGTGGAAGGGGAAATCTACGTCAATCTATTGGAAGAACATCCTCACAAACAAATACTCAATCTATTACACCAACCCAAAGAGATATATCTGCAGGACAACACCAAGAAACATCTACGTGAGTTGTAATTGAAAAAGTGGAATTTCTTCCGACATAATTTATAGGTAACTTATAATTAAAATTAGGTAAATTTAATTCTTGCAATCTTCCGTATTCTAGGTACTACCGGATAACAGTCAGCATTTAAACAAGTGATTTACGTATCTTCTTGTCATTTTCAGAACTGCAGAATCGCCAGATTCAGAAGAATCGGAAGGACAATCAAACCAGAATGACAATGATGAAGCAGCTCAGTCTGGATCAACAACAGCAACAACAAACACAGCGTCGAGTGATGGGCGAGAAGGAAGAAATATAAGACGAAACTAGATCTTAATAACGTCAAAAAAGGCTCAGACATTTGCAGTATCACTATTTTACAGTTCAAGCTAAATAAATACAAAAAAAAAAACCAGATATAACCAGAAAATCAATGGAGACAAGTCACAGTCATCAGTATACTTATACGCTTTTATAACTGGCTTATTAAGCTGTAATGGATAAAAAAAAAAAAAAAAAAAACCATATTCCAAAACACTTGAAGCTTTCATCTGAAATCAATTATCCGAAAAATCATTTCAACAACACTCAGTCCATAAGTTCATCTAATTACTGCTCGTACAAAGCCTTAGCTTATGACAAATTTACTAGAACTGACTAGAGAAAAGACAATAAGCAAGCAGAAGCATTGTTGTTTTCCTTTATACATACCCAGGAAATAGCGAGCAAAAAAAAAAAAAATCTAACAAAGACATACAAATATATATAGCATGAAATAAGCTTATTTTTAGTGTCGTGAAGGAAGAGTAAACAAAAGTAAAATATAACATCGACGACCTTGACTCAAAATTTGTTCCATACACTTTGAAAAATAATATTTAAAAGAGGCAAAAGCATGTATAAATTACGTAAATTACATCATTAAATTTCCCCATTAAAAACTTTGTCCCACTCTCTAACTTTCACGGCGTCTTTGCTTGAGTCGAAGAAAAAAATCGAAAAAAAAAAAATGCTATAAATTCAAATATGCTAGTTCCTCCCTTTAGAAGACTTCTATCTTTTGTAAGATTTTTTCATCGAATATCTTTAATCAAATGTATTTGGTTGTTTACAATAAAGCAAAAAGCCGAAAAGTCTTATTTTACGATTTGTTGAAACTTGAAGTTTCATTCAAATTTAAATAGAAATATAAAAGCAGTAATTGAAAATAAACAATAGGAAGACCACAAAGCACAAATCAGTAAGCAAAGGAAACCAAATTGTGTAACCTTATCAAGAAGCAACACAAAAAGTCATCATAACTAACAAATATGAATCTAAGTTGCTTGACCGGAAAACGATGGCATCGAGCGCATTGATGGTATTGGACTGCTGGAGGCATGCACAGGGCTATAACCACCGCTACTGAAGCTCTCTTTATTGAAGAAAAATCGGAAACTGCAATTACAAATTTTATAAATTTCAACTGACTCCTAAGGAGGTGTTCAATGACTAACTTGTGTACTATTTGACATGTTGGGGGACTAATTCATGACTGAACTAGACAAATTCTACATGCTCTCCTCAAATTCTGAGTACAATGTAAAGACAGTGATTAGGAATGGTTTTCTATGTGCATCATCAAAAACATAATATTCATTGCAAACTTTCATGTTTTATACAAAACGATCCGAAATTAAAGTTTCAAAATACCTTTTTGATAACTTCCATGAGGTTCTTTAATAATCGGCAGATTCTCAAGACTTCATGTTAACTAGTCTTTATCGTCCTTCCACAGTGTAAGCTGCATATGAAACAAATGAAAAACATAGTTACTTCTTCTGTAACTTTTTATAAAGTAAAGCATACAACTTTCGCACGCCGCTTTCTTTTCGTTCATATTTCCATGGGTATAATTTTTCTTCAGGCTCCTTGTTGATTGGTCCATAAACAACATATTCTTCTGTTTGAGCAGATCTGAATTACAATAATGAGAATTGCAAAACAAATTACGCAGTTCGTGCTTCCATAACTTGAGCGATGTGGAATCATATCTACGGAAAAACAAAATATTTAGAATAAAAAAATAGGATTCTTCAAAATTAACAATAATTTTTTCACAAGAAATTCTTCAAATATTAAAAAATACCTATCAAATTCTCTACTGGAGTCACTTGCAACAGATTCTCGTCTGCGTAAGGGTCGCAGCTGTTCAAGTTCCTCTTCCAATTCCAAAACTTTGCCTTTCAGCAAATTCTTCTCTTGTAGTACTTCACGTAACTCTGACAAAGTGAATCTAGGAGCATTATCATTGTCATCCTGAAAATTTTTCATTGAAAGAAACAACTATATAGAATAATATATATATATATATATATATTATTCTATATAGTATTATTCTATATATTATTCTATATATATATATATATATATAGAAAAAAAGAAAAATAACTATATATAGAAAAAACTTCGATCTGGTTTGCTGACTAGAAAATCACAAAATTAGAACCAAAATTTTTATCTTAAAAGAAGAGTGAACGGAAATAAAGAGAAACAATATTTTTGCAAAATGGTAACAGTTGCTATGTACAAAAGTAGTTGGTGGTAAACAAACGTTCTTGATTGAGAGAGTATTTTCGCAAAATTGATGTATAGGAATGGTATAGCATAAAACTTTTTCTCGAAATAGAAAGATTTGATGCAAACATATGAAGATAAATCTTATAACGTATATGAAATGCAAAATTTTTCTAAAAATTGCATAAATAAGATAAAAGATACCACTTGACACTGTTGCAAATCTTTGCACTGACGAGTAGCATCTTTGAATAATTTCGTTAGTTTAATATTAGCTTCTTCAGTCAACTGCAATCTTTTAATAATTTCACTTTTTTCTTCTACCAACAACCTTCCCTGTTTTTGCAACGATGCATTCTTCCGTAAGAGTTCTTCATTTTGACGAATCAGTTTTTCAACATTGTTATGCAGCTGGAAGAAAAATGATAGATTCTAGCATAAAAATTGTAATGTATATGAAAGTTTTATAGTATGATAGAAATATGATAAAAGTCATTGAAGCATTTTGATTTTTAAAAACATGGCACTGAAATAAAGCAGCAAATGTTTCAACTAATAAAAAATTGTTCAGATATCTATCTTCAAACCTAATGAAAGTTAAATTTATCAGTGATGGAACAAATCGTAAAAGTATTAGAGATTAGAAAAAAAATCCCAAGAAATGTAAGTCCTGAAAATTTCAAAATTCTTGCTAATGACACTGGACGTTGACTGTTTTTTTTTTTTTTTTCAAAAAAAAAAAACATCGCAGCATCAATGAAAAGTGACTTACATTTTCTACTTCACAATTATAAGTACTGATATCTTTTTGCAAATCTTTTATTTCCTCTTTTTGTTTAGTAGAGAGTTCACGTAGTTCTAACAGCATTTTTAGATCTTCATCACGAGTTGCTGGAATGGACAAACTAATTTAATGATCTCCGAGACATTATTAGATGACAAAATCTGATAGGGCCTAGATTTGTTAAGAAAACCGATGGAAAAAGGAAAATATAAATGAATATTAGAAGAGATGTCTTGAAGAATTATAACTTTTTAGTAGTGATTTCTTTAAACTAAGGATCTCACCAGTTCTTCCAAGTACAAAGGATAAAAATTTTCTAGTTATGTTCAAATACATAGAAAATAAACATGAAGTTAACCTAAGCAAATCCTCTGTATCATCACTATCAAATGATATTTTTCATTATTAATACAAAATTCAAATTCTGAAAAAATACTCATAGAAGTAAATGCTGAAGCATCATCTCCAGTTACTGATGATAAATGCTTGTTTTCCAATTGCAAATTCTTTACCATCGACCATAAATCATCAATTTCTTTTCGATAATTCTCTTCTACTGCTTCTAATTCCTGCAATTTTTGATACTGTGCTACTTCACCATATTTAACAAAGTGTATAAATGACAAATGAATAAAACCCATCTATAATTTCTGTCTAAGAATAAAGAAGGCGAAAAAAAAAGAACTCCAGCATAAGAAAAGGTGAAAAAATTAGGATTAGGGGCAAAGGACAAATCAGGCTCACGGAGAAAGAACTGATGAGAGGAAACAGAAATTAATATTTAGATGTAGATAAATTCAATAAAAGAATAATAACAAAGACCAAACAGTGAATAGTAAGTGCAAAAAATGAGCTTCCTAATATTTTGCTTTTATTTCTTACATCACTCCATATATTAAGTGAGATAATATTACAGCTGGAATTTAATTTAGCTAAGCAGCATTACTAACAAATAATAACCAATGAAAAACAAATAATAACCAATTCAAATTTGATTCGATCTTGCTGTTTCATTTGTTTCTCATTCTCCAACCTTTCAACTGTTTTTTTCAACATCAGAATTTCTTCATTTTCTTTTTCGTTATGATTAGCAAGTGATTCGAGTGTTTCGAGAGCTGATATTACCTGCAATTTACATTTTTTCAATGGCAAAACTGAAACTAATGAATTGTAAAAGAAACAATGCGGGATGAAATTGGTGATGTCAACCACTTCTTAAACAAGTTTTATTTCACACTACATACTTTCTGAATAGTGGAAGAATTTCTATACCAATTCCATATTAACTTTTCTATGATAGGAGAGATTTATAAAATTTCGAATAGCAGTTATATAAATTAATTACTTTCGCGAATCCTTTCTACGATAGATATTTATATGTTCTATTGTGATGTTTTCTTTTTTGTTCTGTGATTTCTAATTTTGTGGTTTTTTTTTTTAATAATTCAAGATTTTAGAGTCAAAATTTAACTAAAATTGGAACTGCTCAGAAAGCTAAAAATACGATATAAACAATGTAATATCCAAAATTTAATGCAACTAACACAGATTAAATCTTAAACAGAATTTACCTTTGGCATAATTTGTCGCACGCTATCATTGCCAAACTCATCAATGATTCGTTCAAAATCTTTACCGATTGAAGCAGCCAAATCGTAGACATCAACAACAGTAATATGTCTTGAGGGACTATCAGCTGGAGACCGTACATCAGTCATCATTGTGGTAGTCGTTACAGCACTTGTCGCAAAAGTCTTGAGTATCTGGAAGGAAGAAAGAAAAAAGCAGTGCCTGATGGTGATCCATGCCAATCAATCAAATAACTTAAAAACAACCAGGTGATGTAAAAGATAACCGTTTCTTTAACATTATGGTATCATAAAATAAGATTTCCATACTCAATATCAAATATTTCGTTATTCAGAACAGCCAAGCCGGATAAGATAACTTGATATCTTCGTAAAGAGCATATATTTGATCATTTGCAGATGACATGTGATCGGTTACATAACAAGACCGGATAAAATGGAAAAATGTAATGCAAATAAAGACCTAGTTAATTGTATATTGAAGGAACAGTTAGATAATTGTACAATAAACTTGATGACATCAAAACAGTACATATTTTCATTCATACAACAAATAAAGGAACTGCCCTAAAAATAAGTCATAGAAAAGTCCGACAAAAAGATAAGTAGGAATCTTCGGAGATTTCAAAAATTTAATCATAAATCTTTCATGATTCTTTATTTAAATTATTAGGATGGATCAATTTGAAAATTTGATCTTTTCCAAACAGGTATAAAAATACAAATGCGAAAAAGACGAAAGTAATGACGACCACGCGCTGAATGTGAAAATAAAAGTAATGAAGACCTGAAATCATGATTTGTGAGAGAGGAGAATTTTGTAAAGTAGTCAGAGAGAATGAAAGAAGAAAGGAAGTAAGAAGAATTAAAGAGAAATGATAATTGCCAGTACTACATCGCCTACGCGCTCATCCACTTTCATCCTTTCAATAGCAACAGAATGGACATTAAAGCACAGCATTCCTTCCATTGCTGCATTTTCAACTTTATCGATTTCTCATCCTCCTTAAAATTCTCGAAAGGACGAGGACAGAGAAACCACTCTCTGCGCATATTCCGAAGCAAAAAGACTCCAACTGAATGTGCATGAAAAAAGATCGATCATTATTTTTTATTGATGCTTAACTCATCTAATTACTGCAGCTTTATTTCAGCCTGCACATGTCCTCACACTACACAACACTACAACACTCACATAAGTAAGGTGACATTGCATCAATTTTATTCAAAAAAGTAGCGAATTTTCTTTTTTTAAATTTAATGTCACTTCAGTTTTGATAAGATTCCTACAGACAACAATCAATATTCATAGTTCTCAAAGACCTACTGCCCTGAAATAAATTTGAAATACTTGGTATCGACAGGAACACAAACATTTCTAGCATTTATCATATAAATTAAAAATTAAGATAGCTGAGCAGCAACGTCCGTGATCTAGCTTCTAATGACAGATATGTAATTGTGTCTCCTAAATTACCTAAAGCTCTTAAAGCATACTTGATAATTCTAACACTCTAATCCTGAGCTCTTCAAGGTCAATATCTTAAAGGTCCATACGACAAATTTCTAACATTTATATATTTCCTCTGATATTTGTTTGTTGAATAATTATAAGGAAATAGCATACATTATGAAATGCTTAAAAATAAAGTTAGGAATATTACCTGAAATGAATTTCTACATTTTAAGAACCAGTGCATGACACTCAAGATAGTTTTGAGACCAGGAATAGACATAGGTATTGCAAATATCGTCATTATTATCCTATAGTATCCGACAATTTAACTCAAGAATGTTTGTATTTTTTACACTGTGACTCTGCTAGATTAACAGCATAACCATTTCTCTGCTTAATTTAATAAGCAAAAATGAAATCAGTAAAAACTTCAAACATTTACTGTACGAGTAAAAATATAAATGAATGACAAGGTATATGTGTAAGAAATGAAGCATACGAGTTTAAATTGAGCAAAGAAAAATTTATTTTCATAAGAATAGCTAAATTAAGCATAAAAAAGTTTCATAGCAACAGGTAAACCAAAAATCAGACTGGTGGTTTTATACGCCTATACTGAAGATTGATGACAATAGTTTATGAGTGCTCCAACAGAGTGTAACTGGAAATTGTTATGCGTTATAAGCAGGGAGAAAGGTACTGTGATGGGCAACTATATGATACCATCGCTGCAAAACAAAGTGAGTCAGTTAATCACTGAAAATACTGATTGCTCATAAAAACCAAATTTTTCAACTCTGCTCTCCTCCACTCTACTTCTACACTTTAGAAATGATTTTAAAAAATTATTCGAAACAGTGGAAATGAATGACTCACTTCGTATGTAATTGATGTATGGGTAAAAGAAAACAAGCTAGTCATATTTTCTACAATCACATTTAAAAAACTTGATAATCATCCTTTTCAGAAAGTAGTTAGCTTTTGATCGCAATAATAATAATTAAAGTTTTAAATTTAATTTATCTGAACATACTAGTAATAGATTTAAAATAATCTACAAAATTTCGAATTAAACATCCACTTATCCATGATAAATAATCCCCCCTGCTTCAGCTTTTTCAACCAATCTATCACCACCGGAACTTCTAGAAAATAGCACCTTTAACGTTATTCTACAGCGTCTCATTTTATAACACCTGAAATTGACATTTTGTTCTGAGGGAAATATTTCTAAAGTATCTTTTGTTTTCGTTCCTAATGTATGTATATGAAGTGATTTCTTTTTTCTCAATATTAAACTCCTGACCAGGCATAACATACGCAAAATAAAAATATCAGAAAAATTGACTATAGATTTCCAATATCTGTAATATATATTTTATTGTACCAAATCTCAATAAGTACTATTAATGAGATTAGAATTTAATTACGTGCTGCTAAACGTTTATACAAAAGTGGTTGTACATGAACAACAAACCAGGGATGGAAAATATTACATACAATGAATGCATAAGGAAGAATTGAGGGTTCCTGGAACCAGAAACTATAAGCAGCAGTAAATCAATTGTAGTCAAACCTTTACACGCATGGAAAAGCGAATCTATTTCACCATGGACAAGTGGAGACAATGCCCCTATCAATTCGTCGTGAAAATGATATGAATTTATGGGACAAAAAAAAGTTAACCACTTCAAAAAACTTCTCCCTCTATCTACTTATAGAAACCTTACGAATTTTTATAAAGAATATCGCCTCAACTGTTACTATAACCATGGAAGACACAATACAGAATACTTTAAAACTAGTTTGTGACATAATTTATGCAGAACCTCGGAATCTTTTGCAACTTTGATCAAAGATCCAAACTAAGAACAAGGGAGATATAATGTTGTCTGAGTCATGAGATGCTGAAGACTTCTACTGAGAAACTCTTTTGCATAAAGTTAGGAATAAAATTACCACTCAAACCAAATATGAACAAGACAGTAAGACAGCATAACCATGTACATCGTAATCAAAGTAATCTTTTTTGTTAAAAAAAAAGTGAACAGTAGCACCAAGTAAAATCAAAACCCGTTAATACATATTCACGGGATCATAACAACTAATAAAATCAATATCGTAAGCATTTTTAAGATATGAATTCAAAAAAAGGAAAGAAAAGAAAAAAAAATTTTAGGGAGTGGTGCCTCCTCACATGCTAACATCACAACGGTTAATGCTTGACAAACCTTCAATTTGAACCAAAGGTATTAGTTTATCTCTTTTGTATCTTCAGCATGAATTTTAACGCGACGTTCAGTAGATCTAGCCAGTTATTTCGACAGAGTTTTCCGTAAAAAAACTAACTTAAAATTCAAAAGTTAGTGAAACCATGGGCCTACAATGTCATATATAACATGCATCACAATTAATCATCCAAAACCGAAAAAATTTTTGGAACACCAACTTTAAAAACAGTAGATGTAATAAATCTAAGCACTGTGCACATATGCTATGAGTAATTTGCTGGCTTACATAGTGGCCAATAAAGAGCTTATTTCACCCTGTGAGAGCATAATTGTAATTATATCTGATTAATTTTATATTGACAAGGTTAGTCGATTTATAAAAAACAAAAAGTAATGGTATTATGTACAAATTAAATGCACACTTATTTTGGAAAAGAGGACAAAAGTATTTTCCCTGGTTCTTAAAAATATCCTTAAGTAATTAGAGCGTAGTAAGATCTTCCAGTTTTGGTCTTTTTGCCTCTATGAACTGTTCATCATCATCCTCATCGCTGTCACTCAATGCCAGATCTGCATTCAACTGACCAGAACTATGCATTCGAGATTGTAACAAATCAATCTCCGCATCGTAGTGGTTATTTACTTCGTCTGATGCATTACAACTGCTTCCTAAAAATAAAATTTGAACTAAAAATTTTTAGACAAACTTATCTCATACAATTAGTCAATACGAAGAAAAAATTTTAAACTCTAAACGAAACAAATATTAACCTCTGGGCATACCTAAATCCTGGTCATCATCATCTATATCATCACCACTCAAAGCAAGATCATCCTGTAGATTACCCATTTTTGTCGCTTCTTCATCATCTAAATAACGCATAAAAATTACCTTTAAAAAATAGGAAATGAAACAAAATTTGCTTCCATTATCAGTCACCAAGCACATGATAAAACATCTAAACACGTCTTTGATTAAACATGAACCTGGTTCCATTTTGACTATATTTTCACTCATTCTTGATTCCGATCCATCAGGTTTTGAGCCTGGAGATGGTTCCTCCACTTCTTCAGCACATATAGTACTAGCAGCATTTGATTCGAGATCTACATGTTCATTTAATGTTGACTGTATATTCATCTCCAGTTCTGCTAATTGTTCCTTTCGTTCCTGCAACTTGATGGTTGTAAGAAAAAATGATTTGATGTAGCACAGATCTGTTAGTGACAGTTTATTTTAAAAAAATCTGGAAAATGGAATGATAACAAGAAAATACACCTCAAGCATCTTCTCGGCTAATGTACATATTTCAACAGCTTTAGAGGTGTATTGTGATGTCTCCGGCGGTCCATTATACAGCTCACTGTTCATTCTGATCTGTAAAGACTCGTACAGAAATTCGTTCTATGTTTTTGTAAAAAATTTGCAAAAATGATTGCCATTTGCTGATCAGTAAGAAAAAAGTAAACTGAAACCTGTTTAATATCATTTCGAAATGCTTCGACAGTAGTGTACCGATGCTCCTTAATATTTTGTTGCATGGTACCCAAATCCATTGGCTTATGTATTTTCTCATAATATTGAGGCAACTAAAAAATACAATTATTTAATCATTTTAATTTAAAAAAAATTTAATCATTTTGGTAAATCATTCTAGTAAATTCTGCCAGTCATTTGTAATAGCAATAAAAAAGCATAATGAAAAAACAACGATTACAAAAAAAGTATCATTCCACTTTTAAAAAATATAATATACGCATCTGTAAATCACTTCCATCAACAGTCTAGTAAAAATATAGTTGAAATGGTTCCAAAGTCCAGTAATAACGAAAAATATGAAACTGACCTTCTTTGGATCAACTTTAAAGTGGAACGCAACGCTTTTAGGTATATTTTTACATTCCTGTACAATTTCGTTCAGTATGAACGAAAAACCAATAATGTCATTATCATCGAGCAAGGGGTTAATTGCTTTCTCCAAGGCAATCAACTTCTGTTCACGTTCAGCAACATATCTCGATGCCATTTCAAATACCTAAGATTAGGATTTCCTCATCAAATATTTAATATTTGAAAAGAGGAATTGAGAAACAACATTTTTATTCCTCAACTATAGAAAACTAACATTTTTGGCAGTAATTGTAATAGAATGGCCACCACCATTATAAAGTATTGAATTATCCATTATCAGCTTGATATCATACAAGAACTGCCGTCTCAGTTCGTATTTATTCTCAGAAATTTTTGTTTTGATTTGCTGCAGATCCATCGGTTCTTTTATAATGTTGTAGTAATCTGGGACCTAAATAAAAACGTAATATTATAAAAGTATAAATTCCACTCTTCGCAGAATCTTTGATTTTTTAAAAGTCACTCACTTACCTCTTTATTCTACTCTTTCTAAATAACCTTTATACTTTTTGTATACCTGCACATTATGTAGCATCCTGTATCATTTTAAATCATCGGAGAGATTTTAACCATTTTAAATAGTCGCATGACTTCAATTAAAATAGTGCTTATTACATAGCAGTCCAAAAAAGTTACTTTTTTTGGATTAACTGGAAACATAATTTCTTCACAACCGGAGATACTGCGAACATCGTTAAATATTTCACTCAAAACAATCGACATCGATACCTACAATTCATTATGTATATTTTTTATTGCTAGATCAATAAAATCAATAAAAATCAGTAAAGATTAGCACTTTTTGTATGGCTTTTTGGAAACAATTACAGCTCATATCAATCACATTTTGAATTTTCGCTGCATCATAATTCATGAAAACATTTCGTCATTAGGGTTTGAGTTAATAAATAAACTAACTTTTGGATCAGCTCTTATCCGCTTGACAGTTTTTTGTGGGCCGCACAAGTAATCTTCCATTTCAGCAGTATGACGGCGCTTATTTGAGCCAATGGTAGTTATTCGAACTTTGCCTAAAACTATGAATAATATCTGCCTATATCCTCCATTAATTGGAAGACGAAAAGTAGATCTACTAATCTGCCATTAAAAATTCTACAAAAAATCAACGTTTTTTTTACTTAGATATCTGACTTTTTAGTTCAGAGCTGCATATCAACAACATTTAGAAAAATACATAAATGAATTTTTGAACATATATCCTCACTTGCTTTAGGTAGTTCAGAAGTTTCTGAAATTTGTACATTGTTGTCGGGATCAACATCGTCCTGATCGTCGTTTTCGTGCACAATACTTATATTTTCTTCCTGTTCAGCTGGAATAAGTGGTGATCGCTTGTCTCCTTCTGCCACCAGTTTTTTATCACCTTCTATCAGTTCACGAGGTATATGAAGCCTAAAAGCTTAATATACAAAAAGTAAGATTTCTCTTTGCAGAATCAAGTTGTGCACTACCATAGTAATCAAATGAAAAAGAATTTGCCTAAGCGCATTTTTTTTGATCATTTCTGCATGACTGTACAATTTTCTTGATATTTTCAATTTTGTGCCTTCAACTGCAATCAGTTCTCCTGATGGAACGGCCATTTTCTCAAGTTGTTCATCGGTTAGAGCAACCTAAATAGTCAAACTAACATGAATTTTAATTTTTAGAAGGTTATGCATTGCACTAAAGTTTATAACTTGCTAATAAACTTCAAAAATTCTTACACTCTACAGAAATTAAGAGTGCAAAATAATGACAAGTGAAAAGCCAAATGGAACTTCAAACATATTACTCATCATTAAAGACTAGTAATGAGTACTGATGAAAGTATATAGCGTAAAAAGCAATTCAGTCAAAACAAAAATCTTGATCATATTTGGTACTCAAAAATACCGGATGAATGTCGCCAACGGTTTTGATAGTCTTCGTCGGATCCTTACCATACAATGGACAATTTTTATTAGTTTTCATGTGCCCCGTACCATGACAAGCACTGCATCTCATTTTTAACAAATTTGGTTTTATAACTGGCGGCTTCTTTTCCGCTACTTTGGCCTCAAAAATTATTAATGGATTATCTTTTCTTTTATTACTTCCAGCATAGAGATGTCTCTAGTAAAAAGGACAATTTTTATTGCATAAAAAAGAAGATTTAAATATTTTCGGCTCATTATTATCCAAATTAAATATACATGGTCGTCTTACAGTTAAAAAATTGAGCCAACCTTAGTAATAGGCTGTCCAATGGGTACACCATGAAGCTTGGCTTTGAGCTCGTTACGCCTAATTCGACGTAACTGATCTTGTAATCGTCGTTTCTCTTTTCTTCTTTCCTATATAAACTTATAAACAGAGTAAATGAAGAAAAGATCTATTAAAATTTATAAAAAAAATCTGACGAAATAAGAAAACAGACAACCCAAAGACTTCAAACTAGACATCAAATTTGATGCAAGCAACTTACTTCCTTAAACTGCTCATCCATCTGCGCATATACTCGAATAAACGTTTCATCACATCTCGTGCGTATACGAACGTACGCATCGATTAGCTGTTGGCGTGTAATTACTTCAACTCGAGTCTGTAGGAAGAAATTAAAGGATAAACATAAATTCTTGAAAAAGTTATATTGCACATTAACCACCGCACTTTCATTTCATCCATTATCAATAAATCATTAAAATATACTGTTTCTGTGCCGTCTTCAGCTCTATAGGTACGATATATTTTAAGTTTCTTTGTTACAGAGAGTGCTGGAGTCTGAGAATTTGGCATTTCGTTAAGCACTGCTGTTGCCAATCCTTTGTCTGTAAATCAAAGAGCTGCTCCCATTAATAGGCCATTATCACAAAAATAAAAAACAAAAATAAAAAGTGGAGGGAAAATGCAGATTTTTTAAATGAAATATAAACCTTTCACATCATTTTCCTTTTTATGTTTAGCTGTAGACAACCCTGCAGGTTCATCACAAAGCATTTTTTGCAGCGCTTTTCGTTCTTTTTCCTCTTGTTCAAACTCCAATTTTTTCTTATCAAATGTGAATGATTTGCCTTAATAAGTGACAAGTAGTAGGGTGAGTCAAGTGGTGATCAACTTCTAGCATGCTTTTATAATACTATTATAATTTTTTTTTTCTATTGAATAAACTAGTAAAAAAAAACTTTTAATAATTGCTAATATTTTGAATCTCCACATTTAAAGAACCTTTATTAACATCCAGCATGCTCTCAAGCTTTGTTGCAAGTTCTTCGTTGTCTGAGTCCTCTCCACTACTTCCTTCATCCGTACTCAAAAGATCTGTATTTGACAATGTCCTGCAATAAATTTGTCTTTTGATCAAAGTAAACACCTAGAAAACTATATGTTTGGAAATATTAACAATATAAAATATTAGGGACATCAATAACGTACTGATTTTGCAAATCAAATGTTCGCTGACAGAATTTTTTGTATTTTTCTTGCATGTCTGCAAAGTTGAACCTGATATTTCCACGAGCAAACCGAGCCATACCTACAATTCCCTTCTCATTACAACTACTATAAAGAGAGCAAAAACGTGAAGAATTGTACCAAAATGAATTATGTTTGTTACGCTAGAAAAAAAAGGATACATTTTACCGGAGAAATCTGATCTCGCTTTAGCAGCTTGTGTGGACAGTGTCCGGATGACGTCAATTATTTCCCACCGACTCAACGAATTAATCTAAAAAATGAAATGAGAATTTCCATGCTGCACATGGATTTCATTTTTTCAACTTAATCACATCCAATTCAAACTTTTAGGTATTTGATAAAGCACCTCTTCTTCCCTAACACCATAATCTCGACATATTTCTTTCGCTTCCTTCAATGGTAGCTTTCTAAGATCGGCATTTGTTCCAGTTACCAATCGTTTCGGAACATTTGTCACTTCTTCCTGCAAAAAAATCTGAATATAAATGAACATATAAAAAAAATGAAAAAAAAAAAAAAAGTAAAACAAACACTAGAGGCAGAAAAAGAAACACTAACTTTCGCTTTTTGTGGTTTGGCGCTGACACGAACATATGAAAAAGCTTCACCACATCCGGTTGGATCAGCTATACCTGTTTGATCCAACAAACATTTGCCTTTCATTGATGATATGTAAGCTCGTGTCGTATTCCATGGAGCGCATTTTATCTTTAAAATATGATAGAATGAAATTAAAAAAAAAAAAAAAATAAAATAAATAAATAAAAGACAAAGTAACATACATTGCAGAATCTAAATATCATTTAGTATTTGCGAGTTGCGGAGATTTATCAATTAATATTAAACCGAAGATCTGTTTAGTATTATAAAAACTCTTTCGTTTAACACTGCAAGCAACATCAACATATATAATACTGTACATCGCCTGTACATCGCTTGTGTCGAGCAAACGTTATTCGGAAATATATATTTCTCAAAGACATTAAATAAGCCAGCAGACAATTTAACCGACCTCATCCTCGATGGTAACCTGATCATCCGAATCATCCTCATTTTCTGGAGTGAAGAAATATTTCTCGCCATAACCAGCGTCCTAAAAAATTTTATTTACAGATTGGGAGTTCTTCGTATTCCTGATTTTGCTGGGAAACTTAACTACCATTTAAATACGCAAAGAACCCTAACATCCAATTACCTTTAAGCGCTGCTCAGCTGCTAGCATACTATACTGTGCACAACACATTTCTGGCGTTACCATTGCAAGTACCTCTTCTTTACTTGGTAATCGAAAATCACTCCGTAAAACCTAAAATCTATCAAATAGTTCCCATTCGTGAAAGCATGAAATTAAAGGACACTGTTAAAATATCAAAATATAATAAAATAATGTTTCCCAAGAACTGCAAAAATAATTTTAAGTTATAAAAATTCTATTATAGCTCTCCGAGTTCAATGACAACTAACCCAATAGTTTTGATCAGGACCTTGCCCCAATCGTCTAAAATCTGAACACTGTTTTAATCGCTTGCGCACTGAACTTTCAGCATAATGAGGGAATGCTTCCTTGATGTCCTCCATTTTTAACCTGAATTAAAATGAAAATTCTTAGCAACAAAAATTTCGCTCACTGTTGGTGAATTGATGAGCTTTCATTTTATGCCTAATAAACAAAAAGCCTACTACAGAACAGCAATATATTGTTTATTAGACATGAAAGGAAAGCTCTACCCTCTTAATAAAAAATAAAAACTCAAAATCGTGGGTTAAATTGATGAAAATGTTGACCTCCTAGGATTCTGATCGCTAGCCCAGAAAAGTCGATAAATATACGCCAACAAAAAATCTCGAACAAAAACTGTTGCTCGCTTCGAATTCGGACTTGGTACTTCGTATAGCGGACATTCTTGACCAACAAGAAATAAGTTCGGACAATGACGGATAAAGTATCTGCAACTTCTGACTCCTCAACACCGTTGAAAACAAATAGTTCCCACTCGTAATATGTCAAATAGAACGGTTTTATTTCTATCAGATTATAGCAATACCAGAAGATATTGAGATAGAAGACCGAATAATCCTTGAGATTAGCGAATTGTTTGATTGGAAGTTTATGATGCTAATCAGTGTGTCGTATTGCTTAACAATCAGTCATTGTTTGGTAAATAACTTGTTTATAGATCACTCATTAAAATCTCCCACACTTCAACAAAAATTCAGTATAAAGCAATACACAACACCCATTAATTGATTCCATCAAATGAAAACTAATGGTAATAAACTCAAACATCAACAAAAAATAACTTACCCTTGCTTTGTACGAATAAGGAGAAAGTCATTTGAATTCGAAGAATGTTTGTAAATGGGAGCGCGATACAAATTGTTCTCCAATGACTGCAAACCTTGACCTGGTGCAAGAGAACCCAGGAATGGTGATGTATGTGTAAAAGCAGTTTCACCAAATTCATATTCTGGATCTGTCTCTTTTCCAACTTTCTGCAAAGATATCAACTATATGTTGAAAATAAAATTTAATAGCAAGAAGAGCAGAGTTCACAATAAGTCGATTCCACAGTGAACTCTTCCACAAATAATTTTAACAATGGATAGATTGAAATAACAAGTTCAGCATAGCAGATTGAAACTCAGTATAAAATTAGCCGAAAAAAGACGAAAAATGAAGCGGAAACTTTTCATATATCTCATTAAGCATGCTCAGTAAAACTCAGTAGGAATCAAACAGGTATAGCAAAATTGAGTAGAAATTTAAACTTACTCTTTTGTAATAATTTCTGATTTTACTGGCCATTCCGGGCTGATTTAGAAGTGGTGGATGTTCTTCAGAATATTCCATCAGTAAAAGAGTACCATCTTTGCCCGACAGATCTTGCACTTCACGCATGAAAAAAATCTCACCTCCTCCTTCTGCTGCCTTCTGTTTTTCACGAAACTTAAAAATACAGTTAAATATCAGGAGTAATACTTAAAAATATCTATGAAAAATATGGGTTGTTCTAAAGTTTCGTTTGTTTTCCGCATGCCTTTAAATCAAGAAATGAAATAATCTCTATTTACTTCTTCTTTTTCTTTGATCAGTTTGGTTAGTGTTTTAACGAACACGAGGCGAGTGCCTGTTGTCCGTAAGATTCTTTTAGACAATGGTAAACGATGATAGTGCCGCAATTTAAATGGATTTAAATGTGTCGGGAAAAACGTCCGATGGATATTCTGCGCAGGTAGTGAGTGTTGAATAAGTGAATTACCGGAAACGGAACTGACTGTTCTATAAAAAAAAGATACAAAATAGTTTTAAAAAAAATAGTCAGAAAAAATTAAAGTTCAAATGATTAAGAAAAAAAAAAAAAAAACGATTGCGTTTCCAAAACGGCAAGGAATCATATGTGATGCTGCTACAAATATAAATAAATAAAACATAAAAATCAGCTCAAGAATTGGATACAATCAACCTTACCTTTCAACATTTTTAGGTCTGTAATAATCATCGTTACTAAGGTTAAATGGATCTTTGTCGGTCAGCTGAGCAATAGAACTCTCCATCTGTTCATCTTCTTCTTGTTTCTGTCGCTGTTGTACTTGGCCAAGAATCATTTTGGATTTTTTTGTAAACTGATGCTCCTGTATAACGTATAACTTCTTTAAAAATTATAAACAGCAATTTTTTTTTTGCTAATATATCTGCTTCAGAACTTTCTTAATAATTTAAAAGATAACTATGTGCTTGCATGATGATCCGAAAACTTTTATAATAATGAAACAGAAACCTTTCGATCGAACGGTTTTGGTGGATTGGGCAATTCACCATCCTGAACCTTATCCTCAGTCGCTTTGTCTTCTGGCATACCAAATAATTTAGGATCGTCTGAGTAATCAAGGGTAAGGAGTTTCGGCTCTAAAGAGAATTGTCATTATCAACTTATTATTTCATGCAACTCCATCTTGAACAAAAGAGTGTCAGCTGTTTTAATTGTACATTTCAAGTAACACGTTACTTGCTTGAACTTTAACAATTTTTTGAGTTATTTATTGATTTTGCTTATTCTAATTTCTATATATTTACGGACCATACCTGGTATATGATCCATATTTTCTGAATCCCATATAATGTCATCTTCCCATTTCGTATAAAGTAAGTCATAGTTTTCCATAGGAAAAAGAGAATGAGATGGAGTTGGTTCTTTTAGAAAGTCTAAAGAATTGAAATTTGACACATTAATAATACATATCTTTAAAGATTGAGGATCATACATTATATTATTGAAGGTGAATGAGATAAACTCTTAATTTAACACAGGCCGCTAAAATTGCAAAAAAAAATTGATTAGCTCATAAAGTACGAAACACTAATTTGAAACAAGCCTTTTATATAAAAGAAAAGTATGCTCGTTTTTCTATTTAACAATCCCAACCATTTTTTTGAAGAACTCTCAGGATTTTTTGTGTTATTCGAATTTCAACAAATGATGCTTTAGAATTTCATTGCTCACCATGAGAGGATTTCAAAAGAACATAATAGATTGAAATTCGCGAGAATCAGTTTATATCAGTTACACTCCCGAAAAAAAAAAATCAGTCACATATTACTAACTCAAATTTGCGTTGTTCAATGAAGAAAATGTGCCAGATTTCGAAAACATCTGTTCAAATGCACGGGTTTTAACTGAAAAAAGAGGAATTGCAGAAAAAGCTTAAATAATTAGCTGAATATGTTTATGCTCAAAATTTATAGCAAGTTCAAGAATTAAAAAAACAGTGATCATTGTGCTCAAGAAACACTTATAATAACATGGAAAATAAAAGAAAAGGGATAAATTTTACAAGCTATCATAAAAGACTCGTAATTTCTCGTTTGCTGAGTAGGTATCCAACCACATTCAGGGAGTTTATCAGATGACTGAGAAGCCAAACCTTTCAAAATCTGAAATGATTTTTTCAAAAAAGAAGAAACTGATTTCGTTAGTGCACAATTTCACGAAAAGCACTTGAACGAATTTAAAAATGGAAGAAAACCTGTCGCCGAGCCTGTTCTTCATTGAGCATTATGTCATCTTCCCACCGAATTAAATTTACAGGAAGGAATGTTTCCGGAGGAAATGGTTCAGTCGCTGCCAACCCAGGACCAATTTCTTCCTCGATCACTTCATTTTCACTTTTATCATCTTTCCCGTCTTTCATGGGACTCTTTTTTTGCAACAACTGCTGTAAAAATATGATTTATACAACTAAAAGTTGAAATAATCAATACGAAAAGTGTTGAAAACACAAACTTCACGCTTCAATTTGAACCCATAATCGAAATGAGATGGATTAGACAAAACATTCATTGAGTCATACCAAATACGAGCAGGACCGAATCTAAAACCTGCATATATTAAAATCAGCAACTATTGCTGGAAACTTATCAAGTCAGAAAAACTCTTGAAATTTCATCAAATCAGATTCGTTTCTTTTTAACTGATGTATGCATAGCAAATAAAGCCAATTTGATTGATTTTCTAAAAAAAAACCTCCACGGTGATATATCATCCACATCTTCATCGCCATCACCATTTTTAGCCGATACAGTTGAAGATGAAGGTTTCATTAAAAGAATTTCATCATCCATAAGACAGTCTTCCGGGGCTGGAGGATCCCCGAATATTAACTTCGTGCCATAAGTTTCAGTCGATTGCGATGTTTCCGCGAGCTCAAATCAGTGGAATAGAAAAAACCAAAAAATCTGACATCATTACGGTACTAATTACGCTGCTATTAGGACACACTTTTATAATAAGAAACGAACTCACTTCTGTAGATTTTCTGAACACTTGTGACCCTTCCACGCTTACTGCTCCTACTGTTTCATTTTCCTCTTGTCTAGGACTCTATAAAAGTGCCACTTTTATTGAGGTCAAAAATTTGTTTGGCTTTTTAGGCAAGATGGATTTTATAAATATTATTTATACATAAGTAAGAAATAGAATAAAACAGTCAAACAGACAACAGCGGCAAAAAAATGTATCGAAAAATAACGTCTGGTCGGAATGTCTTTGATGGCCACCAAATTCTTGTTTTAGATGAAGACTTGATGTTAGTCCCGAAAAGACGAGAGAATCGCAAGATTTTGTTGCGTGAGTAATCTGGGAAAAATTGCCTAAAGGTAAAACGATGATTACTAGAAATAAGTGATTCCACAGAATGAAAAAAACGAAACATTCCTTAAAATCAGTGTTACAATAGAATTTATAAAATATTACTTTGGATCGAGTTTATCAAGCTCAGGATTTTGTAAAATTCCTGACAATGGTGCATCAGCACGTTCTGATGGGGGTACAAACGGCTCATCATTGCGATCTAAATTAATGAAACGTAATGTCAGTATGCCAATCTCCTATATAGAAAAGCAACCAAAAGTAAGTCCACAGCCTGACTCTACATACCAGCAGCAATCGAATTATAATCATCATCTGAAAAATCATCATATTCATCATCTGCATCAGTTGTCTGATCCACCAAATTCGAATGACGAATGTACCATGCTGCAAAATGTGCTGCTTTATATTGCTATGCAACAGAAAGTAACATATGATCCTAAGGATATTTAACATTTCGAAGTTTGATCAAGTTTGAAGAAAATAAACCAACAGAAAATTCATCTGACTCATTGAAACGGACTTCCTGAATTTAATTCTCCCCCATCAAAATTTTAATTCTCCACTTTTCAAATGCAACAAAATTTTAATTCTCCACTTCTCAAATGCAACAAAAAAGAAATGAATTGTTGAGATCAACAAAACCAAATGAAAAATTTAATTTGAAAAAAAGTTACTGGAATTCAAAACTTACGTTCATTGATAGCACAAGGATGATTTTGGTAGAATTCTTCAATATTCGCATTGGACGAATGGAAATTAATATTACGATTCTCATCTTCACAGTCATCGTCGCTTACAGCTGTTCTCAAACTCTCCTGATCTATAACTTTATTTCTGATGCCATTAGTTTAGTGAATTAAATGTGCAAAAAAGTGAAGAATGCGTGATGAGTCTTGGCATAGCTATTATTTCTTTATATTACTGAAAACTTAGTTAAGAGAGAAAAAACAAGGAATATTTTAAGCCTGTGTAATCAAACGAATATTTTCAAGCGGCATTACTTTTATCAGATCATTTAGGAGAAAGCCAACACTACGGGGCTTATTTTGAAATTGGACCAAAGGCTGAAATTGGACCAAGCTTATTTGAAATTGGACCAACAGCTGATGAAAGCAAAGCAAATGGATGGATGATCTTTTTTTTTCATCTTTTTAAGAACCTGGAATCGGACAATAGGACAAAGAAGATCAAACAAAAATGATACCGTTAAAGTGTGAAGAACCAAACTCCTGCGTAGAACTCCGAGACGAATCGCTGTCAGTATCCTCCATCGCTCTTTATGGTTATGAGAAGATAAAAATAAATATAACGAAAAATGCTCGAGAATAAAAATACAACGTATCTTGATGAAAAATTAGCACTGAAAAAAAAGACACCACTGCCATGCTGATCATTTAATCTAAAATGTCTCTTCTTTGCAACAATTTGAAATAGCATCCATCAACCAACAGCAATAATAATCACCTGAACTACAAATCACAAGTAACGAAGTATTAAAAACGGTAACACAACAAACCGTTTTGGAGTCATTACAGCGCCGTTATGAAAACTGTGCGTCTAAGAAGTTTTGCTTCAAGTAGGAAGGAAACCTTGAGATTCAGTTGCGATTTGGTGACTTAGTATTCTAATGATCCAGCATTCTTCAGAATATGTAAGATATCACTTTTTCGTATAAATATATTATATATCAGGGCAAATGAAATCAGACCCTTCCTATGTCCAATTACATATTTCAAATTTGTAACAAAGCCTACCAGTTCTGTCGCTCAAATGCTATCCATTTTTAGATGACATTATCACCTCATAATGGAGCGGAACTGCTTATTTTTATGTACAACATGAATCAAGCTTACCTCTTATGTCATTATAAAATATCTGATGTGGAAATAATGGAATATCCAAGTGTTCGCTCGAGGCTACTGAATTTCATATGGAAATATATTTTATGATGCGCATCTACAATGTAATGCCTTGCCGTTATCTCATAGCAAAAACATTTGCAAAACATCTTGGCTTAAAGGAATATTTTATTGCTAGTTCGTCTACCAGCAGACATCAATTGGCTCTAATTTTAAAAAAAGCAAAATATATACAACGATCTCACAGACAATCACAATAGTTTTTGGCAGTAAAGATGCTAAGCAGTGCAATGAGCTTCTGGAAGATCTTAAAAAAGAGGACAAAAATTTCGACATTGTTTCATAATTAGTAACGATTATGGACCAATTAAAGGTTTATTTCGACTTAAGGTACCTATGAATGATCAGTGGTATAATTTTAGGGTATAAGCAGACCATAATGATTGGTAGTGTAATTTTAGTTCTACTTAATTATTTAGTGAAAATGTAATAGCATAAATACACCAAAGAATGTGGTTGTTTGCTTCTTTTTTGATGTAACTGTTATAAGAAGGCAGAAAGAAAATACAGCGACATACGTCAGACAAATGACAGTGCATAATGAAAAGTACGGAAAATGTCTAAGATAATAGATAACTTTGGGTTAGTAGAAAAAGATGATTAAAATGCTATTCATCGAGATCTAATGATAAACATACTACGAATTCACAGCATCACATGCGTGTATATACACTTAGGTGACCTGCATAATACACAAATGTATAGCTGACTTACGGCTGAATAATTTCTTTCCATGCGTTATAACGCAAAAAATTTTTCAGATTTACGAAGAAAGACTTCAGAAAAATCTTCCATGCTCCATAAACCCAAAATTATTTAAGAGTACGTTTTTTAAACTAAGAATAAACTAAAGAAATATGTGGTATATGTAAAAAGAAATTTAAATAGCAAGAAAGAAGGGCTATGCATTGGATGGACAGTGATAATATGTATAAAAATAGCGATGACATCGATAAACGTGATACAACTCTGATAATAAATGAATGGTAAAGATAATGGTAGTAACAAAAAACACAAAATTCATTTTGATTTTTGAAAATTCAGAAGTCTGCTTAACTTTTTTTTCGGAAATTTTCAAAATAGCCATTTGAAGGCCTTTCGTACAACTGCTGGCATCAATGACCATTCAAATGAGATCGTTTTGTCATCTTCTGATTTCACTGTTGCCTAAAATTGTGTGAATTGAAATTTTGGATGTCCAAAAGAAGTCGAAAAAATTAGCAAAATAGTAGTAAATGGATAAAAAACAGATGAAATTAAATAAATGAAAAAAAAAATTTTTTAATGAAGAGGAGCTAATGTGAAAAGGCAACAACGAACAATAAATAAGAAATAAAAAAGCCTTATCAGAAAAAAATATTGATTTTTTTAATCAGAAGTAATCATTCTGTGCGCATTTCTTTTGATATGTTGCAAATTAACCTTTGGATAGTAGAATATCACAATTTTCATTCTCATTTTCAGTAATTTTAAAGTACTGAAAGGTAAAGATTGACACCGATCATTTTACATTTCTTGAAAATTCAGCAGCTTGTACAGTTCATATAATTCCTCACTTCTTTGAAACTTGCTTATTTTTTTCATACGATTGACTTTTTAAGAACCTTTCTTAATTTGCATCCTAATTGTTCAACTTTCTATTAAACATAGCCTTATCTCATAATTTTGATTAAAGGAATGCATGGATTGAGTGTTTTTCACCACTTATGTTTTCAATCTGAAAGACGCAAATGAGATCTCCGATTCATAAATCCTTAAAAACATCTGAAGATTTTAAAACATAGATTTGTTACTCTCGTAAGACTCAAAAGCAAGCAATCACTAACCTTATATCTCACTACTTTTCCATCAGTTTGTGCATCACTTTTTTCATTACTGGTAGCATTTGCATTATATTGGTTTGCGTGAAGATACTGACCGAACAACGCTGCGATCCGGTCGAAACTACTCGCAACACTGATACACATTTTTAGATCTGCTGGGTCACGCATCATGCCATGTGGACATGCACAGTAAAAGTCCCCAGGAGTGTTCACGCAGCCATGCGAACAGCCGCCATTTTGTTGTTCACATTCATCTACGTCTTAAAATTAACTCATATTACACTTTTATTAATGTCGCATGCTACAGCAAGCAATTTCAGTTAATATAAGCATAACGGAGTTTACTACAACCCTGAAGAACGGCAAGTGCTAAAACCTAAATTTCAGTATTAATCTGATAAAGAGTATATTTTACAAAATATATAATCTAAATAGATCTATTTCAGTTAATATAAACATCAGGACAAGAAAGTACTCAAAATTTATCTTTTATGGAAACATCTTTTATGAAATTTATGAAAACATTACACAACATTTTCATAACAATTTTTTATGCTGTATAGATTCGACTGTGCATTTTTAATTTAAAAGAGAAAAATCTCAACCCCGTTTGCTATAAAAAATGTAAAACCTATGTCAAGAATGGTCTGCTAGAGCGAATAACTAACCATAGCACTGCCCACGATCAAAGAAGTATCCACTAGGACATCGTCCGCCTTTCGAGGGTATACTACAGTGACATTCACCATCTATAGCCGGTGGAAGGGTAGCCACTGGACGGAACGGATCCATTAGTGTTCCACATGTCGGTTTTACAAAGGCTTTTCCATTATTTGCACAAATACATTGACACTGTACTGTCGACTGGCTATTCGGTAACTTTTGGTCCGGTGGCGCAGTAGTATCTCAAATTCATCAATTGAAACTAAACTACATGAGCTTTTTCTCTGAATATGAACTTTTTTGAACCTTTTCTCTTTTTTTTTTTTTTCTTCTCTAATAAAGTAGAAACAACTCTAATAAAAGCTGAGTGTATAGTTCGATTGTTATTCAATTTCAAAGTAAAGTAATTCACCACTGTCGATTTTTATAGTTTCACATTCGTCCGTATTAAAAGGAACAGATTTGTTGATGTACCGCTGTAATGTCTCAACACAAACAGAATAAGTGCCGGATGGTAAGCCATCAATTTTTCTTCCAAAGCTGTCGCGACAGGTTGCATTCAATTTGTGCCAATATTCTTTCGGCAATGATAAATCCGAAGTATACGAAATGATGTAATCCTGAATAGTATAATCCGAGTTTCTGACATCAAACTCTCCACCTGTTTCTGGTAGGAAATTTCAGATCAGTTAAGAAGGATTTGAATTTTATACTATTTGATAAATTAGAAGTTTTCCTCAAAATACCAATAGGAATTTTCAATTTTCCTTTCACAGTAAGAGAACTATAGAAAATAGTACTGCAGAAAATGAGAGGCACTACATTACTTACATAGACTTTTATTAAAAAAATAAATATTAGTGATGACAACTGACTGCTTTGTTATTTGTACAACAAGTCCATGAGACCAGTAGAGAATTTGGACTTAAAGGTGTTACTTCAACGTTGGTCGCATCATTCATTGATATTTTTGCTAAAAAAGTAATTGTAATATTCGATTTGCATACCCCTCTGAAAGGAAAAAAGCTAAAATACGTGGATTTTTCGGAAATAAAATGGGCAAAGCGTAAGCATAATTTCTGCTTACTTGGAGTTCTGCTAAAATTACATAAAACATGCAAAAGCTATCCATATCGGTGGAGTACAAAAGAACAGAAAAATTACAATCATCATAAACTTTTTTTTGGTAATTTAATCATCACAGTAGTTAATTGGTATATTAAATTTTAATTAGTACATGTCTTTCGAATTGGTGGTCGAGTCATGCGTGTTAATTTAATCTTCCTTGTTATTGATGTAGAAACATAACTGCAAAAAGCATGAGAGATCCAGCTTTGGAATAACTCATTTCCAATCGACCAATCTGGGAAGTGAATCACTCTGCAAAATTCAGTTGTTTTTGTTTTTAAAAATGTCATTCTTAGTCATTTTCAAAAAAAAAAAAATGTCATTCAATTGTTTAATGCAATGTACGCAACAGCTTTATGGTCTATACTTTGATATGATTTTGATATGATTTAATACCGCCAATTCATATTCTGAAGTTTTAAGTTATTGGATCAAAATTGCTGATCATTATGCCTGATCAACAATTTTTTAAAATAAAAAGTAAGCAATTATAATGAAAGAAATGTAGAAGTTGAATAAACTAGGACAGAATTGTAAAACAGACTTGGTAGAACTTCCCAATGATAATTCCTTCAAGAGTTCGCTAGACGGAGCCCTTATCGAGATTGCAACAATGCCATCTACATACTGTTCTCTTGCATTTTGTGCTGATTGTATTGCGTCATCACTAGAAAGGTGAGAAGAAAAAGAAATCCTCAACCAATATCTTCATATCATTTGATGAAGGAATAGTTTCATTTATTACATGAATAAGGCAAGAAAAGCTTGCAATACCTGCTTGTCCCATCAGCACTAATGATCAGAATTATCTGAATGACTCCTTTCACAGCGTGCTCCTTGGCTAACAACATTGCTTCATCAAGACCTCGACCAAGTTTGGGAGAAATTTCATCACTTCTACAATGTTTTGTATGGATTAGATTAATTAAGCTGTAAAATTGCTCAGAAATTTATATCAAGCAATAAATAAAGTTGAAATGTCATATTCCATAGAAGTTTAATTTAGCTTTTTTTCTTTTTATATGGATTCGAAGATTTTACAAATAAAACTCGCTTCTTTTGTATCAGTTTGGCGAAAATTTTATCCGCCACATCAACGCCAAAATCTGCTGCCTTTAAATTGGTGCCATCACTACCAACGCCTACCAAATTTAATTGCACAAGTTTGCTTTCTGGTGAAAACCGCATTTTCAGAAAGCTAACAATATGATTCAATACTAGGCGGAAATCCTAAAAGACGTATATAATGGTGAGACGTATACATGCTATGAAAAACAAAAGCAAAAAGAAAGAGGACGAATGTAAGTTATAAATCATAAAATCGAATTATTCTAAAACAGAATTGCATTACTTTCTCAGGCGATCTGGCGGTGTTGTCAACCACGATTGAAATTTGATATGGGCGTAACAAACCATCCTTACAAAGTGGTTTGGGAGCAACATGTTCGGTTGCGGTTGTTGTTTTCCAATACAGCAGTGACGAACGAGATATTTTATCTTTCCTAATCGACAAAGTTTTCAAAAATCATTTTAGTAAATTAAGTGGACAGAATCAAACTTAGCCTTAAGTAGGTGCCTGTTGGAACTGTATTATAGTTTAATAAGTCTTTTGTTATCGTTCTGTGTTGGAGATTGAAAATAAGAAGATTAAGATTAAGAAAATCGATTGCACTACAAAACTTACTTGCGCTTTGAATCACCGTAAGAAACATCACGTTTTGTAGTTCGATGTGGAGTCTCCTGCGCTGGCCAAATGGTAGCAGGGATTACATCACTATCACCGCAGAGTACTTGTCCAATATGTAGCAACTCTCGTTCTTGTAATTTACTTGCGCTAGAAATTGATATTACTCGTCGTTGAGTGTGTTCATCCCCCGTCAAACGATTCAGCATCATTTGGGCTCCCCGAGATGTATTTACGACCAGCGCAAAGACACTAACTTTCAGACGCTTACGAAGATCGTCTGCTGCGGTGGCTACATTACCACTGAAAAGTGTGACCACTGAATAGAGTATCTGCATAAAAAATTTAAAACAGAGATTCATAGATTATAAACACCATGTTAAATATGAATGTAAGCTACTCAATAAATATAATAGTTTGTTTAAATTGCTATTGCAATTAGTGCCGAAATTGTCATGTGAATGAAAAAAGCGCCAACAGACATCAATTATTTTCATCTGATGTTTTCTTGTGAAAGGTTATTGGTTTTAAAAGACACGAACCGATTAGCACCACTCGTTACCAAAAGTAAAATTCTTGAAACACCATTCCGGCCATGTCGCTTGAACTGTTCTTTAGCAGCGTGAAGACCTCTTACAATGACTGGTGTACCACCAAGCTGTTCACTATTTGATATATCTGCCAAAAGTTGCACTTTATTATCATAATAACCAAGTGGTACGGGAACTGACGCCTTATCACTGAAAATAATGAAACCATAAATAAAAAAAATAAATCAATGTGTTTATCTAATTAGTGTCTTACTGCACAGAACCAAATCTCAAATTCCAAGTTAATGCCTGAATCAAAGATAAATACCTGGACTATTGCAAAGAAGTAATTATTAAATGTAATCAGGTCATTGGATGTCGATAAATTAGAAGTAAATATTTGACGCAAAAATTCAGTTGCAAATTATAATTTAATTTCTAAAATCATTTTGGATTAAAATTGGTACATTCAAATGCAGAAATTCTTGTTCACTTGCTATAGGAAAATTATTCAAACTGAAAAAACCTACATTACTGATCCCAAAAAAAAGTATTCGTTATTTGGAAAGAATAACAGTTTGTGCATTTCTCTTTTTGAATTATATTATAAATCTAGTACCTATATTCGATGAAGCCAATGCGAACAATATCTGGTGATAAATCGAATATGTCGTCAATCAACATACTTATATCTTCTTTCAAGTTAACGTATTCTTTTGATGTAACATTGTCGGAGGAATCCAGGACAAATATTATATCTGCCTTAAACTGATACTTTTAAGAAGACGAAATATGCAAACGAGGGATAGACTATGACCAATAGTTCTCTTCTCCTACAATGTAAGTGAATGCGAAAATTTAAATATTTCATTTCCAAGCAAAGATTTCTACCTGAAAATCAACCCGATTGCAAATACGTATAGGAGTTGCAATTCGCATTTCAGTTTGTCTTGTTGGCCAAGTACTATCTCTACTTGCTTTATCTTGCTTTTGTGGCAGTAGCTGAAAGGATAGTTGACATTGAATATTCATCCGAGTACTCAAAAATTTGAAAAGTCTTATTTAAAATATCTGACAAATGGCAGTGAACATTATTTCACTACTCATAACAATCATCAGAAATAGTAAGACATTATAGAGAGAATGCAACAGTATAAAAAAATAAGAGCTTCAAAATCGCTATTAAAAAGTGGTCATTTGCAGTTGGAGTATTATCTGGGCCAAGAAAAGAACAAAAACAGAATTCTGGAATGAACTTTTCATAAACATTACCAACCTTGCATAATTCATTCACAAAAGGATTCAGAATGTCTGGACGCATTGCATGCCATCCATCAATAGCAATAATCCGATGTGGATTGGATTCACCAACAATGGCTAGATTTTGTGCCTTGTCACCCTGATTCCCAACATCCACTAAGAATATATGAACTTTTGTATCATTCCGTAATAGAAGAGCATTTTCTTTTAATTCACCTCTGCAAATTCAAAATTGAAAAAACAAAACTGGAAAAAAATTGCGTTTTTTTTAATCACTAAAATCAATCTCATGATACTTTCATAACCTATAGATATAGTTTGATTCTCTTCCAGAATTGGAATAAACTTGGTTCAACCTCTTCGAATTTATCTGCCGGTCATAAATTTATTTTCGATAAACCCTATCAGAAGTAGTATTGATAAAAACTGATCGCTAAAGATTAATATCTAAGAGCATCAAGACATGCATTAATACCTAGACCGCCCGTTTGAAAATATAATGATGATGCGAGGAATATCCTTGGAACCGAAAATTAGAAATTCTCCAGAAGCGTCGAGTAAAGCCTGACCAAGATTAGCATTACCACGCATACGCCTGGTTTCACTAATCCTTGACAGGAGCTCAGTTTGACTATCGTAGTCACCCAGTGATATCGGGATCTCAACCTGAAATTATATATCTGAAAAACACATACCATTTTTACAACAAAATTATTTTGCAGAAGAATAACGAATATAACAATGCAAAATAAATTTTTCAAGATTTAAAAAATTTTTTCACAAATCTAAGATCTAGGGTAACTAACCTTATCACCGTATTTCATTACACCGACACGAACATAATTGCGTTGTAAGTTGAAATGATTAGTTAGAAACTTTTTGATAAAATCCTTCATAATTCGGTAATCAACAACTCTTACACTGCTCGATGAATCCAGAATAAGTAACATGTCAACATTTGAACTGACCACACAATATGATGATGAACTGGTCCAAGTGTCGATTCTCCAACAAATTTAAATTATTTTATTTTAAAGTAACTAGCACATTTCTGATTGATAGATGCTCATACCGATGATTTTGTTGTATTTATTATCAGCACTCATATTATACTCGTGCAGTACCTCAGAATTAATCTGTAAAATCTGCAATCCTACTGCTTTTCATAACTGACTAAGTTCAATAAATAAAAAAGGTTTCAATCCAATAAAAATTCAATACAATTATTACTATCTCACCCGGAAGATGTTGACGCATGATATGCTAATGTCGTTTCCACATAGCTCCCACGTTCATCCTCCGGAGATGATCTGCCATAGCCAGATCGTTCTCTATCATTTAATTGTATTTGACGACCACCAGAATCTGTTCGCAATAGATGATCCTCATCACCAACATTAGCAAAGGTTGGTTTTTCTTTTTGGGATTCATATGGATAGAGATATTTGCCATTACCAATTTTCTGCAGTGGTGTGCCGTTAGCTGATATTATAGGATGGCCACTTTGATCGATATGAACCAAACTTTGTCCGTTGTCATCAAGATAAGCACCATTTTCACCGATAGATAATGCACGACCATCTGGGAACAAGATCAAGAATGGCAAGGAAACAGAAGTTGCAGATACGAAGGTGTCCGCAATAGTCTTCAAATTTGAATCCGTTGCTGGATACAAGAGACTGCTATTTCTTTTATTTTCGGTCAGTTTTTTGGTTGAAATATGATAACCCTCACTCGTATCAGTTGAAAAAATTGAGCTTCGCTCGCTATTCAGTGGTTCTCCATAAAAATTAGTTACTCCTGATTTACCATCCACTTTGAAACGTGCACCAGTTTGATCTGTTGGAAGAATCCTTCTGTCATCACCAAATATTTGGTAAATAAGCTTTCTATGACTATTGGTTGATCGATGTCTATTTTCAGAAGCAAACGTCTGATAAATATGCTGCTTTCCTCCATCTGCTGATATGATTTTACCATCTGGGGCAATTGTTTTATCCTCATTTACTGTTATCTGTTTCGCATACTGGCCTAAATAGGAGCTATAATAACCTGTCTGTAATGGTTTCCTACTAGATCTAATCGAATGTGGATATAACCTCTTTCGTTGGTTGGCAAAACTTTCACGCCTTCTCGTTCATCAGTTGGCAAGGATAATGCATAGGTATCCAATGGTCTTCCAAATCGATCAGAGCGAACTGTTCCACCATCCGAATCTACAATAACATTATCCATATCATTTTTACTACTTGGAAAACATTTAACTGATGATTTTCTGTCAAAAATGTTTAAAAATACTGACCTTTTTAGATAAAGGTTATTCATCTGTTTCTAACGGATAAAGCAGGAACATAAACTGATCATCGCAGATTCTCTAACAGAAATCTATCGGTATATCTGTTTCATTTGTTGATTTGACCTACCTAGGGGTTAAAATATTGTCGTTTGTATTCATCATTTAGATGACAGCTTTCTATTCGTTGGAAACCTTCATTATTTGCCGTAACTGACTTACTAAATATAACTATAAAATCATCGATCGGGAGCAGCTTCTATTCTGATCCGATGGCAAGATTAAATTTCTGACATTGCCACTACCGTTTGGTTGTCTGAATAAACCTCACAGTATCATTCATTAACTGTAACTGGTTTTTCACCACGTGAATCAAAATGACGTTAAGATTGATTCGTTGATAATAATTTGCCATCCGGAGTAATAACAGGATGGAATGGCCTTTTTTCTTTGCAAGATACGGAAATTCTATTCTCATCTGTCGGTGGCTGCTAGCCATCGGCATTGACAGGTTGTTACAATTATTTATTGATGCTGTCATGACTCTTCACCATTGTTGGCAGGCAGTGATTGGTCATTCATCGTCGGCTAATTTCTTTGTGCATCCGTTGAGAGCACCATTCTATCTGCTTGGTATACCGGATTGATGTAGTATCCTTATCCGTTAATCCTCTAGTAGAATAAATCATCTCAGCTTTTCTCTCGAAACAAGTTTTCATTTTGTTCAATATTGGGACAAAAATATCCTGCATATTTTTGGATTCAAAGGCTTTCAGTAGTACAGACATTCTCTATGGATCCAGTAGATAGCAAGCTTTTGTCAACTTATAAATGATCTCTCTTTCTTTTAGTCTGATTTAATAAAAATTTGCCATTGAAAACCGTCGTGATTAACCCTCCGACAGTACTTAGCCTTTCGTATTGTCGTAATCGCTTTTATAATAAAACCAATCAACACGCCGCTTTCATCATTTATTGTCATTATCATGCAGAACAAATTTTCTAAATGAATCAGTCGAGGAATAAAAATTATGAATAGCAAATACCCCACCCTTTGAGCCAAACATCGAATGCATAAAATCTCTGGAAAAACATTTTTTTTTTTTTTTTAACCCTAGAAAACCAGGTTTCATTCTATTCTTCAATTCACTTGAGAATGAAAATGACGTGTTATAGAACAAATTAAGAGCAAAGTAAAAAATCGATCACCATTTTCAAGCATATTTTCTCAAATAACATCAATTTCTGTTCCTGCCATTATGAACATTCAAATCAAGCCGACAGGGTCAAAAGAATAAAAAACCGGAAAAAAAAATTTCATGACGGAGCAAATAACATCATCACCAAAGAAAGTAAGAGAAAGTTCTGCTTTAACAATGATTGCAAATCACAACCCAAGCTAGTCAATACTAAAAATTAATACAGTGATTGGAAATACGACTGATTCTTAGACTACCAAAATATCCGATGTATGACTCAGTGCTGATAAGTTATTAATGATGAACTAATGAGATATACTAACCACTAGGCTTCCTGGTTCGTGCGAGATGACTTTTCATTAACAGTAAACACATATTGCTTCGTAATTTCTTGATTTCTTTGTCATTCTCCAATCGGTACCATTGATCTGATCCAAGTGATAAGATTGAAATAGTTTCATTCATTTTCAAATGATCAGCAATTATTTGAGCATCTTTACTGAAAATTAAAACTCATTTTATACTTTATATCGAAGAAAACTTTCTGCTGATTGTTAGATCCATTATTTGTATAGGAACTGCGCCAGCGAGAAAAGAAGAATGGATCGTTAATGTGATAGGATAATAATATAAATAACGTTGTCAACAATTCAGGTTAAACAAACCTGAGTGGAGTCTTAAAGACATGCATGATTAGTTCTCCACTATCATTGTTATATTTTTCACGGAAGAGCTGAAGAGCAGTTCTGAATGCATGTTCATCACCAGATGATGAACCACCAATAAGTGACAAACTAAGAATGGATTTTTTCAAATCATCATAGCTTTGATAATTTCCAACATTCAGATTAACGTTCATTGTACTTCCGTAAGAAACTATACCGACTTTAGCAATGTTCCAATTAATATTCTTTTTAATAAAATTTAACAATGAAAATTTAATTTTATTGAGATTGGTCCCTGTAGCATTTGAAGATTCCACCATAAAAATGATGTTTACAGATTTTTCAACTTTATTACATGTTGAGACTTTTGCCAAAAGTTTCGTTTCCCCTAAACCAGTTCTATCTGGTATGTAATCAGATACGTCGCGTCCACGATAATCAACTGACATCAAGGAATCGTCTGGACCAATGGCTTGTTCCGAAGCACTTGTAGATACCATACTACCACCTGCATATATTGAATCGCCATATTTATTAGTAGGAAAAGGTTCTACTTTAACAACTGGCTTCCCGGCCTGATCTACTTCGATTGGTAACGGACTATTTTGATTATTGATAAAATTTCTAGTTTCAGCAATAGCCTCTGGTTCTTCGAAAGAGACTTGATTGTGTTCATCTGACACTTTATTATTACTTAGAGTGTAAGGTAGTCTTTTGTGGAAACTGGTATCAACAATAAAACCATCGTTTTTGGCGGTTGAAATATTTGAATCACTGCGTGGAAGTTTACCACCCTGACTATGTTTTCTGTAAGTGAATCCTCCTGCATCACTAGGCATCATTTTCTCAACAGACCCAAGAAGTTTCCCACTATCATCACGTTCAACTACCCGCTCAATATTGTTTATGTAAAAATCTGAGGGATCCCTCGACAATAAGATATTATCCGGATCGATAACTGGATAATCAGTTGCATCTGTTATTTTTTCTGTCCTTTTTGACATGATGATGTTGTCATTGCCGTTAAATGAATACGGCGATCCTTGGCTACTGTATTTTCCAGCTAAATTCGTGACTATCGACTGCCCATTGATGTCCAAAGATAAACCATCTTGATTAGTAGACAGTGGTTTCTCATCAATACTTGTATTCCATCCTTTTTTGCTATCAGGAGATAAAGCTTTGTCTTTGCCACCAGCGGAATAAATAAATGCTTCAGATTCATCTGTTGGCAATTGCCTTCTATTTGAAGCAATTGATTTACTATAATCGGATTCGACTAGCTCTCTATCCATCACTAAACCATTTCCATTTATGGGAAGAAGTCTACCAGAAGTATCCTTTACAGAATATGCGACGTGACCATATTCATCGGTAGATAGGATCACTCGTTCACTTGTTGGTAGTACCACAATACGACCGAATTCATCAGTTGTAAGTGATGAACCAGTAAAATCTTCGAATCTCTCAGATTTTGATCTTGAGGATACTTTTTTTGTTGGAATGAAAATTCTTCCGAGCAAGCATTCCTTTTCGATCATGTTAGCAATAGAATCAGCATGCAGTTGTTTCCAAGAATCTACCAAAATGTATGATTTAGTCCAGTCTTTAATTTCTTCTTCAAATTCTTTACTGCCAACAACAAGCATTGGAATAATGTTGTCTTTAAAGCGATCCTCCGAATATCTAAAACATTGGAGAAATATTTACTTGATTCTATTTCTTATCAACTTATTCCTTACTTTTTATCTACAAAAAAAAAAAAAGTGACACTTTTCAAAATTCATCATTAAAGAGAACTTTTAAGAGATATTTTACGTTGAAAGCAAAACTTGAAAGACGACATAACTTACATGTCTTGTCCATTAGTTATCACTATCATCAGCTTACCAGCATCTTCGCGACCAAACGATACGAACTGTTGTTTGGCAGCACTCACTCCCACAATCAGTCTGGGATGCTCTTTGATATGATCAATTTTGACTCGACTTAACTCTTCCAGTAGTTCCATTTTTTCGTTATAACCACCCAAAGTAATTGGTACCTCAGCAGTTCCAGCGTATTTGACTAACGCAAACTGTGTTACATCCGGCGAAAGATCGAAGTGTTCAATCACTAAATTCTGAATCACTTTCTTGACATGATCGAAACTATCACGATCCAGGATTTCCACGTTAATTACTACCGTAATATCCATAATGCCCCTATGCGTATCACAATTTTTTTTGCCAGTGTCATAAACAACATTTCCTTTAGAATCCATTGGCAACATTATACCGTCTTCATCCAACGGTCGTCCAATATTATTAGTCGGGATTGGATGTCCTTCAAAATTAAGTGCTAATCCTTCGTCGTTTGTCGGCAAAAGTTCGCCATCATATCCAATAACCGGATAAACTGGACGATATCCTCGGTCTGTTGGATATAGCTTTCCATTTGGTTTTAATGCCGGATAAATATATTTACCATATTCATCTGTTGAAAGAATCCCTTCAGCTGGCTCTGAAAATCGGACCTTTTCACCTAGCCGCGCCTCTTCTCCTTCTTCATTAATTAGTTGACGGTCAATTGGTAACAATTCGCCGTCCATTCCATAAATACCTTGCACGCTACTGGATGTCATCATTGACATTCCAAATTGGTCAGTTGGTAGGGGATAATGATCGGTACCTTTTTGTGACGGTATCATTGGTTTTTGTCGTGTAGTAGCAAAAACGTAATAACCTGTGTCAGTGGTAGGTAATACTATTCCATCTGGAGATATTGGTTTTCCTTCTTCATTTTCAGCAATCGGATATCCATTATGATATAAGAAATTACCAGCCTCATCAGTTGGTAGTATTTGATTTTGTTCATCTAAAACCTGGTATGATTTTGTTTGTGTCGGAAGTTCTGGAACAATTAAGATGCCACGTTCGTCAGTAGGCAATATTACACCTTGTCCATCCATCATTAGACCTACTGATTCTGTTGTAATCATTGAATCATTCCTTCGCACATAAAAACCGTCCTCATTGGTTGGTAATGGATGCCCGAAATCATCTTCTGCATCACTCGGGTATTTCATTTTCTCTCGATAGACATAGTTACCAGAATCGTCAGTGGGAAGTGGCTGACCATCTGGTCCGATCAATCTGCCAGAATCGTCCTGTCGAACAGGGAAGTTCGGTGCTAGCAGATAGCGACCAAGTTCGTCAGTAGGTAATGGTCTACCTTCGATATTAACAACCTTTTTCGTAGGATGAGTTCCAATAACTTCAGTATGGATAAAGAGTCCTTCTTCATCTGTTGGAAGAGGTTTGCCATCTGGTCTTACCGGTTTTCCGAGCTCACCATCCGGTCGAGAAGTAGCACCATTTGAATCTGTATCAAGAAGCTGTCCATTTCGACCAGTTAGTGGATATAATGTTTGACTGGTCTTATCCGTAGGCAGTATTCTTCCCATAATATCCAGATCAGGAAAAATGTAATTTCCTTGCGAATCTGTTGGTAGAATATTGCCATCGGGGTCAACGGGAAGATAATTCTCATTTAGTTCTACTGGGATACCATTTTTGGTTATGTGCGCGCCAGTATCATCTTTATCCAAAGGTTTACCAGCCATATCTACAACCGGATGAACGATATGACCATACTCATTGGTTGCAAATGTCGACAACGGTTCCTCAGGAGGCAGATGTATGACTCGACCTACTTCATCAGTAGGCAGCAATGATGCATCTGGTCCAACAGGTTTTCCAGCAGCATTTGTTGATAGCGGGCTACCATCTAAACCGATGACCAGACCACCCTCCGCAGTTGGCAATAATTCTCCGTTAGGACCAATCACCGGATAAACTGGTACTGGGCTTTCATCTGCTGGACTCGGTTGACCGTCAACAACACCAATTTTGTCAGCTGGTAACAGCTCTTCATCAGGTCCAATTACAGGATAGATCCCTTGGTCAGTAGACAAGGACTTCTGGGCATCTTTCCTATATATTAAATTGCCGTTAGAATCAATAGGCAATGGTTTTCCATGATCGTCAACTGGAACTCCTGCCGCATTGGTGGGTAAAGATTTCCCTTGACCATTGATCGATAATCCTCTGTCATTTGTAGGTAACATTTGTCCATCAGAGTCTATCACTCGATAAATAGGTAGTCCATTACTATCGGTGGGAAGCAATTCGGCATCGAGACCTCCCAACGGATATATAAAATTTCCAAAACGATCAGAAGGTAGCGTTTCACCACGATTGTTGATCGGTCTACCCTCATTGTCGACAGAAATTGCATGTCCATCAGGCCCAATCACATTGCCTGATTCCTCGGTCGGTAGTAATTCACCACTGGGTCCAATAATCGGATATAGTAATCCTCTATGATCAGTAGGCTCTATCGGAGTACCAAAAATGAAATTTCCTTTGACATCTTTCGGCAAAGATTTCCCATGTTCATCAACAGGTAAGCCAAATCTATTAGTTGGTATCGGAGATCCATCATTATTAACGAATGCTCCATTTTCATTAGTAGGCAAAGGTTCACCATGAGAATCGACAATAGGATAGACAATTTTTCCAGATCTGTCTGTAGGCAATAATTTGACATCCAAACCAGTTGCCGGATATATAAAATTGCCCTGTCTATCTCTTGGCAATGGTTCACCACGATGATTGGTTGGTACACCAGCAGCATTCACAGGCACAATATTTCCATCAGGACCAATAATTTTGTGATCAGCAGTTATCGGTAACGGATGACCATCAGGTCCAATAACTGAATAAACTGGTTTTCCACTTTTGTCTGTAGGCATAGGTTCAGCATCCAAACCATTTGCAGGAAATATAACAACTCCAGTTTTATCACTTGGCAAAGGCTGTCCTTTATTATCCACTGGGACACCATCATCGTTGGTAGGAATCGGACGTCCGGCAGGATCAACAACATTACCATCCTTATCCTGAGGCAACAATTTTCCGTCTGGACCGATAACCGGATATACTGGTAATCCGCTGTGATCAGTAGGCTTTATCGGAGTACCAAAAATGAAATTTCCTTTGATATCTTTAGGCAGAAAATTCCCATGTTCATCAACAGGTAAGCCAAACCTATTGGTTGGTATTGGGGATCCATCATTATCAACGAGTGCTCCATTTTCATTAGTAGGCAAAGGTTCACCATGAGAATCGACAATAGGATAGACAATTTTTCCAGATCTGTCTGTAGGCAATAATTTGACATCCAAACCAGTTGCCGGATATATAAAATTGCCCTGTCTATCTCTTGGCAATGGTTCACCACGATGATTGGTTGGTACACCAGCAGCATTCACAGGCACAATATTTCCATCAGGACCAATAATTTTGTGATCAGCAGTTATCGGTAACGGATGACCATCAGGTCCAATAACTGAATAAACTGGTTTTCCACTTTTGTCTGTAGGCATAGGTTCAGCATCCAAACCATTTGCAGGAAATATAACAACTCCAGTTTTATCACTTGGCAAAGGCTGTCCTTTATTATCCACTGGGACACCATCATCGTTGGTAGGAATCGGACGTCCGGCAGGATCAACAACATTACCATCCTTATCCTGAGGCAACAATTTTCCGTCTGGACCGATAACCGGATATACTGGTAATCCGCTGTGATCAGTAGGCTTTATCGGAGTACCAAAAATGAAATTTCCTTTGATATCTTTAGGCAGAAAATTCCCATGTTCATCAACAGGTAAGCCAAACCTATTGGTTGGTATTGGGGATCCATCATTATCAACGAGTGCTCCATTTTCATTAGTAGGCAAAGGTTCACCATGAGAATCGACAATAGGATAGACAATTTTTCCAGATCTGTCTGTAGGCAATAATTTGACATCCAAACCAGTTGCCGGATATATAAAATTGCCTTGTCTATCTCTTGGCAATGGTTCACCACGATGATTGGTTGGTACACCAGCAGCATTCACAGGCACAATATTTCCATCAGGACCAATAATTTTGTGATCAGCAGTTATCGGTAACGGATGACCATCAGGTCCAATAACTGAATAAACTGGTTTTCCACTTTTGTCTGTAGGCATAGGTTCAGCATCCAAACCATTTGCAGGAAATATAACAACTCCAGTTTTATCACTTGGCAAAGGCTGTCCTTTATTATCCACTGGGACACCATCATCGTTGGTAGGAATCGGACGTCCGGCAGGATCAACAACATTACCATCCTTATCCTGAGGCAACAATTTTCCGTCTGGACCGATAACCGGATATACTGGTAATCCGCTGTGATCAGTAGGCTTTATCGGAGTACCAAAAATGAAATTTCCTTTGATATCTTTAGGCAGAAAATTCCCATGTTCATCAACAGGTAAGCCAAACCTATTGGTTGGTATTGGGGATCCATCATTATCAACGAGTGCTCCATTTTCATTAGTAGGCAAAGGTTCACCATGAGAATCGACAATAGGATAGACAATTTTTCCAGATCTGTCTGTAGGCAATAATTTGACATCCAAACCAGTTGCCGGATATATAAAATTGCCTTGTATATCTCTTGGCAATGGTTCTCCTTGATTGTTTACTGGAATACCAATAGCATTTGTAGGGATTGGTGTGCCATACGGATCTAGTATCTCTCCACTATAACCTCTTGGTAGTACTTCACCATTCGGACCGATTACGAAGTATTGTGGTCGTTTACTTGCATCAGTTGGTGCAGATCCTACGTTCAAATCTCCTGCTGGATATATAAAATTACCCATGTTGTCTCGCAGTAGAGGTTTTCCATAATTATCAATGGGGTATCCATTGGAATCTGTTGGAATTGGCCTACCATATGGATCCACAATTGCGCCATCAGCATTCTGCTTTAATAGAACTCCATCAGGTCCTAAAATAGCGTATACCGGTACATCGGCTCTAACAGATTCGTAACTTTCTTTCGGGTAGAAAACATAACCATTCCGATCAACGGATAGTGGTTTCCCATAGTGGTCCAATGGAACTCCTGCAGCATTCGTCGGAATGGGTCGTCCGTCAATATCAATTACAACGTCATTACTATCTTTCGGAAGCAATTGGCCATCCGGTCCTATAACCAAGTACATTGGTCTACCATTTCGGTCAGTTGGCATCGGTTCAGCATCTATACCATTGGCAGGATAAATGATATTACCACTTCTGTCTTGAGGTAAAGGTCTTCCACGATGATCCACTGGGTATCCAGAAGCGTCAGTTGGCACTGGCTTATTATCTGGACCAATGACTAATCCATCTCCATTTCTTGGTAATGGTTCTCCATCTGTCCCGATAATGATGTATGCAGATTTTCCCTGTCTTTCTACTGCCGGATATCTAATGTAACCATTTTGATCGAATGGAAGTGGTTCGCCTTGTTCATTGACCGGAACGCCAGCAGCATTTGTTGGCAGAGGCCTACCATCCTCATCAATCACTCTAGCGTCTTTATTTGTCGGTAATAATCTTCCGTCAAGTCCAATTACTGGATATACCGGTTTTCCATTAGAATCTGTTGGAAGGGGTTCAATACTGATTCCTCTGGCTGGATAAATGATAGAACCATTTCTATCGCTGGGCAGAGGCCGTCCTTTTCTGTCGACAGGTACTCCAGCTGCATTAGTTGGAAGTAGGTTGCCATCTGGATCAATTGCAGCCCCGTCATATTTTCGAGGAAGAAGCCTACCATCTGGTCCGACCACTGAATAAACTGGTCTTCCATGTCGGTCTGTTGGAGGTAGTGGGCAGTCCAAACCATCCTTTGGATAAATAGCCTGTCCTTCACTATTAGTTGGTAGCGGTTCATTACGATAATTTACTGGTTCCCCAATATTATTCGTTGGTATGGTCTTTCCAAAAGGATCTAAAACAGTACCATCTTCCATAGTCGGTAGCAAATGGCCATTAGGTCCGACAATATTAAGAAGTCGTTTTACTCCTTTTTTTTGTTCCGTTCCTGGAACTACCATACCCTTTCCATCAGTTACTGGTAATACAAATATGCCATCAGAAGTAGTTGAAAACACAGTGTTAGACTCGTCGATTGGATATCCGTAATCATTGACTACCACTAACTGCCCATTAGGACCAATAATGTGTCCCATTTTGTCGCTCTTAAGAAACCTCCCGTTATATTGTACCTTTACAGGTTGTCCATTAGAATCAGTCGGTAAAATGTAATTGCCTACATAAACAAAATTCCCTTCAGAATCCTTCGGTAACACTTCGTCTCTTTCATTAACTGGCAATCCGGCATCATTGGTTGGAATGAGGTGTCCATGTTCGTTAACAAATCGACCATCGTCTACTGTTGCTAGCAATATTCCATCTGGATAAAAAACAGGATAGATAACACGTCCAAGTTCATCCGTTGGTACAACTTGTTGAATGACATTTTCCGAATCCACAATGTATCGACCGTATTCGTCAGTTGGATAAGGTGACCCATCAACACTAATTGGACGTCCAGAGGTATCTGTTGGGATTATTTGACCATACTGATCGATATGCATACCTTCCTGGTTTTTCCGAAACGGCTGATTATCTGGTCCAACTATGGGATAAATGGGTTTCATGTTAATGTCAGTGGGCAACGGCTGTCCATTTTTTCCAATAACTGGATATATGTATTCTCCTTTGTAGTTGCGACGTAAAGGAATACCATTTGGGCCTATCGGGCGGCCTTCATTGTCCCAGATAATTGGATTTCTGAGATTATCCACTGCGCGACCGTATTCATCCGTAGGCAAGGGCGCACCATCAAAGCCAACAACTGGCGACAAAACACGATCTTGCTGACTAGAATCGGTTGATATTAGGGAAAAACCATCACTAACCGATTCTCTACTCGTAGTTACCAGTTGTTCATCCTGCCAAATAGCTCGTCCGAATTCATCGGTTTGTGACGGCTTGATTTTTGCAAGCTCCTTTGGTTCCAGAATTTCCATCTCCTTATCAAATTTCTCCGACTTTGATAATAAATCATTAAAAAGAGTTGGCATGGTGGTCAGTTCCTTCGGATGCTCAGATTCAGGAATCAGTGTTGGTGGAGTAACCTGGAATGTTTAATTTTTCGGAATTGATTACTCTAGGAATTTGAAAAAAACGTTTTAAATGACTTTTAGATAAGAGAATCGGATTGTAAACAAAATGCTGTTGTACTGTGATTTTCGCAAATAAATTTGATCATGTGAAAGCTCTCAAAATAAATTGATTCTAAGAAATATTTCTGATAAATTTAAATTGTTAATCATTAAATTATTCTTGATAATCATTAAGATGTTTAGCTGTTTATTACCAGAATTCTGAATCTGATGAAGACTTTACATAAGTTCAAAATTTTCAGACTTTTGAAGTAAAATATAAAAGAGTTACCTGCACAATGCTCCCTTCCTCATCTTCTTCTATAGGTTCACATGATTTCTTATCATCAGCAAGTTTAAAACCATTATGACAATAGCATGATGCTATTATCATTCCTTCCTCATCTTCTTCAAACATGCAGGCATGTGCACAGTGGCATTGGATATCTACAATACTTTTGAAGTAAAATATAAAAGAGTTACCTGCGGTTTGAAACTTATCATCTTAGCTTTAAAAAGTTTAGGATCAATAAAAACACGAACTCAATTTTTATATTCATTAAACTTAAAATGTTTTACATTTTCGGAAGATATGACATATGAAAAACATTTCACAAGGAAGAAAAAGTGACACACCTTCGGAAGGTGTACGTATTTTAGTTGGTTCACTTGCAAGATTGTCGCCGTCGTCAAATTTTGCAGTAACCTTAATTCACATTTAATTAACTTGAAATTCGTTTCAAAAAAATTGAAGTTATGCCTTTACATGAGAAATCATTATTTTTTGAGAAGGACAGTTGAAGATGGCGAAACGTTTACCATAAAATTATAGTCAATTTCAGGCTGCAAGCCATCTAGCACAATCTTATCGGTAACATTGACTGGTGTTTCCATGTACATCACAGCCGATGGATTGCTATCCGGCCAGTATTTGATAATGTATTTCTGAAATTTTCAATGAACTGAAGATGTGAGTTATATCTGCTCAAAATTTGACAAAGTAGAACATATAAAAAGTTGCAGGAGGAAAGCTTAATAGAGAGGTATGTCATGCACACAAAGACCGCAATTTTTCAAAAAAACGAAATCTGAAACCATCCAACTTCCCTTCCATTGTAGCAATATTAATTACCTTGATAGGTTCCGTAGCAAGTGCTGGCTTGAAATCTAGCACTGTTTCGCCGTTAATATCAGTTCCAACCCGTATGTCGCTAGCTGCCTCTGGAATTTCCGATAAGCAATAAAATTCATTATTATAACTTGCATTTTTGCACTGACACTTCAAGCTGCTTTTTTGAAAATATAAAGTTCAACTTACTGAGCTTAAAGAAATTATCGTTTTTTGCTGACAGCTGTAACTGGAAGAAGATATAGGGAACCCAGACTTTTGAAACAAAATATTCTGTTTACATTTTCTTCTGCATTTTTGTATATTTTTTTGATTTATCATTCAAAGAACTCATATAAGACAAAAAATTACTTGGAGTCATTATGTCGAAGACCGGTGTTTTGATCCCAGCAGATGGCTGCTCGATCACCAAGTGATACTTAGCACCAGGTTCCATTTCTGGGATAGCTATACGATCTAAGGGACGCCCGTTAGATGGAATTAAATTCCAAGTTTCGAAAGGTTTTGATGGATTGTCAGTCCAGTAGATATTCCAAGGGTTTTGCTAGAATCTCGTAAATTTCGTTTATGTTCTGCTCAAGAGTTTGTGAAATAAAAAAAAATTCAAGAAAAAAGCCATTCGCTATGGATTAAAATTCTATTTAGATAAATGTTTACCGATCCCTTAAGATAATCCGGTAGATCGTCTGTAAAGTGTACCGCCACTTCACCGTCCTCATTCTTCGCAACTAAGAAATCATTTTTCCAAGTTGGTCGAAGATCTATAAAAATCTGACAGTTGTTTGACATTCGTTCGGATAGAAATTGTCTTCATCAATGTCACTTCATTAAAGTTGTCTTCATCAATGCCGGCTAAAATCCTCCTTCGGATAATGAGCTAGATCATTGCAAAGCTAGTATAGTTTTAAAAAATTTAAGATTTAGTCTAAATGAGTAATTCAAATTTATTACTAACTTTAAAATTTTGATTAAAGACACAGTTAATGCTCAGGATTGTACAACTCGAAAGATTAGACAATTATATATTCCACCTGAAAGAAGACGAACACTGATGGTCCAATTGGCAAAACCAAGCGGACTTTGGGCAACACAATTGAATGACGTATCTTCGGTAATATTAGATACTTTCAGAAACCATATAGCGTATTTCTCGTCTGCTTTTACCTAAATATGCCTGGAATTTATAATACGTTTTCTAAAAAGTAAGATGAAAATAATTCACTTTAAAAAGTGGTTAAATTCAATACGCAAACCCAAATAAATTGTAATAGGCCACTAAAAATTTTTGAATATTTAGAAGATATTATGCTTATGATCATAAAAGTGGTTGTATTTTCTTCCGCTTTTAAGGTGGCAATGGTTAAGCAACATAGGATAATGCTTAGAAGCACTAAGTAAATAGTGAAGACATCAGTGTGTATCTTCGACATGCATAAAAGATTTGTACCATTCTTACACTGATTATCTTCTGAATACGACTACTCTAGGGTTTGACATCAGAATTGATTTCGAGAATATGTTCGATTGTCAGTTACTCTATTACCACGAAACATAATGCAGGAATTAATAAACATTGATTTTATCAATTTGACCTATTCAAAAATGATCTTAAAAAGTTGCAATTTTCAAAACACGAAACCCAAGCAGGATCAATAGGGTAATATCCGGAGCGGATCCATTTAACTGCCGGACGAGGCTGTCCTGTTGCATTACATGAGAGGTCGAGTGCTGAACCCGGAAGGATCGTTATTTCTGTTTTACCTTCTACTCCGTGCTCACCGTTCGAAATGAGGATATACGGGGCGTTACCTGAAAGCATGTTTGTTTGATAGACTCAGAAACTCATGCTCGTATAATGTTAAAGTGACTGTTAAATATTGTTTTTGCTCTTATCATTTTATTTTAATTCCTACTTTTTCCAGCTTTTTCTTTCCAGTTTATTCAATGAATTATTAGTTTGTTCTTAATGGCTTATTTACTGCTGTTATTGACAAATTAGCATGCAACTGTAAGTGGTTCAGATAAAAACATGTAAACATAAACCGTCTGGTAGTGTTTTGGTAATACAAGCATCGGAGAATACTCCCGGCCCATCTGGATAAACAGCACGCATCCGAAACACGTACTCCGTGTCTGGTTCAAGCGATCCATCAATCTTATAGTACAATCTATCTTCATCTTTTTCCGTTATTGATATCATGCTCCTACAAGCAAAAGCACATAAAATTTATGTAATAATTAATTTGGTTTGTCATTGTTTACAAAATTAATGGACCAATGAAGGTCAACATCAGATAAATGTGGCTTAACAAAAACTGATAGAAGTAGTTATAATTTCTGGAGAAGAAGAGAAAATAGAACTGTAGTACACCTTCAGAAAATAAGTTATTTACCCTCACCACTCACTACTTATCTATCACTTTTTAATTGCCTTATTATTATCATATATAACTCTTCTGAACGGCTGATGGCTTATCATTTCCCAAGTATGCTTCTTGATGATAAAATTAAAATTAATGTAGGTCAAGTCAAAAGTTACCAATCGGAGGTTGTCTGAAAAGATAGATTAAAAAACTGCTTCTGAAAGGAATATCTCATCGGTTATTTCAAGTTTGTATTAGTTCCATTTGTTTCTACATTCCATTTATCAATTTAATTTGTCGCGTAATCCATTCATACTTGATATGTCATCCCTTTGATTTTAAACATGCTGACCACAAAAGAACCTATTTTAGAAGACCTAACTCACAAAAATTTATGTTTTCTCATAATTTTCCTCGATCGAAAGGCATACCAATCATCGATGCTAGCTAAATCGTCTTCCCAGATTTTAGCGTCTGCTTTAATGTAATATAATTCATAGCCAATTGGTAATTGTTCGCTAGTAATTGGCCTGTGCCATTCAACATTTGCCGATCGCTGACCTTCAGGTTCAACCTTTAGATCAAGTGGTGGACCCTCTCGAGCTAAAATAGTAAAAATAAGTGGTGGCATGTTTTGGATTTTCTTTTTTTCCCTTTCCAATTTTGTTATTGAAATTCCTAGATATTGGATATCTGCTTAAATCTTCTAAGAAGACATTTTAAACTAAGCAGTTCAGGAGATGTGATTCACCTCATTGAGTTTGTGGGTACATACAGTACTTAAAAACAAGTGAGTTTTCCGTTTCCGATTTTTTCTCATTTCTCAGAAGTATTAGAAAGTTAATTCAAACCTCGTGACATCGTTCGGATGGTATGCTGTTCAGAATACGGCCCAGGTCCATCTTGATTGACAGCTTGTAGTACTACAGCATAAGCAGTATCAGGTTCAACAAAATCTATTAGGTCGGCTCTTTGTGACGCCCCAATCAGTGGCTCGCTATCTTTATGGGACGTCATCCATTCAGTTATTGGTTTTTTCGGGATTTGCCCCATTTGATAAACTATATTCTAAAAATAAGCAAATGATATGCATTGCTTACAAGAAATCAGTGTTAGATGCCGACATATAAATATAGCTCATCATCTAACTGCAAATTTTAATTTCATTTCCAAATTTTATTTAAAGTTTTGCAAAATAAACTTGACCTGATCATCCAATGGAGTATAATAAATAATATAACGAGTAATATTTCCATTGGGTATGGTTGGCGGATCCCAATCAATATGAATTGTACGTGGTCTTACTGAATTCAAGCGAATGTTACTTGGAGCATTACCAGGACCTTAAACATTGATCAATTATGACAAGATGAAACAAGAATTTTAAAATCTCAAAGCTTCTTTAACATGAAGTATATAAGAATTCCAAATAAAAGTGCTGAAGCTGTTCTGTACGCCAACCCTGACAATAACAGAAAAGAATCGATAATACAAACCAGTAACAAAAATTTCAAAAGGCGTTTCAGTTCGTCCACCTTCATTTTCCGCAACACATTTTGCTTTTACGGTCTCCTTCACATCTTGCAATCTTAGCATCGGTCCATCACTGAGAGGCTGAAGAAATGCTTTCAGAAAATAAATCAGAAAAATTGGCGGCAATTTTTCATAGAATGACATTTTCTTGAGTTGAGATTTTCTAAAAAATATCACTAACTTATTATTTAAATAGACACTGAAGGGTTTGCAAAGTAATGTAGTGTATCTTATCATAAACAATTTCATTTTAAAACCAATTTCAATATGTCTCGAAATTCAGGACTTTAAATAGAGACAGCAATCCCATATGAGCTAAAGTCGATTTTAATTTTTTTTAAGGGTCTAAAGGGAACAATAAATTTATATTCGCTCCTACCATAATAATATGTAACTGCTGAACTATTAGGCCTTTTCTTTTCAAATTTTAGTGAAGTCCTGTTCCTTCACTATATGCATGTTTTTGATTGTATTTAAAAATAAGAAGGAATTGGAAAGAAAGCAAGGGAAGAAGACAGAAAATGTATGATTTGCCTGCTCATCCTTATTAACCCAGAAAATTCTTGGAATAGGAAATCCGGTTGATGAACAGCCAACAGTATAATCGCTACCAGCTGGTACACGTATCACGTCATCTGGTGCATCAACATTGATTTGTGGTTTCTCCGGTGGTACAACTAGAATGTGTTTCGCATAATTAATTTGACAAAAATGCTACCGATACTAAGCTATGACATAGATTGGAATGACTGAGTAGTGCAATCAAAATTGCTCTACTCCAAACCCGGAAAATACATGATAAGAGGAACTCAGAAAGAAACGGAGTTCGAAAAATCAGAAGGTTTATAGCTGAAGAATTTTACAGCTTCTTATTTATCTTCTTTTAGACTTAACCATCTTTGTTCGAGATTTTCTAATTTGCACTTCCTTTGACCTGATTTAATTACTTTTAATAAGTTAAACACAAACTTCCATCTCCGGTCTGAAAAACAATCGGTTCCGACGGCGGGCTATCGATTTCACCGCGAGCTATTAACTGAAATAAATTAAATTAATCAAATCTTATTAAAATCTTTCATAAAACCTACTTCTCTTATTTGACATATTTTTGCGATCTTCAAATTAGACAGAATAGAAGCACACTAACTTTTATTGAATACTTGGTGTCAGGCTTGAAATGCTCGCCGCCGATAGGGATGCTAACTGAAAAATCATCATCTGGTTCCGTCCAAAACATTTCTTTCCATTCTGCATCTTCACTCAATGGATCATCATCCGTGTAATGAATAAGAAATTCCTAAATATATTCACACTGTCATTTTGAATATTAAGTCCATTTCTGTGAATCGAAAGTAACTGTACAATCATATAGGAGAAGAATGTACTTAATCAAAACAAACTGAAGAAATTAAACGTAAAAATAAATTGTAATTAACATAGCAAGAAAACTAAAAATAGTTTTAAATGATGACGTATTCAATTATCATATTGCTGATCATGTTAATAAGATTTTATTAAAGTTTTTTTTTTTCATAAAAGAAAAAAAGTTCTCATTTTATTCCTTTATTACTATATGAACCTTGATGGGTTTTCCTGGATCTTCGGGATCTCTTGGTGCATCAAACTGGATAGCGACCGTATTATTTTCATGGACCTTTATATCAGATAGTTGAACAATAGCAGGCGCTAAATTTAAATTTTCAATTAATAAAAAGATAAATTAAAATAAAGTTCTTAAATAATTATTCAATTATCCATAATTTTGAAAAACTTGAGAGTTTAATCAAATATATTCCCGGTATAACCTAATGGTAGCGTTGTTATTTTGATCGGATCAGATAAAACACCCGGTCCACGATCACTCATCGCTTGCAATCGAATCGCATAACTAGTTTTTGGTTTTAATCCAACAAGACGATGCTTTTGGGGTTCCTCAGCCGACACATGTACAGTTTCCCAGGCACGTGGAAGAGCTTCTCCTGTAAAGCCAGAACTAATGAGTGCCTTGCATAAAATTCAAATTTGAAATGTTTCAAAAATTTTTAAAAATATCCTGGTTGAATCGTGTGGTAAAAATAAACAAAACACGATCGCGTTACATGAAAGAGTTAAGTCCCATGGTTATCATATGAAGATGACATTATCTAAAATGAAGGTTGGGATTGTGTAATTCTGCAAAGCTAACATAATTCATTACTAACCATCAAAAACTTCTCCGTAATGAATAATGTAATCCGTAATTCTCCCGTTCGGACTGTCAGGCGTTGTCCATTCTATGCTTGCTTGTTGATTTTCTAGAGGAAAAGCGACAATCTCATTTGGTGGAGTTCCAGGTCCTCAAATGAATAAGAATTGAGTGAATGAAAAAAACACGGGACAATATCAATGACCCTATACATGAAAGTCTGGAGAAATAGAAAAAAATTAGCTGTTCAAATTAGATTTATACTTAATTTTTATTTGCGACATTTTTTGTATGTTGACATATTTAATCAAATTAAAATATAAGAACTAACCGGCTACAAGTATTTGCAACACTTCCTGAGCTTGTCCAGCATTATTTTCAGCCTTACAAGTTACAGTTTCATCTTTTCGGAGATTGGTTAACTGAAGAATTGGTCCTCGTATGACATCACTAGCATTTGTACCAATAATCCACATGATGATAGGTGGCGGTATTCCTGTTGCAGTGCATCGCACAGATATCGAACCATACGGTGCTACGGTAAGAGGATTATCAATCGGTTCCAGATGTATTACCGGAGGTGTTTCTAAAGCAGGTAACTTTCTTTGAGATCAAAAAAGAGATGAAATTTTCTTCTACAAGAAATGGAATTTGATGTATTCAAATTTCCTATTTGAATAAAAACATAACCAATAAAAATATTGGAACTGGAAAAGTATAAACTCTCTCATACTCTAGTAATCTGACCTCCACTTTCGGTTCTGATTGTTATAGGTTCACTTGCCGGACCCTCTGACAGATCATTAGTTGCAGATACTCGAATTCGGTACAATTTATTGGGCAAAATATCGTAGATATCTTTGTTCAAGCGTAAGGTTCCAAAATTTTCGCTACTTTGAACAACAATTTTATCCCACTGTTTGTATGCATCATCAGATGTTTGATACTGATCCAACGGAGTGAAGTAGACCGTATAAGCCTAGAAATTGTTTAATTAGTATTTTTTTGTTTATATTAGTACGTTCTATTCAAGATGAGATCTTATTAGTTATTCTGAAATATTAATAAATGTTATACTCAAACAGTTCAATCAAACTTGCCTGAATGGGACCGTTAGGAACACTTGGTCCTGTCCAAGATATATCCATAGTATTATCCCGTTCCACTGTTGCTAGTACATTCTTAGGTTCATCAATTGGTGCTGAAAAACACGAATTAAACGAGAAATAATACAGGATCTCCTTTTAATTGTCCAAATTGGTAAGTTTAATTAAGGATTAAGTTTCGAAAGTCCCCTGCCATCTTCCTGTAGTGGTGGGAATGATTCTGAATTGGGAAGGATAAAAGAAAAAAATTTACACAATCCGGTCGAAAACAACCTACCTCCACTGACTGTTTCGAAGAGAATGATATCAGATTGTAAACCTTCGCCTTTTTCACCGACTGCTACAACTTTTATATAATACGGTGTTTCTGGCTGCAATTTACCACGTTCCAAGACCAGACGTGGTTCTTCACTCGGTTCAACATCATAAATGTTCCAGTGATTGATCGGTTCACTCGGATCAGATGTCAAATACACTTTATATTTCTAAGGAAAAGTCGAACTGATTCGAATTATTCCAAAAATTAATGAAGATTTATTTGGTTTTTAAGAGGATTCGCAACATTGCTAACAAAAAATTCTTTTTAAATATCATAAAAAAAAAAGATTCCGTTGAAACCAGCTTCTTCTATAAAGTTCACAGATTGTGGTCTTTTTTAAAAATGGTTACGGGTGCTTAAAGTTTGTTTAATTAACAGCTATAGCGACTTGCAATTTTGAAGAAATTTCATCTGTAATTGAAATCAAATCCCATTGGCTGCTAACAGGCATTTTAATTTTGCAAATATTTAAAAGCAATTTTAGACTGGCCAAGAATTGCTTTGTAATATTAAACTACACCAACTACAATAGGTCCATTAGGATATTTCGGTTCTTGCCACGACATTGTAACACGATTATCCAGATCAATGATTGCTTGAATATTTTCTGGCGGGCTGCCTGGTTCTGAAATATTTTCATACACAGTTTAATTTCTAAACTTTATGTCCTCATTTTATCCACTAGCAGTTGTATACTAACAACTCTCAATAGCCTTAATTCTAATATGAAGAACTAAAATTTCATTTAAATTTTTTAGAATATTTATGCATATGGAAAAACACACTGAGGACATTGAAAATGTGCTGGTCGCTCTCGGAACCATCAATATTTCGAGCATTGCACATTAGCGCACGCTTAGTAGCCGTGTTAGTGTTCACATCCAATGAATGGTACCGGTGGGCTTCTTGTGGATCAGAATAAGCTGGGATTGATATTGGTTCCTATAAAAGCTTTCACAAATCCTAGTTTTTGTTTATTTTATTTTGAATTATAAATGAAGAACCATATATATATATTTACTAGAATACGATGCGCACTTTTTTAGGTGTTGCATGTTTTTTCATACTATGTCAAGACTGTGAAAAAAAAAAAAAAAAACAGTGAGTGTGCTTGCGCATTATAATTGAATAAGCAAGCACACCTGCCCGCTTTCAGTTTCATTGAATGGAAGCCAAGTGTATGAAATTTGAGGTGCTGGTCTTCCTTTTGCATCACACTTAAATATAATTGTCTTTAGCGGCTCAACAACTGTCTCCGTACTACCGTCCTCTACTTGAGGATCCAATATAACCAGTTTTACAGAAAGCGGAACTGCTGAAAAATGAATACAGGTATTAAAAATTTTTTGTAGGTCAGCTAGTACATTGTAAAAATATTAAGTATCGCATTTATCTTAACTGTACTTATAATAAACAACTTACTTGCTATTTTCTTGCATCATATTGATTGCTTGCAGCTTGAAAAAAAAAGATTAAAATTAATAGTTACCTAAAATCTTCCACAAATTTACTGTTTAGGTGTGCCGCACATGAAATTTTACTCATGCTAAAAACTAACGTTTCTTGCCAGTAGTGACATCATACGCTTCTGATATGATACCAGGACCGTCCTTAGTAACAGCTTGTACCCGCACATTGTATGGGGTATCCTCATCAGCTGATACAGTTACCTCCAGCTGATCACCACCTACAGCTGTTTTTTCCCAATCTCCCAACAGGTCATCCGGATTCTTCGTGTAGTAAATAATATAACGCTAAAATGTATAACTAATTGAGCTATTTCCACTGTTTAAAATAGAGCAGCAACATTTTAATATTCTGTCGATCGATCTCCCAATCTTTTGTACAAGTTTTGCAGATTTTTCCAGAGAATTATTTAACCAAGCGCAGGATTTGTTTCACATTATAAATTTTTCGGAATTTCTGGATATTGGAAGAAGGAAGTTACATGCTTACTATAATTTTTCCATTTGGATATTTTGGTGGATTCCAAGAGACTTTAAAATCATTTGTAAATGGAATTGTTGAGATATCGCGAGGTGGACTTCCAGGTCCAACAATTTTCACTTCAGTATGTTTTTCATCCGAACCTATCAAAAGACGATATATTAATGATATTATGCCAAATTGTCATACAAAATTATTGACATAAATTATGTTATAACATCAGTTTTCAGGAATTCTCAAAAACAATAAATCGTCTGTAAAACAGATTATTGATTGGTTTAAAGGAATTTTCATAACACTTGTTACACTGAAAAAACAACAAACCATGAGGATTGACAGCTTGACATGTGGCTACTCCAGCCCGATTTGTCTTCTCAGCAATTAGCTTGCTGTTAGATCGATTTTGCGCGTCTGGTGGTGTCACATCATAAATACGAAATTCATTCTGCAAAATTCACTGTGTGAGTTGAAGCGGAAAGATATCGGTACTGGCCCACATTATCTTCATGAATCAAGTCTTTGTGATAATTGTGTTAAAACGGATGAAATCAAAAACTAACCTTCCCATCTTCGACCAAACCACCACTCCATAGCCAAAGTATCTTTGGTCTCGGCACACCAATCGCTTCACACTCAAAAATGAGTTCCTCATTGCTTGGATCTTTCACTACCTTTTCAGCAGGCGTGATTGTTACAATTGGCGGACGAGCTACAATTCATGAACTAAATCTTCTTTCCAGTCAATATCTTCGTTTTTTATTTTTTAGTTCTATTAGTTGGAAATGATAAAAATTTATAACAATAAAGTGGAATAAAGGTTCACAAACCTGCAAGCCAAGTTGTTAGAGTAAACTGATTGCTGAAAAGGCCGGGACCCAATTCATTGTGTGCTCGTATTTTGAACGTGTAGTCTCTTTTTTCTTTCAAATTCGATATCCGCAAAGAACGTGCATCTGGATTTCCAGTTTTTACAACTTCCCAATATTCATCTGACAATTTCGGATTGTCTGTGTATAACACCTGCAATCCCTACTTATTGTTGAGCTGAAAAGATTTGCTCCATATTTTCAAATAAATTAGCCAAGCACAAATAGGCTTATATTTTCCATTTGATTCGAATATCATTCGTAGACATGTAATTTTGAAGATAATTTTTATACATCGTTATAAAAATACTGACATCATAATCTTTCAATTGTCCATTTGTAATACGCGGTGGTTCCCACTGCAAATCAACATTATTGCCATGAATTTGATATCGTATCCGTTCGGGAGATGTCGGTCCTATACGATAACTAATTAAGCAATAACATAAAACATACCACTACTATTCAGCACGCAAGTATTCACTTGAACTCCTTGTGCCAACTTAACTTTAAAAAAAAACATATTACCAGTTACAATGACTTGTATTCTTTTTGTTGTTCGACCAGCATCGTTTTCAGCAACACATGAGAAATTTGTACTTTCATATAGACCGCCGTGCTCCATTGTTATAAATTTTTTCCTCTGCGATTTATTGATTGGTCGAGCTCTATAAATTAAGCTAATATCGATTTCTCGTTAAATTTTAAAAAATGTGAAGAATAAAAGATTCTTATTTAAGATTGTTCTGAAGTTTTAAAAGCAGTAGATTTTTTTATCCCAAACCTTTTTTTTTTTTTCAAACTAAAATAATTAAATTTTTTTTTTTGTATTTTCTCAAACTAAAATAATTAAATAATCAGAAAGTTTTATTTGCTCCATTTTTTAATTTATCTATAATTTCTCATCTATATAAACTTTTTTAAATCTACTTTCTATCTATATACATTTTTTAATCTATCTATAATTCGGTTAATACCACTTCAACACAATTGATGTACCTCGTATACCAAGCAATTTTAGGTGATGGATCTCCGCGTGTTACATTACAACTGATGCTGAACCTCTTTAATGGTCCGACGTATATCGTATCACCTTCTTGAATGAACAGCTGTGGGCGTACTGCTAAAAATCTAAAGTGTTACATCTAATTTTAAATCTTCTGCTATTCATTATTTGAACAAATCTACCTGAAAATAATAATCATTTGTCTCAATTGAATCTAATGAATGTTAAGAGTTATCATCAAAGATCAACAGATCATTCATGTAGTATTTGCATGAATGATTTATGACGCTAAGGATCTCTACAATTTCAATCGTCAAATCGGTTCACTTAATTCATCTACTATTTATTAAGTCATTAATTGCCATAACTGTAAAAAATATTTGGTTTATCTAAATAAAAAAAGTAATAATAATAAGAATCCAAGATGAATCGAGTAATAGGAGCTTAAATTGATAGACAAAGTTTGAAACTTTCAATTTGCTCACATTTTAAGTTGTTTTAAGTGTCTAACATGTTTTTTCAATTTACCTGGTCTACGTGTGTTAAGCGAAACTGGATTTGAGAGACGTCCTGGGCCTAGTTTATCGTTTGCCCGTAAGCGGATAAAGTATTGCGTATTTGGCCGAAGATCCTTGATCGTTACCTCACGATCTGGTTCTATGTATATATAAAAGAAAGAAACAAATACTAAACCTTTTAAATCACTAAATTCTTCAAAAACTAGTGCTCCCACTACACTTGATAAACAACTGATATCGTCTAACATTTTTAGTAATATTTATTTCATATCTTATAGTTTTATACAAATAACTTCAATACAACTGTAAACAATTTACCTTCAACATTTACTTTCTTCCAGTTTTTGATTGGCTGATTACCATTATTTGTATAATAAACTGTATATGAAGTTACTGGTCTATTCACAATTACTGGTGGATCCCAACGAACATAAACTGATGAACGACCAGCATCAATACCGCGAATTATTGGTGCTGACCCGGGACCTGCATTAACAAATTATTAAATAAATTGAACTAGTAGAAAAACATACCATACATATTTCCAAAGCTGTGATGAAGGATGAAGCTTAAAAAATAAAGTGTAAGAAGAGCAAGGAAGAAATTGTACTGTCAAAACTTTTACTTTAGGTGAAAAATCTCCAGAACTCGCTACTATCAGCGGTGTTCAAATGGGGAGAGTTATTTGTCAGAATGAAATAATAATTTCAGAGCATGATATAATGATTATATTTAATATTTCTGATAAATTTACAACTCAAGAAACTATCAGCAATGTGAACTTCTCTTACAATGCAGCATTTTATGTCGTCGAGATCAGGATAAGACTGTACTAAGTTGAATGAAATGATAAAGGAAACCTACCAGTGACAACAATTTCGATTGTGCGCTCCGTCTTTCCAAGTGAATTATTGGCATGACAAGTGAATTGGGTGTTTTTGTAGAGCTCTTTGATGATCAGAATTTGCTCACTTCGAACAGTTCCTGGTTTAACAGGTGCAATATCAACTGCTTCATCACCTCTATAAAAATGAAAAACAATGTGACGTTGCGACACAGAGATACTTAACACTTAGTTATTTTATATTCTAAGAAAGTTCAAATAAGCCGAGACGTTTTTTGTTAGATGAACTGAGATTTTTTATCAAAAAAAAGGTAAAACTGAACTTTAAAAATTAATAGCAAAAGCTTATTTCAGAATTGACATTTTTATATTCTGTGAGTGAGTGAAAACTATGGCTGACCGTTGCCAAAAAATTTGCGGAAATGGATGTGAAACTGCTGAGCATGTAATGTTTAAATTTCCGCCCGGAGTTATTTCATACGGCGCTGCTGGTTCAATATAAATTTTTGGCCGACCGCGAAGCACTGAATTGCAATTTCCGTAGAAAAAATCAAATTCGATTCGTATAATTTGTATTTTCAATTATTTACTTATATGCTCACAACATATATTTTTTTCTGCTTAATTTAATAGTAAACTGACACGATAATTATGGTCTTTGTCACAAAATTCAGTTTGTTTCCAATATGCAAGTATTGTATGCTAAACTATTGTTTTAAGTGTCCAATTTTTTGAAAGGAATTAGATTCTTACGCAAGCATTTTTCTCCTTTTGGACAGGTGCATGAATACTGATTTTCATTAATAGCGGTACATGAACAACTGTTAAGAATGCGGCATAAATTCTTCGGGATCGGTTCTGAAAGAATCTTAATACTAAAAGTGTTGCACTGAATTTATTAGATTTTGATAGTATTTCTTCCGGATGTAATTCGTTGCTTTTCGGATTTGTTATAAGCAACGATTGCGGGATGCTTTTTCTATAATGCATTAATAAAAGCATTTTTAAAAAAAAAATTAGGGATTTTTCCCAGTGATAATGAGAAGTCTTACTGATGCAAGTTTTCTGATCGCTACCAAGAACCAGTCCATGTGGACAGCGACATTCTATTCGGTCTTCAATTGATAGACAAGAATGACTACATCCACCGTTATCTATTTCACACATACCTTCAAAACAAAAAAATTAAATGTCCTTGACACTACAACTAAATGCGAAGGGAGAGAAAAATTTATAAGTGAAATTTGAAGAACTGATGAACAATGAGATTTCAGGATTGGTGGCTTCGAAGATAGTTGGAAAGGAACAAAATGATTTACCACATTAATTATTTTGCTTACTTCATATTTTGTAAATCCACTATAAATTATATAAAAAGAACTTTTGTTGTGACACGGCGAATATTCTGACATACTTCATCACTCAAATAAATTAACCCTTCAATATTGAATTTTCAATTAATCTTCAAAGTCCAAAACTACCTTTTCCGCGACATTTTGGTGGTGTTATAACCCAGTGACGGTTGATACAAAACATAGAGTTCACCTCATCCACAAATTCGTATCCGTCATCGCATTCATATAATGCAAATAAGAATGAATTCTTACTAAATGTTGTATTTCGTGGAACAGATAAACCTTTTTGTCGGTAATACTGTCGTACAAGACGCCGGAGATTATCTGGCGGTACGAATGCCATAGCACGAATACTACAATGTAAGTGAGAAAATTATATTAGTTGACAGCAGCGGAAGCTAAGCAGTCAGTCTCAAGTAATCGTCTCAAGCAAAGTAATTTTTCAGTAGGTTGACCTACCGAAGTAGTGAAAGTGTGTCTTGGTTGTTTGATATTTAGTATAAATAAAAATTCAACTAACGCAGCATGTTTGACAGCGGGTGCCGAGACCATACCATTTCCTATATCTGTGCAGGTCGTGTCCAAGTCCTCATATCTTGGCCAACAAATCTCACGACTACTTTCACTTGAAAAATGACATTGACCAGCTTCGGGAGGAGGAAATGGCGGTGCTGTCACTGTAAAATTTATGAAGTCACGTATTCCTGGATTTAATAGTTAATAGCTGCAGAAATAGCTTGATTCATAACGATAAGCATGCACCGCTTGCAAATTCAGCATCTTTTTCTGATTTGTTATTAGAACATTAAAAAAATTTCCCAACTACTATGAAAATCCAGGAAAGTGAAAATGTGCAATCAATGCAAAGTATAATGCATGTAATTTAAATGCATTGGATATGTCAGAATTTATCACATGATATTCTTGTTGTGATGTTCTTGAAACTGGATGAATTGAAATCCATTCAAATTCTCTAAATTGTTGCAAGCGGTAATGCCTTATTGAAATGCCTTAAACAGATCTATGCAAGACATGCTCTACATTTTTTAATTTCATGCTGTTACAAACTTGATAAGCATGCATGCATGCAGTTTTCACAAGTGAAAAATAGAATAGTAAATAAAAATGATGAACTTCTATTCCACCTCAAACATGCACAAATATTGAAGAAGTGACACGAATGTCTTTTTCCACTGATGCGAAACAGTACAGCAGCCAGAAGAAGCCGAACCTATCTGATCTACAAAAGAATGCAAACGATAACATAGGCCACAACCACTAAATAGCAGAAATCTTAAATTTTTCAGTGCGGATAAATGCAGAGAAGTTTTATAAATTAAACTGAAAGTTATGTTTGCTCTTTTGTTCAGCATCTGAGAGTTATAAGACATATTTTGTGGATGTTAAATCGAAAAAGATTAAAATGCATTTAATTTAGAATTCACTTTTCTGGTTGTTTGCTACGCTCAAAAAAAAAAAACTCTGAATGAAAAAGTTGACATAAAAATGAAATTTTGCCATAAACACTTTTAAAACTTACAAATAAAAGTTACAGCGCTTATAAATACAAAAAGTGATATTTCTCATTAAATTTTTCCTCAGTTACAGTTTCGATTTTCTTAAATTTCTCAAATTAGATTTCATAAAATTTTCTTAAATATTTTCCCAAATTATCATAAAAAGTATCATAAAAATTAAGTGCATAAAAATCCCGAGCCCACGGACAAAATCATGCAAGGAATGAGAAAAAAACGAACTAATTGCAACAAAGGTGAGCTGAAAGTCAAAGTTCACAACAACAGCATTATGACACAAATTTTCGAATTATACACAAAAAGAAAAAAATTGAGGAAAACAAACTTAAAAATAAAATTATAATTTTATTGTTTAAGGTAATCGGAGCACACACCACAATCATACAACACAACGCAACGCCAATTTTCCAATCCTCCGTAGGAATTTTGAAGAATACAAAAAAAATTAGCAAAAACTAAACTATTGAATAATATAATGATATAATAACAAGTTTTATACAATACGAAAACTGAAAATTCTCAAATGGATTTTACACATTTTTATCCATGGGTCAGATAAAGCTTATTATGTTTAATTCTACAATTTGAGAGACCACTTGAGCATCAAGAATTAAAATACCTGAGGTATGAAAGGAAAGTGAAGTGATAATGTCGCTGAATATGTGTCACTTTCAATTATTTGATATTTAGTATTTTTTTATTATTATTTAGTAGGCTTGGCAACAAATTAGTGTGGTTTTATGTTGGAGTTTTACTTTTAATTTTTGTTTTATAAAAAGTCGAAAAAGAGCTTTCGAGGTTGCACGTGATAACATTTACCTATTTAATAATCTTTCAGATTATTAAAAGATTAAACTTAATTCATTATACCTTAGAAAAAAGAGTGCAGATTTTTTGCTAGAATTTGAGACATTTCTTCCTCATAGTACCACACTACAACATATTAGAAAGTAGGCTTAATAAGCATTCTGAATAATAGAACTTGTATAAACTGAATAATCTAATTGGATACTCAAAGTAATAAGTGGAGGAAGATGAGCAAGTAATGATGGATGTTATGTTTAACAAAATTTCCATTATTATGTTTTTTGTCTCATTTCTCTTTCCCTCTCTTTCTCTCAACTTATTAATTTTTGGATTAGAAAAAAGGCGTTGACTTCAATTAGTATGACAGGTGGCACGAACCTTCGATGTCGCCGCAGTAATGGCTAGCTTTGTCAGCACTGACCACACATCGGCCAGTGTCGTTCGTTGACAGAACGACACTCGATTGCTGATAATCTGAAGGTGTTCTCATTCCATATCATTTTGATTCACCCTCTTTTTTGTAATCACTGATTTTGAATTCAAAATTCAAAAAAATGTGTTATGATGATTATTAATCGACTCATTTTACAGCTTAATCTATTCTCCAATATCTGACAATTTGATCACGAACATGAATTAATTTTAAAGTTGGAAGTTCGAGAGTTAATCATGGCTGTAATAAATCCACCAGTGCTGCAAATATTTTTAGGTAACAATCAACAAAATAAAAAGAAGCTGACATGAGCAGTTTTAAGGTGTATCTGCCTAAGAACAGATTAAAAATTATTGTGATCTGGTACGCAATACTTTTTACTTTGATCAAAGCAAATTCCATTCAATTTTTCTCAAAGAAACATTCATATTTTGTAAAATTAAAGTCATGATCAAGCTTATACACCATGCCTCGTTAATTGACCTTTAATAGGTATGTATAGTTGCAAGAGAAAAATTTTTTATGATCATTTTTATGTTTTTATGATCATAAAAATGTTCTATACGGTAATAAGCTGACTTTGGAAGATTTCAAAAATTTTATTTTATCCAGATTTGCATTATGATTCATAGAAAACACGTCAATAGTGTGAAATTTTGACTTCGTTTTAAGATTAGGATGACTTTTCGGAAACAACCGTGTTTTAGATATCTTTTTCAGTAAATCTCTTTCATCCAATTAAATTCCAAATTTCATTTGAGTCAAATTTTACTCGTTTCATTAAAAACCAAAAAGCATTCAAACTATTCTGTGATTACTTTAATTCAGAACACTATCACAACGATTAAATGAGAAAGAAGTAATGAGAATATTAGAATTTGCCAAGTACTTCATTTCCAACTTATGCAAGCTTAAAAATTTCTATGAGGCTGAGAATTTGTTTGATTTCATTAATTTTGATAAATTCTTGGCTACTTCAAGTCACTTTTAAGTTATAACAATTCAATTAATTGAATGGAAATTCAAAGTCTCGATTTTTAATATTGCTGAAATACAAGCCATCGTATAACAATTTAAGCTCGAAACATTCAAAAAAGAGATATTACTAGTGAATCGAACTTTATCCAAAAGGCTTTTTCTAGTTATGCAATTCTTGTTGCTGTTGTGTTGGGTATGTGCAAGAAGCATGTGAGAGACGGAAAGATGCAAACTGGATGCAGTGATAAGCACAGGAAAGAAAAAGGTGGATAATGTTGAGGCGTGAACCAACCAGAGAATTACAGGTGATGGGTAACAGAAAAGCTGTATTATGATTGTATCAGGCAAAAGATATTGATTTGAAAGCGAATGTGGAGTAGGGAATGTGCTGTGAGATCGGAATGATGAGAAATTGTACTGGGCAATCAGTCCGGAATGAAACTGCCCAATATGAAGGCTTTCAAAAAGAAAGGATTTAGTTCTCAAAATGAAACTGAAGAATTTAATAGTTGTGAGGTATTCAGATCCACAAGAATGTTTTTAAAGCCTTATTTGCTTTATCAGAAGTGGAAAATAAAGGAAATTGTGAAGTACTCTTTTATCAAAATGTCAGCGCATAATGCTGATCGCCTGAAAATTTCTAAATCAAAACAAAATTTGTTCATTTCATTCACTGTCTCGCTTATTTACCTGGTCCTCTCCGAGAATCTCCTTTCCTCAGCAGGCCGCATTCTTTGATGATGTTGCCAGGATAACCTGTACATTCAAAAAAGTTAAGAATGCTTTTGTTGCCAAATTATTTTTAGGCCTCAAACCTCGAATGTAATTACAATGAAGGAGGTTCAAATTTAATAAATGGTAGCATTTGCAGCAATTGCAACGCTAGTAAACCGATTTGCATAAGATCGGAAAATATTGAAATTAGTACTATTTTGCAAAAAAAAAAGGCAATTCATTTTTTTTTTTAATTAAATGAAAATGGCCTGGTATGTGCCAAATCATATTTGTAGAGTTTGCTTGTGTAAAATTCGGGGAGAATAAAAATGAGAATAAAAAAGACTAACGGTCAATCTATTATTCGCTGTAAAAGCTTTCAGCATGTTTTTAGCAAATAGCAGTAATGAAAAAGGCATAAAGCAAGTACTGCTGCAGCATTATTTTAAGCTGAGCTTTTTCCAGTCACTTTTCCACGTACTTAAGTATAATTTCACGTTTCAACATGCTCGAACTGGCTATCAACATACTTTAAGTTATCTTCAAATCTTACGGTTATGCAAGAGCTATATTTAAACTGTCCTAAATGTTCTAAATGCAGTGCTATATTGTCTTTCTCTCACTGAATCATAAACATGAATATCATCAGTTCAAAGTTTTTCTATTTACTTGATCAAAGCAGGAAGTTTCTTTAAAAAGTGTTGCCAAAGTCTTTTGTTTGCAAAATTACATAGCAAAGGATTGCATTAAGAGTAAATAGAATTCAACGCGCCATAGAAAGTGTTGCAGGCCGTTGTGTAAGATTACCGGAAACGTACTGCATAAACAACGAATTATCGAGTCCTTCCGGACAGCTATATAAAACATTCCGTTACTGATAATAGAACTTAATAGATAAAGGATTAGTAACTATAAATACTGTCCTTTCAGCAAAAATAAGGCATTAATTTCAAAAACATTTACTTTTGTAAGAGTTTCGTTTGTAATGTAACTGAGGAATAAAGGCATTATTTGGGGATACGTCGTCAACTGTATGCTCTCAGGCCAACTGTAAGTACAATTCAGCTGTTAAGCCATTCTCTTCAAGTTAATGAGGAAATGATTCAATGTGAGAATGAAAAATCAAATTTTAGATTGTAACTAAGCTCATGCGCTGATATATCCGAGATGGATGAGTAGAGAATTTCTGCACTTTTCAAAATAAATCAGAATAATATGACAACAATACACTTTTTGCAATTTGTCAAAAAATTTTTGACTATTTAATATTTCATTAATTATGAGACGACAGTTCCATAGGTTGTTGAAATTAATATTATGAGGTTTTTTTTTCTTTTTCTTTTTTTTTTTTTTTTTGAAGACTTTCTCAAATTTGAAGTCGAAGTTTTGAAAAAAAAATGAAACAAATGTGATGGGCTAATTTGCAAAATGTTGAAACTTTCTTCAGTCTCGAGATCTAGAAATAGAGCATTCAAAAATAAGAAAAGTCAATGGAAATGACAGAAAATGAAAGAGAAAAACATAATTAAGTCATTAAGAGAGATGGAATCAACTACCGAATTATTGAGTTATTTGTTTTTACATAAATTCAACAACTAACTCTTCGTCGCTCGTTTGAGACGATTAATTTGGTGCATAATATCTTCCATGCGCAGATCGCCAGATAAGCTCTGAATATAATTATCCGAACTTCTTCCTTCACTTAACTCAAGAGGTGTCTGACTTAGTATTGACGGCGCAAACAACAGTACCAATATGGCCCGAAGTATAGGCCATACAATCAGGCCAAGCGCCATTGTTTTACTGAAATTAAAAACAATTTGTGATCAAATGAATAAAGGCAAAAGCACTTTTCTAAGTTAAGAAGTGTTAAAAGATATATGCTTTTGCCAGCTTGTATTCAAGCTCTCTTTCTGATTTTTATAGAAAAACAAAACTAAAAGTAGTTAAAGAGATTAATGGCGATGAATGGTTATTACCGTTATGGACTAAGCATATTCAATTTCATCCTTGAAAAATTTTGTGAAAAAAGTGAACGGTGTTAATGAAAGCACAAAGAACAAAGCACAAAAGTAACTTATTACACTTAATATTTGTGTTAAAAAGAAACTATAAAACTGACCTTTTGAACAGTAACGTATTGTTCTTTTAATACTTCTGGACCATACAATACTTATTGATATTCAAATTATTCAAAATAGAAAAACGTTGAATGCTAACAGTTGTATGGCAATATCACAGATATTTTCCGCTTTCCCTGTCGCAGAACTATTTAGCTTTCTTTGAAATGGAATTATACTGTATGGCACTACTAAGCTTTTTATACTGGACTGCTCTATAATATTAATTGAATTAAAAGAGATTAAAATTACAGCAAAATAATTAATTCGATATCAAACGAAAAAAGTTATGTGAATTTAAAGTTTCGGTTGCATTTATATAGTAGGCTATTTAATTTAGTAAACCTTGAAAACGATCGTCTCATAAATGCATCAAATATTCGGAGCAATAAATTTTTTTCTAAGTAAGCAATTAATCAATTAATTGAGTACTTAAAGATCAGAGAATAAAATCACCATTTAATCCACTATTTTTAAATTTAAAAAAAAATTTACAAGGGATGAAATAACGATCATGCAATATAACACGGAGCAAGCAAATCTGTTAAAAAATTAATTATATTTTTATTAGCAAAAGAATAATAATAATTAAGACTACTTAAATCTAACTAAGGTACATATATATGTACTCTCTTTCCGAACTAGGAATCTAAGTCAAATATCCATTCACTAAATTGTAAAAGAAAAAAGAAGAGTGAGGTATGTCTTTCTGCGTTAATAATAAAATGAAACTTTATGTTAAAAGATTAATTAAAAGGTTAGCACAAAAATAAAGCATTGTAGAATGTTGTAGAGACTTGAAAGCAAGTTAAAGTTCTTTTTCTTTAAATTATGACTAATGATTGTCACTTTAGTCTGTGTTCATCTATGTTCTCTCTCTCTCTCTCTCTCTTTATCTCTCTCTGCATTTTTTGACCTTACTGATTGTTTTTGAAACATGAATCTCAAAATAAGATTATTTTTGAAATAACTTTTCGAAAAAATTCTTACTGCTGTATTCATCAAAATAATTAACGATTATCAAGAAGATATTTGTAAATCAGAAAGTAATTTCTAGGCCAGCGGTATCTTCCTGCTCTTCTCAAGAAGAACCTAAGGAACCGAAACATGAAAGAAACTCAGTCGAATTTCTGATTACAAATAACGACGTAATAGTAAATGAAAGAACAGACAAGAGCAATACTTACGATGATTCATATTTTTTATCAGATAATTGAGAAATCAACGTTGATATTAAGGAACACATTTTAATTTTCAGCAGATCGTTTTGACATTTCATATTCTATTATCATTTAAACTCTCTATTCAACTTGTTTCACAAAAAGTAAACAAATGAAAAAAATTAATTTCGCCATTATAAGAGTTCTATCTTAGACCAAAACGTAAAGTGTGACAAATGACTATATCACATATTCAACATGCAAAAAATATTTAATGATGCAAAGATAATCTGATAATCGATAGTGCGATCATTCAGAATCATTAATTTAGATGACATTATTTTGTGATCAAAATCCATCAAAATTCACTTTCTTCTTGTCAAAAAAAGTGAAAAAAAGAATGTTTTTTGATAAGTTTGATATAAAGCAGATGTGTATGAATTGATGAGTGGATGAAATTATAAACGCAGTTACACTTCTTTGTTTGTATTAAAAATAAGACATTTGGAGGTGCCGAAGGATCCATTTCTGATGCAATGTAATGTATAACTGATAGTAAACCTTACCAAAATATTCAAGCAGAAATATTAAATGAATCATCCATTTACTATATCAATTTCTAATAAATATGTCATTAAACAAGGAAATCGATTATTTCAGAAACGAAGTTATACTTCTCATCAATTTACTTACCTTTTTCGTCAAAAAGAATAATGCTGGTACTTCTGAAAATTAAAGTTGTCTTCGAAATGAAATTTCTATTTTATAAAAGACAGTATGTATTAGAAAACGATCGAAAGCATAAAATACTTCAGAGAGAAAAGTGAGAATTACGGTTACTGAATAACATTTGTGCAAAATAAAAAAAAATTGGGATATTTGACATTCTTTTAAGTGGCTAAATTTGAAAAGTAGAAATTAATACACAAACAAACAGGAGGTTTTCGAGAAATGAAGCAGAAAAGTGGGTTTCAAAAACCACATCAACATCTTTATGGATAAATGAAGAAAAATTGGTGAGTAATGAAAATTGTCAAAATCAAAGCGTTACCATATTGCTAGCGTCAGGACGTTATCACACCATCAATATCATGATATCACCATAATGTTGGTGATAAAACATGAATAATTAAGACTGAAAAACCTTGTAACAATGATAAAGGGACGAGCACGGAAGCATTTTACTGAGCAGTTGAAAATTAACGAACAAACAGTATTTCGACTGAATATTTAAGGATCAGGAAGCATTCCTTGTAATTAAATCATTAATAGGGAGAAAGAAAAAAAGGAGGTAAACTAGTAGCATTCGAAGGACATACAAATTATTTAAGTAACTTCTACATATCGGCCAAATTATAGCCAAGGTTTTAACTTTTTATTGAAATGGAACTTGTCTGCATTCTTTTCATGTTCAAATGTTCACATCATCTATCTGATGCTTTTTATAGCTACATACGTCAGTGACGGTTCATCTTGAAAATACTTAAGATATATTTTAACTTTACCTTCCACGTCATTTCAGTTGTGTTGTCTGTGACGATTACAAGATCACAAAAAGCTGAAAATCTATGTTCAAAACATAATACTAACTTCTACTGTTCTATCTTGGAGGGCGAAAAGTTTACACCGCTTGATTTATTGCTCGTAAAATTTTGCAGTAATTTTACAGGTGCTCGTTATTCTCTCGTCTTTTCATTTCTGCTGAAGATTCATCCCATCCTATTTCGTTTGCATTCTTATTTTAGCCCATTTCAGCTTACATTTCTGTCTTTCTCTCTTCTTTTTGACGCTACTTCGTTATCACTTTGCTAATATACTTATCACAACAAATAATGCTGTATACATCACACTACATATCACCACCAGGAACAATTGCCTGCAAATCATACAATCAGAACTGTTAATCAAGTGACTCATCGTCAACAAATTAGTTGACAAAACAATTTGTGCTTAGTTTTCATCTCATCTATTCCATAGAAATTACATCAAACTTTGATTACTATAATTTATATATAATTTTGGGGAGATACAGGATGTGTCATCACTTGTTTATCACTTCATGCAAAATGCAATATTTGTTGTCGCAGCGTAGTGTGATAAGGAAATTTACTAATTAATTTCAGCAAACTAAATTCATTTCAACAGCAGTAGTAGTAGTAGTAGTAGTAGCATTGTAATAGTAGTAGTAGAAATAAGCGAGGTGTACCAGGTATACCATTAATAACATTACACAGTTTTGTAAGCAATGTAAGGCTAACAAGATGCTGAAATGCTATATGTATTCACACTCCAAAATTTTACAGTAATACTTTTGTTTGAGTTGAATATTGTAAAGATTTTGTGAGGAAGAAATTCGAAATAAATAGTAAAAGATTCATTTGGCGATAAATCATTCGTATTTGAGAAATGATAGTAAAGAGCTTTGATTCAGATCGTACTTCGAATTCCTATGCTAATACAAAAATAGAAGGCAATTCTTTTTAGTTCATCCATTTCATCGTTTATCATTTTTATCCTGCAACAAGTAGACACTTTATGAAACAATCACAACTTCAATTAAGCATATTATTTCAGAAAAAATTCAATTTAAACTTTTAATTACAACTTTAACTCTTCCTTCCAATTGTCATTAAAATCATGTACCTGACAAACAATAATAACAATGGAATAATTAAATGAGTTGTAAGCAACAAATTTAAAAACAACTCTGTGCAGGATAGAGATGAGTGCACAAATCACTGCATCCAAACTTTGCTACTTAACTATTACTTTGTTGCGCCCAAAATTCAACAATTTCTGCTGTAATTCAATATTATTATTATTATTAGCATGATTACTTCGATTAATGGTTATCAAATAATGTGGTAGTAAAGCTGTCAATACAACATCCACAGATTTCGGTGAGTGTCCATAAGCAAATAGTCTGCATTAACAGTAAGAAAGAATAATATTTCTTATTGAAGTTGTTGTCAAATTTTAGATTTTGAAATGTTTCTTACATTCCAAAATTCAAGTACTTTTCAATTCCTTTATTTTTGGAGAAGAAAAAGTTAAGGAAAATTGAAATGGTTTTGGACAAAATGAAAAATGTGCTCCACAGTATGAAGCGTTCATATGAAGTGAATAATTTCTAACTTCATTATAAATATATACTCATTACAGTTACTAAATTGAATTCTAATTAACATAAACAGCAACAAAATGCTTTGATTCTTTTCTTTAGAAGTTAAGTCTGACAAAAACGAAACAAAAAAAAAAAATGTCTTGTGAAAAAAGCAATGAGAAAGATTTATTGAAGTGGAAATAGAAATATTATTTTTCGGATTCTTTTTCTTATCCCACGTGTGATACCGATTTTTTACGCCAATTTTGCACCTGCAAACACTTCTTCCCTTCAACATTATTTCCCGTTTTTTATGCTGAAAAAATAAATTAAAAGCTTCATAATTAAGTCATAGTGCAATACTGGGGTACTACGATGAGTGGGACAAAGTGTTCAGTTTGGGAAGTGACGCA